CCAGAGCTACTTACATGTAAGGACTTACCTTCAAGCAGTCCGACCAAAGATGAATTTGTTGACATTGTCCCAATTTTGTCCGAAAGTCAGCTCAGATGTTTCGAACTGCTCCCAACATATCCAGAATATGAACGTTTGCCTGAACTCTTCCGCAATCTCAAAAAACGTTTTTTGGTTTCTCATGTTCGAAACTTTTTATCGGAAGAGACAACAACGTTCAGAAGAAGAACAAGATATTATTTTTAAACTTGTTGTATGGACTTAACCGTCATAACAAGCTTTTTGAAGTAAAACCGTCATTCTCAAACCACTTCATTTTTTCGATGTCCGAACAAGCACCGAAGCCAAACTCAATGGCAGATTTCCTTTCAAGGTTGCCAGACAAGCGCCCAGTTCAAATTCAAATTGCCCAATTGAACGCTCATCTGACAACCACCATTAAGACTATCCAATGTAGTCTTATGGAGAAGAAATAACCAATCTCAAAGTCGAAGTCCTCACGAACCAAGCTTCCAATAAGAAAGTCCTGAACGATTTCGCGGAAACCTTGCGCCAATACAACAAAGAGAACCAAAACCTTGCCAGACTCATCTACCGTTTCTTCGAAGAGATAGACGCCATCTGGAAGGTACTCGGAAAGGACAGAACATGCAACACCGTACTTCGTGAGTACAAATTGAAGAAGGAAATTTTCGAGAAGAGAGAAACACGAAGAAGAAGAGGAAGAAGAAGAGAAAACACCGAAGAAAAGGAAGTTTGGGCAACCCTTTTTGCCGATGACAGTTATGAAATTTCCCAACCCTACCCATACAAAATCCGCAACAGGGAGACCGGCAAGGTTCTTACCCCAGTCCTCAACAACTTGGGACACTTGAGCCTTACCCTTCGGAATTACGGTACAATTTCCATGGGAAGGCTTGTCGGTATGCAATGGGTTCCAAATCCAAACAAGAAGACGAAGGTCAGACACATTGACGGTGACAAGCTCAACAACCGTAAGGAGAACCTCGAGTGGTTCTAAGAGTAAAAAAATTTTATTTTAGGGGGAAACCCCGAGTAAATTTAAGTTTTTAGTTGATAAGTAGCTTAAATTAATGGTCATTTGCAAAATTAGTTCCTGACCTTGAATTGGACTCTTTCGTCATCCCAGTTGCGTAGGAGGTCGTCCCAGAGGAGTTGGTAGAATTGCCAATCCAAGGACGATTTGTCCTCCCAGGCATTGAGGATGTACTGCTCGTAGAGTCTCATGACCTCTGCCTTGCACCAGACACCCTCTCCCTTGGAACGTAAGGCTTCTTCGAAGTGCTCGAATGCGATTGGCTGCTTGACCATCTGAAATGACACTTTTTGTCCGTTTGGTCAATGTTGTGTCTCGTGTCATAGTCGACGAAAATACAAACAAACAGGTTATATATGAGTTTGAGACCAAGAATGGTGTAACTCGACCTGTCCGATTCAAATTCGAATAAAAATTTTTTATTTCATGCAATGTTTAACTATTTCACCATCTTCTTTAACACCCCAGTACTTCCTTTTCGATATTACATGAACTTCGGTGAAAATTTTGTCCAATTTGAATTGACCCATCTTTTCACCGACTAAACCCATTTCAATGAGTTTGTTATAGCCTTCTTCGTTCGTCATGAGTGCATCGATGTTCTCATAGTAAACCTTCACTTTGGATTTGACTTCCGAGAAGAATTTGTTGTAGTTGTCAAGGACTGCCTTTGCGAACTGAGGGTAAGACCAATGTTCGACAATAGGTTTTACTGTGGTTACTAAGCCATTTTGACCTTCGGTGAACTCGTACTTCAAAACAAAAGGAGAAAACCTTTCAACAAAGTTGTCGACCTTCTCATAGTGTTTACTCTTCATCTTTTGAGGTTTCTTAATGGAATATCCCCATGTCGAATTCATAAGCAATTTGATTGTCATTGCAAGTTTGGGGTTTGAAGCTTTCCTAATATCATACATTTGTTGTATGACTTTTCCAACTGTATAGTTCCTTCCTGGGAACTCTCCATCTTCGTTTGGAATTCCAGTCGGGATATATTGGACAAACCTCATGTACGCAGCGTTAAGGTCGACATAGTATATTTTTTCATCTGAGTCGAACTTATCGCATCCAATCGGCCCAGTTCGTGGAAATTCAAGTGAGTCTCTTATCTTCTGAGAAACCTCGCCTGTTATCTCATAAACATCGTCAAAGCAACCTGTTTCATATAAAATCTTCTGACCTAACTCAGAAGCTCTCCAATACAATTTGACGTCGATTGGATGTCTCAATGGAAGTTTGTTTATAGCATCTTGAAGTTCTTGCAACCTCATTGGAAGTTCTTCTGGTTCAGGTTGGTATCCGAACAATCCAACTCCTTTTGGAGCTGTGTACTTCTTTTGTGCTATAACTTTGTCTGGAACAACTTTTGGTCTTACCAACAATGAAAAGTTTGTTTCGTCTTTTGGTACAAAAGTTTCTGTCAGCTTGTCATCTGGAATTGGTTCCAACAAGCCTTTCTCGAAAAGAATGTTAACAGCTCTGACAATGTTGCATTTGCCTTTTCCGAACAATGGGTTTGTAAGACTTTCGTTCAACATGAAGTGGTTGTGGACAAGTACAATCTTCAACCATGGCAATTTGAAGTCAACAACATAGTCGTCATGTGAAGAACCTTTCTCAGTCGGAATGTTGACTCGGATATTCACATTTGCCAACGGTGCAACTTTTGTCAATTGACTTCTGAGAATATACCTTGTCTTCAGACATGACTCAAGATACTTCATCTTCTCATCTGTAACAAGACCAGAGTTCCTGAGACATGTAAGAATACAAGGTTCATTGACAATTTTTTCAATTGAATTGTAAATTCCATACCTTGTCAAGTCAATGTCAGACTTATTTCTGAAGGGGAAGTATCCAGCATGTTGTCTGACTGCTTGAGGGTTAGGTTGGTACCATTCGAACTTCACGCTTGCAATTCTTCAATTGCATTCAAAAATCTGAGTCGGAGTCAAACATTTGTTCTCTCTTTGTAGTCTTGAAAGCGTCAAGAAGTTGTGCGGCTGTTGTGACATTGCCATGTGCATAGTATATGTAACCATCTAAATCTGTTACGGTTAGTCTGAGATTGTATCCTTTCTTATTTCCGTCTTGAATTGCAGCAAGTACACCCATGAAGCCTTCTTTGTTCTTTCCTTCGTCAAAGTTTACTGTAAAGGTTCGACCAGAAGTAATTTTACTTCTAACTTCACGATACTTTTCATATGCATATCTTGTTCTTTCCATGGGAGCATGTGCGTCTTCACCCTTCCCTTTTTTCCTTCTCAAGGGATGCAATTGTTCGTCATGTTTCCAGTAGAATCTGGCAAAGCCGTCGTGTCCTTCAACTTGAGGCTCATAACATCGAAAGGCATGTCCATAAGACGTTCTTCTTCTAACCTCTCTAATCAGTTTGGATAATTTGCGCGTGCTGTTTCTAAGTCCATTTCGTAGCGAAGACCAGACAATTTGTCATAGACTTTTATGGGTCTTCCCTTCCTATATTTAAACTTCTTTGAAACTCTCCAACCATATCTTTCTAACTCTGCTTTTATTCTAGCAGACCTTCTATCCATTCTATACGGGGGCATTTTTAAAAATAAAAAAATGTTTTTTCTTTACTTTACATAACCACCGCTGCCATAAGTCTTTGACGCCAACCCATACCAGCTAATGAAGGTTGACTTGGTTTAGTTTGAAACTAAACTTTGGTTTTGGTTTTCTTCAGTTTTTGGTTTCTTCTTCTATTGGTTTTTCGTCACTTTTCGGTTCATCTGACTTTACCTCACTTGCTGGAACAGTTGTGTCGTCAACATCTTCATAAATATCATATGCCATTTGTTTGTTTTCCTTTCAACTTTTTGTGTTTGTTGTAAAGTTTAGAATATTTCGACTCTAAGTCAATGAGATGTTCTATAATGAACTGTTGGTCAGTGAAGTAAACTTTTCCATCTGTTGTCTCGAAAGCTCCTTCAGACTTCAATATTTTATTTGTGAGAGTCTGTTTCTTTTTTGAGATACTTGCCGTTCCATTTTTATGAAAAGTGACTTTGTAGTTAGAGTTTGTATTTCCAGACCTGGCACTTTCTATTATTGAATTTTTCTCTTCATCTGTAAGTTCTTTGACAGGTTTTGACAATGGTTCTGAACTTTTTGTTTGTGGTGTCAAATCTACCGTTTCAACTTCTTCGGTCATTTCATCTCAGTAAAAAATTTTAGTTTGGTTTTGTTTTCAACTGGTTGTTTAGGTTTTTTAAGTCGGTCTAAAACTTCCTGAGGTATAGGAAGAACTTGACAAACACGTGGTTGTGTAACTGCTGGAAGCCGACAAATCCATCTTGAGCCCATTTGTCTCAATGCTGTATTGTTCATTTCATCTCAGTAAAAAAATTTACATTCCCCACGTTTGAGGCGGTTGAGGTTGGTTGTTGTTTACCCACTGTTGTGCATGGTTATATCCTCTGTTAAAGAATCTTTCACCTTGGTCCATGTAGTGCCCTGCTTGGTTATAGTAGTCATTTGCTTTGTTATAGTAGTTTCCTGCTTGTCTTCCTACATTGTCCATCCATCCTTGAACTTTTCCTCTTGTTTCAGGATTTGGAATAAGATTTGCTGCATCTCGTGCTACCTCCCAACCTTTCTGTACAGTTTGTATAATAGGTTGTGCTTTCTCTTTCAGTATACCTAATGTACTCAAAATCTTCCTTCCAATTCCAAATGCACCTCTGGCTAGTGTTCCCACTGCGGGCAAAAATCTAGATGCGACTCCTGCTAATGCGCCAAATAAACCCATTTCTTATGGGTTAAAAATGACGAATTCAAACAAGGACCCGTATGTTTCTAAAGGCACAAAGAAAGCACTCATGGTAAAAATCTTTAGTTCAACACCAAATGCTTGGTTTATGGATATCTTGGAAAACATTCCGAGGTATAGAGAAGATGGACCACCATACTGGCTAATATTTGTCGGTCAAAACACAAGATACTGTGAAGCCATACCATTATGGTCCAAAAATATTTTAGATGTGAAAACTGCTTTGACAATATTCGTTGACAAATACCATCCAACAAAACTGACATCTGACTGTGAAAGTTCTTTCAAATCAGACGATATTAAAAACTATCTGCGTTCAAAAAATGTAAACCAATATTTCATTGTCGACCAAAACCATTCTGCTCTTGGTGTCATTGACAGTTGTATAAAAATCTTAAGAGACTTAAACAACCACAAGGTGGTGAGGTAGATGAAATGTCATATGACGACAAATAAGACACTTCTCCATGGCAAAGATGAGACAAGTTTTAAATATTTACAATAGCCGTAAACAAAAAGGTTTGGGAAACCACTCCCCCGAAGAAATGAAAAACAACCCTGACTTAGAGAAAGACTATATATTTAATAGTTTAGTCAAAAGAGACAAACAAGAAAGAATGCCAGGCTTCAAACTTAAGAAAGGTGACAAAGTAAAAATAGAAATACCTAAACGCGACCCATATGAAAATACTATTGACTATGACAACAATGGGAACTCGACAGGTACTCCACGTGTTCGTAAAAATAGAAGAAAGTATACAAGAGAATATTATGAAGTTTTAGGCAAACATGGCAAAATGTACAGACTGCAAGCAGAAGATAAAACTACTATTGTCAGACCTCGTTTCAAACTTGTCAAGTTCAAGGTGGTATACTTTCAAAGACAGTTCCTAACAAATATAAGACAACTCCTGACGAATATGCTAAAGAAGTTGAAAATGACGACTAAGCATTTATACCATGCGTAAACTGTCATGTAAGGTGGCATGTAGTCTTTACTTTGTCCCGTTGTTTGCGTATACCCTGAAACGCGATGTGTATGGTTTCCTTCTCCCTGTGTGCTACCCAGAACAATTTATAGCAAACTGAACGTCGTCTTTAACATCATATCCTTTACCTTTTTTCATTGCTGACCAATCCCAAAATCTATGCTTATGCCAACCTGCTTGAGATGTACTTAAATCTATGTAGTGACTGTGCGCAGGTAAGTTTTCACCTGAAATCGTTTTACTTCCACCTGTTTCCTTTGAAGAGTTTGCCCAATACAAAAACCTGTCGACTATTTGAGTCCAAGTTCCGAGACCAAGTACTACTTCTGGTCTGGTAGAGTTCATTGACGTGTAAATAGAACCTATAGGATATAGTGTTTGAAGTATTTCTGTCTTTAACGTTTGAAGCTCTGTTTTGTCAGCTTTTTATCATATAAATCTTGAGCAGTGAATTTAACTTTTTTCATCCTCCATGACATAACATTTTACATCTAATGTTTTCATCGTCGTTATGTCATCCTCCGATGTTAAACCTTGTGGAAAGTTAGGAGGTTTCCAATTTAATACATCCCCACCAGTTCCATCAGGTTCTTCAACCGTTCCTGCAATATTTTCTATACCAACAGTTGCGAAGAAATCGTGTGTATGTCCAACGTCACTTTTCTTGTTTAAGGTTTCTTGTAAGTTTGTAATATTTGCAATGGTATGTGTATGAGTCTTTTTAGAATATTCTTTGTCAGCTCTTGTCACTTCACTTGACATTTTATTGTCAACATATGTTTTATCCGCTTTGTCATCTAACATTTCTTGAAGTTCATCTACGTCATAGATGTTATGTGTATGATGTTTTTGTGGGTATGTTCTATCTGTCCATGCGAGAATATAGTCTCTTGTTGCATCTACATACTCTTTGTCAGCTTTGTTGTCAATATCTGCTTTCAAAAGAAGTTCATCTATAGGTTTCTCGTTTAAAGTTCTTTTTGTTGGATTTATACAAACAGTATGGTTCTTACTGTCTTGAAACAGAAACTCGTCTGTCAATGGGTTTAATGTCAGTTTTAAGTTTCCTTCTTTCAATGACTCAGATATCTTAGAATAGTTTGAAAAGTTTGTTGTGTTCTTATTTAGAGCTTGCAAAATGAGTTGTCGGTTGTGTTGTATTTCTCTCATAGACGCTGTTTCTTTCGACATTTTTATTCTAGATAAAATATGCTTTCAATAGAAAAAGAAAATTCAAGAGTTGCTACAACTAAACCATTAGATGAACTTTTTACTAACGTAGGTCAAAAGTTTGAGACAGAGACCGTAAAGCATGAAGGCTATCGTTTTGACTACCCATTGAGATGGCTAAGAGACCCATCCGTCACAAAAGCTGTTGGCTTTCGTAGAATGAAGTTCATTTCAGAAGCCATACATGGTTTCCCATTTACGGTCGCTTTTGAAATTCGATACTATAACAAAGAAAAACATACGTATGAGAAATTTGAACAGGGAAAACTTTTACAAGTGAATTTGCTTGTAAACTTAGAAACAACTCTTCAAGCTTTTCAAGAAAAAATAAACGATATCTATCTCGAATATGCAAAACAGTACAACATTGACGAAGGAGAGTACCATCTCGATATTATATATGACAGGAAAAATGCAACTGTTAAAATCAATAGAATAGAAGACCTTGGAGAAGACGTTTATATTTCTACAAAATATAACAACTTGGCATGGTATAGATTTTTGAGGATGTTAAATCAGCCTGCAGAATATCCAGTACACCCGAACTTTTATGAAGTCGAAAACCCTAATGGAACATATGAAAATGTTTTTGACTCAGATGCTATTATCGTTCATGCTTCATTTTCTGGTGCACAAAACTCTTTTTTATGCTTGGCAAATGACTTTTACGAAAAACCTACAAAGCTATATGAACCGCCGAGTGGAAGTATTTCAGACTTTCAAGTATGGTTTACTACAGATGGAAGAAAGAGAATAATTCCATTATACCACGCGTTTTACTTAGAACTTAGTTTCATATACAACTACTATCGAACGGTAAAAATATAATTTTAATACGGTTGAGGTGTTGGATTTGGTTGCCAACTAGACTGTGGTGCAGGTTCAGGCTGTTGTATAACAGGAGCTTGTTCTTCTGGTTCAGGGTCTTTAGGTATAATACCAACAAACTGACCTACTCTTTTACCAATATTTTTGACTCCGTTCCAAATTCCTCTTCCTACGGTTTTTATTCCATTCCATATACCTCTTCCAACATTTCGAAAGAAGTTTCCAATACTACTGAAGAAACCCATTTTACTATATGTAAAAATCTAATGTCCGCCTAGTCTCTTACGTTTCCTGTTGAGTTCCATAGCATTTTTTAACTGGAGCTCATACATTCTATTTCTCCTCTGGTAGAAAACATACTCTGGGTCAACTCCTGTGTTCGCGTCATCTGCATAGAGTTGTTTATATCCCACTTCAGGGTTTGTATAAAACTCTTTCCATCTCATATTTGCATACCATGGTGGTAAGCCTAACGCAGCGTCATTTGACATGGCAGTTTGCATTTGTACATCTGTTGGCACTTGACCATAGTTTGCCATTGCAGTTTGTATTCTAACTTCATTTGGAATATTCTCTGGGTTTGGTTGTCCAGGTTGCTGTGCATTCGCTAAGTTCTGTGCGTCCATTTAATATTAGATAAAAATATCTCTTACGAGTACATATACTGGACATTTGCAGGCATTGGTTCATCTTCATATTCTCTATATCTTTCTGCCACGTCAAATAAGTAAATGACACAATGGAAAAAACCTAAAACAAGTAGTCCTATTTCAAACCACATTTACTTACCAATAAAATTTCTTTGTTATGACACTTTCTCCAGTTTATAGGACCTCTCTCATATTCTATCTTGTCATATATAAACTCATAGTCATGTATGTCCTCTAACCATCTCATGACACTTTCCAAACCACTTTTATCGGATGTAAAGTAAAAGCATGGATGGTTATGTAAAACGTCTAAAGTTTCTAAAGAGTCTCTCAAAGTCCAGTCTACTTGGTATTGAAAATCCCATGTGTTATAGAACGGCGGGTCCACTATAAAGAAAACATTTTCCTTGTCTTTATATTTTTCATACAACTCTGTCCAACGACATCTCACAAACTCTATACCCTCAGTATATTTTTCTATGTTCTCTTTGAAAACCTTTGTATAGTTAAGATATAAAACTTTTGACATAAGTGTTTCAATGTCATGAACTCTTATAGCACCACTATATAATAGTCTAGAAGATATACTATCCCAGTCAATATACTCTGCTTTTTTCAAAACCTCTCTGACAGTATTTTTCTTATCTAATGGTATACGTTCCATCTTACCTATAGGTATCTTTTCTTTTAACTCTTTCAATATTTTGTTTGTGTCTGGTATATGTTTGAGACGGTTCATATAGTTGTCGAAGTCATTGCATATAATCTTTGAGTCAGGAAATACAGTATGGCACAAATGAGATATATAGAAACTTCCACCGAACAAATCTACAAATGTTAGACCATTCGGTAGTTTCTTAAGTTCTCTCAATAGAATATCTTTACATCTACTCTTATTTCCAAAGAAGGGTAACGGTGGTTTTGTAAAATTCATTTTATATACAATAAAAATGTTTTTACCCTGAAAAGTGACAGAAAAGTGACTGGGGCTAGAGGGCACGAAGTGCCTGGAAGCCCCAATACTTTTTTTTTTTTTTTAGTCAATTTTATTGCATAATTAATGCCAACAGGTTAAATGATTTTTATTTATAGAAGAAATTTCAAATTTGAGTCAATTTCAATTGGATGATTTACGTCAATTCAGCTTTTGTAATCATTCCTATCTTTACATTGAGTAGCTTTGTGCAATTTCTCACTTATTTTGTGGAATTTTGCAAAATATAATCTTATTGAAAAATAAATTTGGATTTAAGATATATATGTATATGAAAAATGCAAGCTTTTAATTGAACTGATACACTAAAGTTTTATTCTAATATATATTAGAGTTAAAAATATGAAAAATCAAATAAACTTATTCAATAGTAATATTTTCAAGTCTTGAAAGTTCTTCTTCAAGAGTAGCGATACTTGGATCATCCGGTTGAACTAATTCATTTGCCAAATTTGATATTTTTTCTCCGATGCCTATTCTTCCATGATAAGCCTGCTCACGAGCTTCGGCAATAATCTGCAATGCGCCTAATATGCAGTTAAAGTATTGCTCTTTGTAATTTTGTGTAATGGATTTCATAGCTTCTTCTTTTTGGGCTTTTGATAATGCGTCAGCGTCTTTTTGCTTGAGGGCCTGATTAACTTTATCCTGCTGTGTCTGATATTCCATAGAAGTTTCACCAGATTTTGCTCTAATTTGTTCAAGTCTTTCCTCTTGATATTTATGATTTGCTTCGCTTTTGGCGGCTTGGTTGTATATAGCATTAGCGTTCTTAACCTCTTCAGCGTATTTGTCGTGATATGGCTTTAATTTTTGTAACTCAGCACGAGCTTTTGATACAGCAATATGGCCTGATTCAATGAGACATCTCTCATCTTTTGATGTTTCAAATATCTGATTCAGAATGTTTTTCACTTCTTCTGGCTGACGATTTATGAAATTCGACATATTTTGGCCATGAGCAATATCATACTGTGCAAGTGCTTTTGCGTTCAGAGTCATCATCTGGTTGAGGTTTTCATCAAGCTCAGACCACTCTGGGTATGATTGAAAGAACCGGAACATAATGGAAGAGAAAAGTGACAATGATATTAATGACATCATTTCATCTTGAAGAATTACGCATATGAAGCATAGTTTAACAATATTAATAGAATTGAATTGAAAATTCGTGTCACCTTTTTAAAATGGATGAAAAATCTCAGTTATTTTGGGATGCTGCATATGATTTCGCTTCAATGAATACATTATTGATCGGTTCTGAATTCACTACATATGTTTATAAACAAAGAAATCGAATTTTGGAAATAAAAACTTTAGGATTAAAAGAGGAATTGCCAGAAATCCAACAAAAATACAAAGAAAAGTTAGATTCCGAAGAAAATTCGTATGGTGATAAAATGGTTCAAATCCAAACTTCAACGAAAAAATCTGTTGAATCATATGAAACAAAATTAGTGCAAGCTGCTTCAAGACATATGGATGATGTACAATCATATGAAGAAAAAATAAATACAGCACAAACTATAATGGATTCTTATCGCTCAAGTTTAATTGAAGAAGGTTTCTCAGATGAACAAGTTGGAAATAAATCTGGCGAAATTTTGGAATTTTTAAAGAAACGAATCAATTATTTGAAGGGTGAAATGTCTTTAAATTCATCAGGAAATTAGAATTTCATTTTATACAACGATTTAATACATAATTGGCTGGACCATTACATATTACTATGCGTTTCCAGTCATTGATCTGATATTATTTATTACATATTTTTAATTTTGCATTTCAAATTAAATTCATATCGAAATAGAAGAAAAAGAACATATAAGATCGCAATTTAATGATTTATAATGCAAATATACTACTCCAAACGTATCGTAATTTAATTTTTTTCCAAAAATATTATTTCAATTTTCCCCTTTTGTATGCGGGATAATAATTTATACATTTCTTGTATTGTTTTCATAGATAAACTCTGTATTTTATAAATACTTTATTTCCAATTATTTTCCGTCTCTAATAACAATTCCATTCAATTTTTCAATTATAACGTAATAGATAATGGATGCGATAATTTAGATTTTTTTCCCAAGTTTCTCAAGGCTAACACTATCGATTATTTCAATATGCATAGCCAGAAGGAGTTAGCGATATATGAATTAATGCATAATTTTGCAATTGCACCCAGAATTCAATCAAACGGGGACTAATTTTATCACAAATGAATTTTTAAGGCAAACTTTAATAATTATCGGGGAAAAAATCTTTGCTGGGAAAATTTTCTCACAAAAATAAATTTTGAAACTTTTTTGACATAATGCAAAGTAGTGGAGGGATCTCGACCGACATTTCAACAGAGAAAGCGGTGCAAGAAAAGCCAAAAGACAAAATAAACGATGTTACAAAGGAAGATAATTCTTCTGACTCCGATGGTGAAGAAGAAAAATCAGATAATTGCTGTTCGGACGAAGAGGAAGAATATATTGATCCAAATGCAACGTTTACTATAAGCGCAAAGGATTACATCGAGTTTTATAAGTGGAAAGTTAAAAATCAACAGAAAAAGATGAAATGTCCATTACAAGGATGCGGTAACTGCCAAAATGTAATGCCTCCGTTTACTCAGAATGATCCAAGGAAACCATCGTTTGCTACAATGCCTCCTCCACCGCCATTATTATCTGATCTTCCTCCACAAGGCCCTCGCGGACCTCCACCACCAGGATTCGGCCAAATGCCGCCTCCACAATACGGATATATGCCTTATCCGTCTCCAATGTGGGGAAGACCGTATCCACCGCCATACTACCCACCTCAAAACTGGTATCCTAGTCCTAGTTGGGGATATTTTTACTAATATAGCCAAAATAACAAAAATTGTTAAGAAAGAAATTTTTATAAAACATTTAAGTTTAGATTTTACCTGTTTTTGAATTGCCTATCTCCATAAACCCCCTAAAATATGTTTATTTTAATTCAAAAAATAAAAATTTAATAAATAATTTATATTTAGTCATAAAATCTTCGAAAAAATCAAAAAATCCAGTACAATTAAATAACGCAACACGAGAGGTTTTACTTAGCCTGGCCAATAAAAAATATAATTTTATGCAGGATCAACTGGAGGAGTAGTTGGTGCTGGTGTAGCCGCTGGTTTAATGCAGCGTGGTTGTAAGTTAAATCCGCCGCATGAAACAATAATAATTATCAAAAATACGATAAGAGTAATACTTCCACCAATTACGTACCAGCGATATCTTTCCCAGCACAATTTACGTTTGAGTTTAACTGCATTATTTTCGTAGAGACCAGAATGGCTATCTAATTCTTCAGCCAATTGGTTTATATGCTCAAGATTGCACTGGCGCTGGAACAGTTCGTAATACTGCTCTTTCATCTCATCCATTGTGCCGGAAACGTTTGTTTCAATCTTACTTACTTTTGCTTGTCTTGTGACGCGAGTCATAAAGTCTGTTAGCTTGCCTTCGTAAACACTCATCAATGAGAGTTGTTCTGCAGTACGCCAGTTTAAATTTGCTCTAATAAATTCGCTTTTTAGACGCTGAAGATGGTCTTCAGCTGTTTTGTCATCAATATCTTTTGTAACAATCATGAATGACAAATCATCAACATCTCGTAATATTCCCATCAAATATCCATTTGTATTCAATAATTGAATGCCCTGCTTAACTTTTCCGTTTTCACACATATTGAGGAATATTCTATCCCACATTCCGTCTTCTGTTGAGTGAGTTACAAGAGGAATGCTCCCTCTATATATGCCTGCGAAGCAACACTTCATTTTTTGTTTTCTGACATTGCGGTTTCGTCATTTTGACAGATTTTTCGTTCCAAAAATTTTTATGAGGTTGGTGAATGATTTTGCAAATGTTTTCAAATTTTCCTTCTTATGCATCTTGTATAGCCAAAATTATTCATTACGAAAATTTTAGAATTTTTGCAATAGACAACATCAAGATACAAATGCATGGATAATGAATTCTCTTACATGCACATATTTGAATTGCAATTACATTATTTTCAAATTCTATCTAATTATAATGGAAATTATTAGAAATCGCACATTTGCTCAAATGGATTATAAAAATGATCTAGTTAAATATTCTGAGCGACTATTAGCAGATAGATATAAAAAGTTCGAAATTAATTAAAAAAAAATTTCGCAAATTACGAAAATAGCAAAAAAATGTAATATTTTTATAAACATACATGCAGAATTTGATTAGAGATCTTCGTTTACAGCAATTGTAGCAGACATTTCATCAACAACACGAGTTATTGCTGTTCTGAATTTGAAAAGACTAAGCTCCTCTAACACTGCATATTTCTTTTCAAAGTATTGTGTTAATTCTTCGGAAATATCTGTTTGCAATTTATTATCTGAAGTTTTTGCTGCTTTAAATACTGCAAGAACTTCGTTCTTCCATTCAGGTAAATTCGAGTACTTTTTCTTTGATAGCTTCTCTCTAATTCCTTGTAACGTATTTAATGAACCATTTCTTGGGTCTGAAACATACAATGAAAGAGGACGAGCAATAATTTTGTCAATTACTTCAATTGCCATTTGTATCAAAGCTGGTGTCCACCCATATTCTTCTAATTTAGATGACATGAAATATTGTCACTTTTTTACGAGTTCAATAATACCCACTTCGGTCTCTGTGTAATCAACGACCAAAATTATATCAAATAGGCTTAACATCGGGAGTATAGTAATGTTATATACTAAATCACTGAATTTCACTCGTTCAATGAATTTCGAAATTTAGTTGCTAAGAAAATGTTATATAAAAATCATTAAAATACCAATAATTTTTATTTAAACTTTATAGAGATCGAATTATTTTGTTATTGATTTTCTCGATATCTTCTTTGTTCTAATTCATTGTTCATTGTATCTCTCAATAAATCATCTTCAGTTATTTCAAACGGCGACTTGACCTTGAATTGTTTGTTAGTTCTATTTGGTTCACTTCCATTATGAATTAGAGTTTGCATCATATGGAAATTTTCTAATTTCACTGCATAATGAAGGGCAGAAAAAGGTGGTTCTCCAGACAAAATATCGATTTGCGTATGGAATCCTGTATTTTCTAACAGATAATCAACAATAGCATCTTGATTTTCGATGACAGCCCAGTGCAAAAGTCTTCTTTTTGTGTACATTGATTTGTCAGCGTACAAAATATCTTCTTCAAACGAATCATGAACGATTTGCAACATCTCCAAATTGCCATTAATTGCCATCCAAGCAATAGGACTAAGTCCATACTGATCTTTACGTTTCGTAAAGAAATACTTTTTCTCTTCGATTGCAGTGCAATAAATCGAAACATCTTCTTCGATTTTATGAATACTTAATTTTCCATCAGTTAATCTAACCTTTATAGCTTTATCTTCGATATCAAGAACCTTCGCAATATCAGGAATTTTTGTAATTGCCGAGATTTCACTTTCAATATCGAAATGCTGTGCAATATTTATTTCAAGCTTAAGAATTTCTATGACACCTTCAATCCAACCAGCTTTAACTGCTAAATGCAATATTGTTTGTTTCTTTCCGTCGATTTGGTAAACACCTACCACATCATTCTCGAAAAGATCGCATTGGTTGCTCGCTCCAAACAAATCATTGAAGTTAATTGCCATCTGTAAAATCTCCATGGATTTGCTTTTTACAGCGAGATGAATTGGACATTCGCCGTCTTTGTTTTTGAGAGAAAGCAAACCAAGTGTAATAGGAATATCTGTTCCTTCAATCATTTTTCCTTCAGAAGCTTCGTTGATAATATTAAGAAACTCAGAAGAAATCATATTAAACAACTCTGCATTTCCTCTCATGCATGCGTAATGTAACAAATTATTATTGTTTTTGTCTCTATGAAGAATCAATCCTTTGTATCCAGAATAACTTCTAAATGTTTCATTAGAAAGCAATTGGTAAACAAATTCAGTTGGGTTATCTTTCGAATTTTTGATGCAGTACATCAAAAAATCTTTCTTGGATTCGAAAAATTCCAATACATATTTATCTGTATCCTCTGTATTTGATATTGATCCATCTTCGTTTTTTAGAAATAAAACTTTTTGAAAACACCACATGAAGACATCAACATCGAGAGTAAGTGCTGCATAATGGAATAATGTAAGCTGTGGACTTGTTGTACTCATGAATGATCTGAAATTTTGGTCTGTAAGAAAATTACTTACTAAATCTAGCATCTTTGTACTTTTTGAAACAATTGCTTGATTAATGGAAAGATGTGGTAATGTTGGGATCAATTCTGCAATAGCGTTTTGAATTTTTTCGGATCCTAATTCATATAAACTGATTAAATGTTGTTCAAAAAGTAATGAATCTAAAAATAGCTTGAGATTGTTTTCGTATAGATCTAATACGGATTCTGTTAATTCTATGTCAATATTTGGATTTTGATTGTCTTGATAATCTTTATTATGAATGATATAATAGAAGCAGTGCTCTTTAGAATTAATATAATGGAAATGATTGAAGGTATTTTGAATCACCTTGAAATTCGAATTAAAAATTTTTTTTGCTTTGTAAAATACAAGAGAATCTATAATAGTTGCATTGTCTTTGGGCCTTAGCTCCAGCTGGCTGAAGAATATGCCGGATTCCCCATTAAAAAAAAATTCTTTCTGATCTGTGGTAATAATTGAGTCTAAAAGCCTATTGAATTCCGTAGCTTGGTCTGTGATAATCTTTTCAGCTAGATTATTAATGTAATTTATATTGATTTGAAGGGGAGAAGCCATAGTAAAAAAAATTCCGCCCAAATTCAATTTTATTGAAAATAATTCAATTGCAATTTACCATTTTGCAATAATTATCCTTATCACAATAAAATATATGAAATAAAATTTTGAATATAAAAAATTTTTCCACCAATTAATTTTTTTTATTGAATCAAGAAAAGTGACAATTAAAACATCATGAAAGGAATCTATAGCATTTTTAAATTTATGGACTAGATCTTTAAAATCAAGACATAGAAGCTCGCCCGACAAATAATTTTCAACCATTATCAGATTTTTTTGTTATCATTTGTTCAATGTACAACAAACCCACCAAATAAATATCAACAGCTAATGCTAGAAACGCGGTGATTGAATGGATTTTCATATTAGGCTTAAATTTCGAAATTTCTTTGATTGAGATTGGAATCAATTCTTAATAAAGAAAAAGATATATTTGAACATTGTAGTAATAAATATTATAAAGAATTATTTAGATTTTCTTAACGGACAAATTTCATCGAGTTTCTTTTCAATTACAGCCAATTTCTTATCAGCATCTGACACAGCCGAAGTAGACAGACCCCACGGTTTCGGATCTTCCTCGAAAACTTTGTATTTTCCAGTTGTTCTCCTCAGGAACTGGTCAAACCTCAGTTTATCCCTCACAACCTTGGCAGCGACCAAAGCTTTCACATCCCTCAAGTCATCTATAATTGCTTCCTCGTGTTGTCTGATCTGCTCTCCAAATGTGATCAATTCCTCAAGCGCGTTGCGGGAAACATCGACTTCATTGATGCTTTCCCTTGCGCACCTTGTAAAGAACTCGTTCGCTACGTTACTTCCGTCGATTGATTGATTATGAAGAGTTTTGAGGTGTTCGTTGAGTCTTTCGTTGATTCCGACAGTCATTTCGTTGATTTGGTTGTTTGTTTCTTGTTGCATCCTCGCTGCTTCGTCTTCTGGAAGAATTACTAATCTTTCCTTGGCTTTTTCTTCGGCTCTCGCGAGTTTCTTCACGTGGTTGTTTAAGTGCTCCTTTAATTCGTCAAGAATGTCCTGTTGCCTGTCGATTTCGTCGACAATTTCTTCAACATCGCGATCGAAGAGGTCGTTCATCTCCGAAATCGCGTCATTGATGTTCTTCTGGTGCTCAACAATCGTGGAGGACACGATTTGGTCGTTTAAAAGCATCGATTTCTCAATTGCGAAATCTGTCTTGTTCTGGAGAGCAGAAATGGCTGCTTCAAGGAAGAATCCGATGTTCTGCTCCTGTAGCTTCTTGCAATTGTAGAGTTGGTCGACTTGCGCATCGGTCATTTCTGAAAAATCGAGTCTGAGAACGATTGGAATGGCGTTCTCCTGGTGAACGTCAAGTAATTTCATTGTGTAGTTGATTAGCTTGAGTCTGTTCTCTCTGATTAGGTCGAATCCGGACTTATCGGCGATGGAAAGAATTCTTGAGAAAACCTCAGGTGGAATCTCAAGCATTCTAGGGTCATCGAGGATCTCTGGAAGAATCTGGGCAACGTTAGACCAGTCTGTATAGCAATCTGTGTTTTCTTCGATGTGTTGGCACAAAATTCCAACGTAATCGTCAACTTCTTTGCGAACAAGTTTGTTCTTCTCTATGTATGTGTTAATGTACTTCTCAAGACTTGGTACTCCCCACGCTTTGGCAAGATCAAGAACTTGGAAGGCATTTCTCTTTTCAATTGAAAAATTCTTAAGTTGGCAAGCATCAATGAAGATGTCGAAGTCTTCTGGACGAATTGTTTCGATAACTTGATATTCGTTTGGATCTTGTTTGTAAATTTCTTGGAATTTAGTGGACATTTTAAGGAAAATTTCGGGACTGACATTGTAATTCTTAACACCTAAGCTGATGATATAGCCCGAACGCGCTTTAGACTTATGCGAAGTGCGGGTTGACATCAATTTTAAATTTTTTTTCTTTCTTTTTTTGGTGTAAGACGAAAAAAAAGTGACTATGTAACGCTAACTGTTTGTAAAGTGTTGAAATTATGAAATTGGCAAGCTTAATATTCATCATGATATATCAACAGATAAATTATTATTTTGCACTGATTAAAGAGTATTCTCGCTAATATTCATTGATAATGAACAAAAATATTACTCTTATAAAGCATATGATCTTAATATTCACTTTAAAACTTATTTTCTCATTTGGTAATTAGAGATGGAAGAGTCAAATAACAAAAAGAGATTGAATTATTTCAAGGTATTTCTTCCATCATATACTCGTGATAAATACTTCGTATGTGATGACTTGTTTATCCATCAAAATGACATTGATGTAAAAAATGATATCAAATCATGTCACTTTTAGAGTTCATTTTTTTCAATGGTGAAATTTCGTTTCGGATAGTAATGAAAGGATGATGATAAATGACTAGTAACTGGGTCTTTTCTTACGCAGCAGGTTTCACATACAAACTCAGTTACAAATATTATCAAGTTACAGAAAGCAACGGATTTCGATTTTTTTATAAAATTGATGCAAATAACGATAGCTACCTCGTTTCAACACCTAGTGGCGTTTGGAATATTGATGACTTTGAATTTCGAGTCCTTTACGAAAATGTCAGAACCAATGACTACATCAACATCATTTATGATGTCACGAACAAAGGAACAAAAACTCACAATTTAGGAGTCTCTTCATATGTTGGGATTTATATTGATGGGCAATCCAATCAAACTGTAATTAAAGCTCTGAAAGGAATTCGTGGAATCGAAGGATTCTACAATGATCATTCCGTAAAAGTTATTCTTCGAGGAACGAAAGAAGTTACCGATGTAGATACAATTTATTATAGAAAAATTGCAGAATATAGCGATTTTGTAGAAGTAGAAAGGAATAGATGGATTAACAGAAGTAGTTATGATGAAAAACCAGCTGGAATAAAGTCATGGATCTCTTTTAGCTGGCAAAATAGAAATTTTAAACCTAATGAAAATAAAAGGTTTTCATTTTTGATTGGAAGAGGAAAATACATAAGTGAATACCATTATTCATTGAAAAATAGAATCTCGTGCCATTTAATATTAATATTAGCAGATCTAATTGAAATCATTGATACATAAACTTTTTATATCACATTGTATTTTGATGATGAAACAATATTTTGATTAAAAAGAAATGAATAGTGAAAAGCCCTCTTAATGATACAATTAGACACTCATTAAATCTAACTAAAAGTAATATTCATTTAGTTTTCTATCAAAGTTCGAGAGAGGGTCAAAGTTGCTATTTGTCACTTTTCCACAAGAATATAATGGGGAAAAATTTATCATATAGTTGATCTCATTGACTGAGGTGAGAAATGCATGTAGTGTAATGGGATAAACAGTGGGATTGCTGCTCTAAGTCCTAGGTTCGAGACACATTGGCTTCATTTTTCTCTTTTTTATTGACGTAAACTATTCAATTTTTGTGTTCTCCATTCAAATTTCAGAATTTTTTTTGCAGATTTCACGCTACATTCGAAGTTACCTTTTGTAACAACCACCACTGCCTACGAAAGACGAAAGTGTGTCACGATTTCACCCGGAAATCCGACGGTTGTTTAAGAGTATGCACTTTTGTATCAGTAAAGCCTAAGAGAATCATTTGTTAATATTTTAAATCCTTTTGTGATGAATCGAATTCAGGATGCACTTATTTAGCTGTTCAAATCAGAATACAAGGGAAAATGCGATAATAAAAAATTATTGATAGACATATTTCATTGTGCTACATAAAGTAGTATATGTGGAAGGGTTGTGTGACTTTTTTTGTAAACGTAAGAATTCATACAATATCGAGCGATTTTGTATCATTTTTTTTAACATATGAAGTAAAAAATGTATGATTCTGACGGTTTTGATTCTTACGTTTTTGAATAAATCAAGATTTAAAAAAATTTCAAAATTGTAAGACATTTACACTCAGCCCATACATAATGAAATCAAAAATATATTTATTTATAAATCATTAAAAAATTAACATTAATTTTAAAATATATTTATTTTTTTATCTTTTATAAAAGAAGCTATATATAGATGATGTCAGATATTCCGCGATTAATTAAACATTGTTTAAATCCTGAATATCTTAAACATCAATTTAAAAATGAAGATTGTGAATTATTAAATGAATATGAAAGCCAAAATAAGCTAATGAGGTATAAATATAATGATAAAGAATATTTAATTTCATGGAATCAATGGAGTCATAATCAAAGACCTCATAAACGAGTAAAAGAAATTAGAAATAATTATTTTCATGAATGAAAGATTCACTACCATAATGAAATAAAAAAAATAAACTTTAAAAATTCATGTCTTACATTTTTGAATAATTTATTTTTAATTCGTAAGAAATGAGTGTCAAAACTAACAACGTTAAAAAATTAGGATTCACAAACGAGGAAATAAAGGATATATTAGATGAGTTGTGTTATGAAGTTAGTAAATATTATTTAAGAAATTGTCAAAAATTTGCCGAGTTATTAAATGATTTAGATTATGATGGAAAAATGAATAAAGATGATGTTATAAATTTCTTATATCCCACATCTGAAGAAGAAAAACCTAAAGAACCTGATGTTTTCCCTGAATATTATGAAGAACGAATTAAAGATGATGATGAATACAATGAAATTGAAAAACTGGAAAAAATAAGAGATGAAATAGATGAAAAAATTAAGGAATTAAGAGAAGTTGAAAAATATAATGAAAATGAAGTAGAGGGTTTAATGAATATCCCAGCTTCAGAATCAGAAGTTCAGAAATCTCATGAAGAAAGATATAAAAATTATGTCTCAGAATCAACACAAAATTTATTAGATGGTGAAATAGACGAAACACTTTCAGAAGAAGGTACCAAATTTATACGTAAACATAAGTTACAATTTATTGATAATGAAAAATACCCTTGTATCTTACTTTCACCCCCTCTCGATTCTGAGAAATTCAAAAAAGCTCTTAAAAACGTGACATATGCAACTAATACGATTAAGAAAGAAGATCATGATATTTACACAAATTATTATTTAAATAAATGCACAGGTGTTGATAAAGTTTTTGATTTATTAGATAAAATATCAAAAGAAACCATTGGAACCTATAAAATTTTGTGTGATTGTGGTTTCATTATTGAAGATACTAATAATGTTTCATATGAAAGAACAGCACCGATGGAAGACGAAGTTGAAAGGTCTATACCATTCGTTATTAAGAACATGAAAGATATGAAAACTTATAAACATTATATTTATTCATTTATTTCAGAAAAAATGGAAGCAACCCATAAAACATCTTCTCATCATTTTATAGCTATTCATACATTCCTTTTCAAAGTTGTGAAATTAAATAAGACAGGAATTAGATTTAATGTATCAGGGTACGCATTCTTGAGTAAATTAAGATGTATTCGTCACGTCGCAGATGATAAAAATTTATGTGTTCTTAATTCATTTTATGGGCTTTAAAAAATAAACTTTATTTTTATTTATATTCTAATTTTTATTCTTACATAAATGAACAAAAACGGAACAGCTAAAATGAATGATAATCAAATTAGAGCAGAAGGTAGAAGGTTATTTAAACGCTTCTATAACATTCCTGATGGTGTTAATCCTAAAACTCGTAGAAGTTATTTAAATGAAGCAATAGATGCATATGAAGGGTTTGACATTTCATCAGAAAGTGAGAGATTAGCGAGAATGTTAAATGTTAATATTGATTTCTATTATTGTGATCCTCAACCAGAAGACGTGGACATAAATAAGGTAGACTTTCCATTAGTGGATTCAATAATGATAGATCCAGAATTTGAAACAATAAATATAGGGTGTCCAAAGGTGCGTTTAGCACAGCGCTCTATATGAGACTATTAAAGGAGATATATGCTGATTATAAATATATAATAAAAAATATGAATATATGTATATGATGAGTATGTTGTATTTTGGCGCCATGCCGGGATATAAAATGAATTTTTAGACAAGAGGCGGTTTCGCGGGAAATTTTGGCGGGATTTTTTTCATTTTTTTAATGAATCATAAAGAAAACATCCTCGCTCTTGCAAAAAAATGCAAAGACTGTAAAAAATCTACGAGACATTGGTAAAATGCTTCGGTATGGATGCTCCTAGCTATTCCACTGTAACGTATCATGTTAGGATGTATCACTTCATGAACAAAAAGGCGCCCATCATAAAAATTGACAAAAAATCGCCGGATCAAAGAAAAATCAAAGCAATTCTTCAAGCGCTAGATGAAGACCCAAGAGCATCACTCAGAAGGATAGAGGAGATGACAAAGATACCACGTACAACAGTCAGTTATTATCTGCACAATTATTTGAACTACAAACTAGCGTATACACGTTGGGTTCCGCACAACCTTAATTCAGTTCAAAAAAAATCTAGAGTCCAATCTTCGAAAGAGCTCCTCTCTATATTGGGTGCGTATCAATCCAAGAAGTTTCGCTTTTTAGTAACAGGGGACGAGTCTTGGTTTCAATATGCAACAGAAGCCAAAATCATGTGGATCCCTAAGGATGAAAATCCGCAAACATTCCCGAAGAAAAAAATTGACACACCAATGATGATGTTGTCGGTTTTTTGGGGCGTGAATGGCATCATCGCAATTGATATTCTTCAAAAACCTAATACGATGAATGCTCAGTATCTAATTGACAATGTTCTTACTCAAATTATCAATTCTGATGAGTTTGAGAAATCCAAACAACAAAAACAAAAGTTTGCAATTCATTTTGATAATTCAAGAGTTCACAAAAGTCATAAGGTAATGAATTACTTGGTGGAAAACAATGTCAAAGTTGTTCCAAACCCAATTTATTCACCTGATATTGCACCCTCTGACTTTTATTTATTCGGCACGCTAAAAAAGAGAGCTGAAGGACGCGTCCTATACCATCCGGTTGTTCTATCCGTGATGATCCAGAAAGGAAAAACCAAAGAAGATTTTTAAAGCATTGTGAGAAATGTAAAGAAAATAATGGAAGATTAATTCAAGACGTTCAATTGCAAAAGACCCAGCAACCATATGCACCACATATTACGAAACAGAAGATATATCAGTGGTTATTAGCTCATAATTTGCAGGAATATTATCAACCGACAAGATATTATATTACTTTTGACTTCGAAACATTAGAGACTAAAGAAGAATTACAACTTTCCGAGTGTGCAACTTTGAACGCTTACTTAAAACCATTCATGGTATCATCAACGGTTAAATTAAATGATAAAACATATACGAGGAATTTTTGTTTAACTTCGAGTGATTCTTTTATTTCTGATTGGATTGAGTTTTTATTTTCAACCTGTTCATTAGTTGCTAAATCAAATATTGAACAATATGAAGAATTAATGAAGTCACAAACGGACCAAACGGCGGGGACTTTGTCTCATACATTAAATGAAAAACAGAAGGAAGCATTTAAAGAACTTCTAGATGAGGAATTCAATAAAGTGAATATCATAGGTTTTAATTCGGGAAAGTTTGATTTAAATTTAATTCTTCGTGATTTAAACACTGCAAAATGGAAAATAAAATCAATGCTGGGTTCATCTTCACAATTTAAGCAAATCATTGTAAAGAAAACAAACGTTCCATATGAATTGAGATTTATTGACATCAGAAATTATATAGCGGGTGGGACATTAGACCAATTCACTCAAGATTTCGGAAACAATAAATCACGTGTTAAATCCTTTTTCCCTTATCAATTCATCACATGGGAAAATTACGAAGAAGAATTATATAAAGAGGAACCATTCACAAAAGATTCATTTTATTCAGCATTAGCTCAAGAAACTATATCAGATAGTGATTATCAAATATATCTCAATGATGCTAAAAACTTTAAGAATAGATTAGAATATTTTATTCATTATTGCAATAAAGATGTTGAAATTATGATTGACCCAATTGATAAAATTATTGAAGAAACATTTGTTTATAAAATTGACATGCTTCATAATCTTTCTTTATCATTGAATGCTTCAATGATTCGTTACGCTTTAGCATATAAAGACTTTAATCCTAATGAAAAATATCCTGAGGAAGAGATAGAATCAAGTTTTGAATTAACGAAAAAGTATTGGAAATATAAAATTGAATCATATAAGAAACAAGATGAAAAAGCAGAAAGAGATACTAAAAATAATGTTTCAATGGATGATTTTCAATACTATCACGATTTAATCCTTTCATCTAAATGTAAAATGTGTGGTAAAGCGTTTACATATGCAAATAAACCAACATTGGATAGAATCGATAATGAAAAACCACATACCAAAGAAAATTGTCAGTTAATGTGTTGTTATTGCAATGTCGTAAAATCAAATAAAGATGAAGATGTTCAACGTTTAAGAATCAATTTAAGAAATTATGCATTAAAAATAATTTACCAATGACTTTAGATTCAGTTGAAGCTTATCACATTCTCCGTAATGGAATTACTGGTGGTCTATCAAATGTTCAACATAGAGTAAATCTTAAAGGAATCACGCACATTAATAAACTTTCATATAATCCAGAAACTAAAACTGTATCAAATGAGGACACCACCAACATTATGACTCATTTCGTTGGTGTTGATTTTAATTCATTATATCCTTCATCATTTTCATCTAATCCTCATGATTTCATTCAATATACTGACCATAAAATGTATATGCCGGGAAGATTGAATGGTGTTATCATTTGTGATACAGCAACAAAGAAAGCAAAAGCACTGGGAATAATTAAGAAGAAAAATACTTTATTCGTTGCTGAAGTAAAGGGTCACATTGATGAAAAATACATTAATGATTACATAAACTTTTTACCGATAATAAGAAACTTAGATATTATCACAGATGAAAAAACAATTGGTAGTTTTATGTATAATTACATGAAATCAAACAATCTACCAGTTGACCAGAAACAGAGGAAATTAACTCAGTTAGCATCAACACACAACCAATATCAACCATTTTCTTCTTATTATCTTTGGTATCTAATAGACAGATTTCATTTTATCATTGATGATATTCAATCAATTTTAACATTTACTAAAAACACTTGCTTTAATGAATTTGCGAACAAATTTATGAACGAAAGACAAAAGGCTGAATTAGAAGGAAATAAAGGAAAAAGTTTATTTTGCAAAATTTCACTTAATGGATCATATGGTTACGATGCAATGAATACACAAAATTACGCAAAGACTAAAATAATGAATGCACAGAAGGCACGCGTTGCATGTATGTCAAATAAGTTTAAAAACATAAGAGAAATAGGTGAGGATACATATCAAATGATGCTTAAAGATAGATTTTATAGATGTGATACATGTTTACAAGAGGCATTCTTCACTTTAGATAATGCCAAATACTGGTATTTAGTTTTCATTTATGATTTTATGTATAAATGCATGAATGTTAATCGTTTTCATTTCATTGAAGGTGATACTGATTCATCTTATTGGGCTATTGCTGGTGATCCAAGTCTTCCTAACACTCAAGCATTTCAAGCAATTGTTACTGATAAACAATTTTATGATAAAAACATTTTCAAATTCGCACCATTTGATTTCTTCTGTTTTGATGAGAAATTTAAACCTAAATTAAAGAATAAAGCTGAAGAAAAAGCACATGAGAAAAAATTATTGGGTTTAGCAATTGAGAAACAAGGTGATAACATGGTGGCGTTATGTCCTAAATGTTATACATCATTCAACGGTTCAATTGATGGGAGTGATTTTAAAAAGATTGCACAAAAAATGAAGGGTGTTAGTTTAAGACAAAATAAGCAATTAACACCTAAAAAATATTTGGATATAATAAATGATAAAGTGATATTTGATGGTCAGAATATTAATTTACAACTTAAAAACGGGTCAATGACTCGCTTAACAATCGGTAAGACTGCATTAACAGGAGCACACACTAAGGCTGTATGTTGTGAAAATGGATGTTGTATGCCATTTATTTAATACAATTTAAAATTTTATTTTTAATGAAATGCCACAGAAGAGACAAAAGGAACCGTTAATGATGGTTTTGATACTATGATTCAAAGAGGTGGGCACCCTTAAAACATTGATTTTATTTTTATATAAATGGATAACGTACATTTAAAAAATTTAATTGATGATTTAGTACTTAATCAAAATTTTCTTAGTTATTATGAATTAAAAGCATATCTCCAAAAATATAATGAAAATATAACGGGTGATGATATGGAATATTATTATCCATATTATAAAAATGAAATTTTGAAATATCATGATAAAATAATTTCTAAAATTAAAGACAAAATTAAAAATAATGAATATACAAAGGGAAAAACTAAATCACAACTTAAACAATTGAAAGATTTCAAAAATAAAGTATTAACAGAAGAAGATATTGATGAATTATATAATTTATATAATCCTGAGCCACAAAAACCAAAGCCAAAGGAACAAAAACAAAAGGTGCAAAACACCCAGGTCCTTCAGACCATAAATGAAGCACAAGCTTTAATTTATGATTCATTAGTTAAACCATATTCAGCCCGACTTTTAAATGAAGATCAACTTTTGGAATTCATCCTTCAACATAAACTCGAAGCGGGAAAGTATATCAAACCTTTATATACAGCATATTTAAAACAAATGAATAGAATACATCCAGAATTAATGAAGGAAGGAATGAATTCCAAAACTTCATCATCCAAAATCAAAGCAGATAAAATTAAACCACTTGCAACACCAAAACCTCCAACGACAGTACCGCCTCCTCCTTCAGTTAATCCTTCATCATTCACTTTATTATATCCATTTCAAACATTAAAGAAACAAAAAGATTTTAAAAAGGATTTCAAGATATTAAATAAACCAATTGACCCAAAAATTCAACCATTAAAGGAAAAATTTAGTCGACCTTCATTTGCTCCATATCCATATTCATACGAAATCGATCATCTGGAATATTCAAAAGGAAACGTTACTTATTTATTTGCCATTAACATTAACACTAGATATTTATATTGCATTCCAGTGAAAGGGAAAACAGAACAGGAAACAAGGAGAGCTATACAATACTTACTAGATCATGAAAGAGTAGATAATATCAGGGGTGATGGTGATAAAGGATTTCAGGCAACTATGACTCATTATTTCCCACAAATTAATTTTTTCTTTTCATCCTCTCCATATACGTTTCATAATAAAATAGTTGATGCGGTAATGAGAACTCTTAGAGATGCGTTAGGGGTTAATGGTCAGATATACTGGGATGGAAATCATGACTCCATCATACAACAGTTAGTATATTATTATAATAATACATGGCATAGAACTATAAACATGAAACCAGTGGAAATGAAAAATGATATTTCAAAAGAATGGGAATATATTAGAAAGCAAATGGAAAGGTTGAATGATGTTAAACGTGAACAAATTAATTCGGGGCTCATGAATTTTAAACAAGGGGATAAAGTTTTGATTCATCTCGATTATGGAAAAACTGATAAATCAATGACAAAAAGAAGACGAAGATTTGACACAATAGCTGAATTTGTTAGATATATTAACGGCAATGCATTAGTTGAAGTTGACAATAAATTAATAGAAATTCCAATTTATTTTATTACCCCATTATATTTAAATAATATTTAATTTTTTTTATTTCGTAAGAAATGAGTGACAATGAAGCATCCAAGAGTCCAGACGATGAATATAAAAAGAAACTAAACAGAATTAAATCAAAAATATGCTATTACAAAAAGAAGCCGCAATGTGGTGGGGTTGAAAACGATAAAGAAATAATCGAAAACGATAAAGAAATAATTGAAAAGTTAGAAACTTACCGTTCAATCCTTAAACTGAGTGAAGCAAAAATAAAAGAATTTAATAGAATAAATAAATTGATTGGAAGAGATGAATTTAATAAAGATGAATTTTTAAACTCAATCCAAATTTAATTTTTATTCCTCTTTGACAACAGCACAGGAGGATTAAGGGGAAGGCAGTTATGAATTATTTTTGAAGAACTGAAGGTGTCACCAGGTCACCAGGTTAATTAACTTCTCTGAAAAAATGAGACAACATGACATTTTGACAACAGCACAGGAGGAAGGCAGTTATGAATTATTTTTGAATAACCTGATATCTACCCTCATTTCTACCCTCTTGCGATTTTCGAATGGAATCTCTTCTCTCGGTTTTCCGAGGGAAGCAATCATATGAGGAAATTCTTCTAAAATTTCTTTTGTCTGTTGGTTTTCAAACCAATGATATGCTTGCTTTGTAGAACGAAGAGCATTCATTATACTTTGCATCTGGTACATATCATCTTTGACCGAACGAATGAGGCGAAGTTGTTTGTTATACTGTATGTATTCATATTCTTCATTTATGGCTTCATGAACGATAGCAGTTGTTGTGTTCTCTGATGTTGACATTACTGTTATTTCATACAAAATAAATAAAAATAAAACTAACGTTATTTTCTGACTTTCACAAAAGACCAAAAATAAACGCTTTACATGTATTTTTCAGCAACTTCGTCAAATAATTTTATAGCTTTATCTATCTCATCTACTTCAAACGTTTCTTTACCTTTCATGGGAGCACCATACATTTTCTCAAACTTTTCAAGTAGTTCTGTTTCTGCAGCTCTCATATCATTAACGAACACAACCTTGACTCTATTGACTGTACTGTCATATCTTTGAGTTATATTATATGTTCTTCCTATCTTATATCTCTTTGTATTGAAGTCCTTCGGTTTCTGAACGATGTAAAGTAAGCCTTCACTGCAACGTTCTGAGTCGAATGAACCATATGTTATGAAGTTATATCCAACAACTGGGTCTAACCATAACAAAACTATTGGTATAAGACTTTTGTCTATAAGATATGCTCTTGTTCCATGAAATGCTACTGATATCATAAGCTCAGGATTTCTTGTCAAAATTTTCTGAGTAGAAGCAATTCTAACCCAGTCCTTTGTTTTCTTTCCAGATGGTGTTATAATGTCTGACAAAGAATATTTGTTGTATTTCTTTGAGTATCTTACGTTTAAATCACCTATTCTAAACACTTTGGTGTCATTGTCTATCTTTCTAACTGTTTCAAACTCAATGTTTGTCATTTCTGTTCTTACATACAAGATAAAAATTTTTCTTAGAAAATAAAATTAGCGTTATTTTTCTAACTAATGAAATTCATGAAATTTGTTGCTGAATTCAATAAAAATATATTTTAGGGTAGATGGTTAGATCTAACCTGATATCTACCCTCATTTCTACCCTCAAGATTTACAAACGTTTAACGTGATATACGTTATGAATTCGTGAAATTTTAAATATTTTTGTAGCTTCTATTTCTTCAGTTAATATATCAAAAATTTTAACAATGCCGAAAGTTTCTTTATACTTCTTCTTGACGTCAGATAAAAGGAAATCATGCTGTTGGATAGTTTTTATTAAGAAAATGTCAACATGTCTATTTTATCTTCTGCTGGCTTTTCTGCTTCTTTCTTTAAGTCTGCGTAATCGTTTCTCATTCTTTCTATCTCTTTGACGGAGTAGTTATATTTCCTCATTGCTGCTTTACATTTTGAACATTGCGGATTCATTTTTGCGTTATACATTGAAACATTACCAGCTAAAATAACTAAAGCATCAATGGCTTTCTTTAAATCTGAAGCAGTTGGTTTTATCTGTTCGTTCCATACTTTGCCTCTTCTGTCTTTATCTCTTATCTGCCATACACATTCAGCAACTAATGAAACAAAGTTATCGTAAGTCTTAAACTCCTCAGATTTATATATGTCAGAAATGTTTTTATAAACCATGTCGCAATCTTTGTTCATAACTTTATGGTTGCAATGAAACCAAGGAATTCATAATTTACTTTACGTATGAACTTCTTTATTTCTACTGAATCAGTAACTTTAACTTCAATTTCATCGAATTCAGGAATAGTTAGTTTTTGTTGCTGAACTTCCGGTAATTTAGGCAAATGGTCTATGATATCTTGCATTTCATATAGCTCCTCTCCATTTGTTTCATCTTTCGCACTACAGTCTAAATTACTTGTTAAAAGTTCTTGCTTTATTCTTTGTATTTCTGTTTCAAAAGTATATGAAGAAGGAATGAAGTTTTTCATCTCTACCAACATTGACGTAGGATTCATGATTAATGAATTTGGTGCCGTAGTTGTGGACAGAGTCCCACCGTTCGTGGCTTGAATTGTTGTTGTGCCGATTGTTGAAATCATATCTTTTATACAAAATAAAAAAATAAAAATAAAACTAACTTTATTTCTTCTGTCTTAAGGAAATTCATGAAAATTCATGAAAATTCATGAGGGTAGAAATGAGGGTAGAAAAGAGGTGAGAAATGAGGTTAGATCTAACCATCTACCCTAAACATTATTTTTGCTGAATTCAGCAACAAAATGAACGAGGTCAGGATGTATGTAAATACCTTTGAATTCATTTATAACACCCTTAGTAAGCTCATAAAATGCTTGTTTTGAGGTGGAGCCAAAAGTGGCTCGACCGTATTCTTTCAACCAAAACTCAAGAATTTCCTGCATGAATTTTGTATAAAAAAACAACCGTCTGAATTCCGGCGGTTGCTATATTCTTCACAAAATGCCTTATAATACTCTTCCCAGGACTTATTTTCCAACAACTTTCTAAAGTCTTTCCTAAACTGACTGACTGACTGACTGACGGCACAAAGTGGCTTAACGAAAACATTAATATATAAAATTCATGAGGTTAGAAATGAGGTTAGAAATGAGGTTAGATCTACCCTTCTACCCTAAAATATATTTTGGGTCATTTACACTCATTACGATGAAGAAGTCTTGACAAAACATTAACGTAACCATTAACGTAACCATTAACGTAACCATTAACGTAAACATTAACGTAAACATTTATTTCCAGGACTGTTGTCAAAATGTCATGTTGTCTCATTTTTTCAGAGAAGTTAATTAACCTGGTGACCTGGTGACCTGGTGACACCTTCAGTTATTCAAAAATAATTAATTATTGAATAACCTGAAACCATGAGACTTTGTCTCCGGACTCTTTGAGTCACTTAACGAAAACATTAACGATAAAATTCATGAAAATTCATAACGTATATCACGTTAAACGTTTGTAAATCATGAGGTTAGAAATGAGGTTAGATCTAACCATCTACCCTAAACATTAATCCTGCTGTGTTGTCAAAATGTCATGTTGTCTCATTTTTGGAGCTCAGGACTTTAAGCAGCTCTGAACCATGCGAATATAGTCACAAATGGTGGCATGTAATCTTTACCCGAGCCTGTTGGATTTGTTGTGAAAGTGTGTGAATGATTACCTGCGGTTCCACAGAAAATACCTGTGCTTGAATCTACTGGGTCAGTTGTGATATCATATCTATTCATTCCCCATCTATCCGAACCCGCTGCAAGATTTGTATAACCTCTTTTTGTTATTGAATGTGAATGATTTCCTGTTGTGTTTGTCGTTCCTGTATGAGTGTGCGGTGGAAGGTTTGCTTCTTTAATTTTCTTCGAACCCCCTGTTTGCTTTGAATATCTAGCACAGTATAAGAATTTATCTACAATCTGCTTCCACGTACCAAAACCTAAAACTGTTTCTGGATTTGTTGAGTTCATTGACGTATAAATAGAACCAACAGGATATAATGTTTGAAGTATTTCAGTCTTTAATGTTTGAAGCTCTGTTTTGTCTGCTTTCTTATCATATAAATCTTGAGCAGTGAATTTAACTTTATTTTCATCATCCATGACATAAACATTTTTACAGCTAATTTTTTTCATCGTTGTTATGTTTTCATTCGATGTTAAACCTTGTGGAAAGTTAGGAGGATTATAATATAATGCATCCCCATCAGTTCCGTCAACCGTTCCTTCAATACTTTCTATAGCAACAGTTGAGAAGAAGTTATGTGTATGGTTCTTATCTGCTTTAAGGTCTAAACATCCTGAAACCCATTCTGTATCAGCTTTAACTTTAAAAGTCTCCGATGTCCACTCATGATACCATTCAACCTTTTCTTTAATTTCATTATCTTTTTCATCAACATAAACCAAATTTGCCTTCTTCTCTAACTCATCGTTAACATATTCCTTATCCACCTTCTTCATTATGTCATTTAGGAAACCTTCTATGAATTCCTCATTTAAATTAAATCTTCCAATCTTCAAAACTTTAGGAAATGCATTTAATGCGTAATATCTCTGTTCTTCTGGTGGAATTGATGTTATATCATCCGTTATACCTTTAATTTTAGAATTCATAAATAAAATTTCTTTTATATTTGATATCACTGCACCACCCTTGCAAACGAATTCGAAATGGTCATTTTTCAATACTATCTCCAAATCTCCATATTTCAACCTTTGCGTTTGTTCTGCCGTCTTTGAATTATATGCATATATGGCGTATGTAATGGTCTGAGGGACCTGGGTGTTTTGTGCCTTAAGTTGTTGTGGTTGCTGTTGTTTAATCATTTATTATGATTTAAAAATAAATATTTAATCTGTTATCTCATCAGCTATTTTCTCTATTTGAAATTGCCATAATATTTCATTCATAAATTCTAAATCATAATCAAATAGGTCAGTTATTCTAAATTTAATATTTGATAAATCTTTTGAATGAAGAATAAATGAATTCCCGGATAATTGAAACGGATATGATAAAGAAAATGTGTTTAAGTTGATGGATAAAATGTTTTGTATTGATGGGTAAGAATTAGGGTCTAATGTTTGATGTGAAAATCTCATTGGGGTATTAACTTTATCACATTTGATTAAAATGAAATTGGAACCAGTGTCAGAATACAAAACATCCCAACATTTTTCAAAATTTAATATCCCCAACAATGAACGAAGATGAGGAGTACAAAATTTAATTTTCAGCGGAAATTTAATAAGGTTATTTATTTCATCAAGTTCAAAAAGTTTATCAGGTTTTGATTTAAAATTTTCTTCATACCATACGATAAATGATTCATTTAAATAACTTAAAATCATGTTAATATCCCATTTCGTTATCACATTATTTATATACATATCATACGTTTTTTCAAGGTCATCTTTAATAAATGATATATAATCTGAAGGGTCTAAAAGAATGGGATTAAATTTACCACTCACAGAAACGAGAGTAACATTATAAATTCCGCTAACTGTTAAATTTAATTCACAGTTATTATTCGAAATAATATTGATAATTGACATTTTTTATTACGATTAAAAATATGGTAAAGCGTTATTTTCCAGTGATAAATAAAACTAGAATAAGATTACCTCAAGAATTCATAAATTCAACGAATAAGAAATTCATTCATGTTATAAATTTTAGTGTTTTCAGAAAATATGAGTCAATGTCATATTCATCAACAGGTTATATTTCACTTCATTCAAATTTAGTTCAATCAAACCCATATAATGACCATTTCATAAGATTTTCAGATGGTATTAAAAATGTAATTGATAGATTAAAATATGAACAGATTGACAATATCGAATTTTTGGAATTTTGGTTTAAATATCCCGATGGAAAAAGATTGAAGTTAAAGATAAAGCAGATACTATAACAAAAACAATTACAATGACCGATCCGGATAGTGGGGAACAAAAAGAAATAAAACAAACAATAGAAACTGGTGAAAGGTCAATTATTATTGATTATGATTCAAAGGATTATTATTCGATAATGTTAATGCTTGAATATTAAATAGTCTTAACAAAGAATTTTTCAAGTGATATTTTATATTCATCAACTATTTTATTATAAATATCATTATATGTTAAATGAAGTTCAGTTGTTGTTCCGTTCTTTGATATCTTAATTGTGCTAATATCCTTTATAGGATTTATTTTTGCAACTGTTCCGCAGCATGAAACCTCATCATCTATGAAAAATTGAATCTTAACGTCTGAATCTTGAACATCACAAAGAATGGCGATAATGTGAATTAATGATTCATAAGGTAAAATAATTAAACCGGATTGTCAATTAAATTTATTATTGAATCATAATTATTAATTATTATATCACGGTAAATTTTCATTAATTCTGAATTAATGTCTATTTTATATGGGTTCTCGATGTTTGATGAAAGAGGTGGGGGGTATGTTGGATAAGTGGGAATTTCAACAGGTTCTTTACCAGGTTCAGATAAAATGATTGGGTCTCCATTCTCATGGTTTTCTTCATTCTCCTCCTCATTCTTCGGTAAGTCACGAGTTAATAAATTTGGTTGAGTTGCTGACCTCGTTAATTCGGGGCTAACATTAACTTTAACATTTTGAAAAATTCGTGATTTATCATCATTTACGTTATAACCAACCGTAATCTCTGCTTTTGCGTTAGTGTTCTTTTGACTAGTGAAACGTCTTCTCATTTATAATCGAATAAAAAAAATATATTTAAACTTTTATTTTGCTGGAACTTTTGAATCTATTATTCCCCTGTATTTGTTCATGAAGTTGATTTTTAGCATTTTCATCGAAATTAATAGACCAAATATATTCATTAATTGCATTCTTATAATCATCTGATTTCTCAAATTTTCTTTTATCTGATTCCTTAACTAAATCATAAGTTAAACCTCGTTGCTGATACAATGGTTTCTTAATTAAATCTTTGAATGCTTGAGATAAAGCACCTGATGCAATTCTTGCTACTATAATTGGTTGGAATTGATGTTTAAGTTCATCTTTAACATTTGCGAAAACTGGATCGAATAAAGCAACTTTAAAGAATTTCTTAGCTGAAATTTCAGGTCTAATATTTGCATATTGACCATCAAACTGGTTAGAATATCGTGGTAATCCATCCGGTCCCTCTTCAATAGCATTTAATTCTTCATTGAAATAAGAATATGGATTATGACGGTATGAATTAATTGGACCATTTTCACCTTCTCCAATGTATTGTTTAACAGCTTTTCCATTTTCATCAAATTGCATAGGATAACGTTCATTATATGCTTTACGTTTAGGATAATCAGACATAGTTAATTTATAACCATTTATGACTTTAATATTTCCTTGACCATCAGTAACGAAAACTTCATTTATACATCAGGTTTTTCCATTTGGACCCGTAATGTCTGCTTCGTGTGCTTCCCAATTTGGACCATGACGTTTGGCATATGCTTGAGCTTCTGGTAATGTTAAAACGTTTCTCATTTGTTTAACATCTTTTTGAAGACCAGCAACAATATGAACTAATTCTTTCATTCCATCAGGAACTTTCATAGTTCTATTATATGCACCCTTTTTGTTTGTCCTTGTTTTAATGGAACCTGTAGAAGATTTGCTATTTCTGTCATGTTTAATTATAAATAAAAAATAAAAATTAATTATAAAAAGTTAATCAAATTTAACACTTCCTTTATTTAAATCAACTATTATTTTTCCATGTTCACCTAATTGCTGATATTGTGTGTAAAGTTCATTAATGCTCATTGGTAAATTCACTTGATAAAGCATAACGTTCAACTGTTGACGACTAAACCCACTGAAAATGAAAAGTGTTGATAGATTTGATTTAATGTTTGTGCTTAATGCTTTGAAATATTGAACAGCCATGAAGAATGAACACTGAATGTGTCGACATTGAGTTAATAACTGATTAAAATATGATTTCTCATTTGTTATTAGTTTTGATTTCACTGCATCATCTAGAAAAATGAGTGAATGCAAAAATTCTCTATCAAAATTTGAAATAGAAAGTGTTTCAAATAATTCATCCCGTTGTTTATCAATAATTTTATCCTCTAATCCTTGCTTCTTGATTGTATTATATAATTCTTTATACATTAAAAAGTTTTTTAAATAATCTTCTGCTTCTTCTTGTGATAAATAAATAATTGGAATTTTGATTAAATGCTTTAAAGATTCAAATGTATCATCTGAAGGTGAACCTGAACGGTTGATATAAATTAACACATGTGAATAGGGGGAAGTGTTAGCAATAATGATAATTTGTTTTAATATCGTTAATGTTTTACCTTTATTTTGTTTACCAATTGCTGCAGTGATTGAATTTAAGTAACATTCAGAATATGGAATTTTCATTAATTTTTCCTTAGATAGAGCATTTCTATTATCACTCAATGCTTCATTAATCATATCATCTACGTATGTATTATATACTCCTGCTAATTCTTCATAAGGGGTGGATGAATTTAAATCCATTTAATCAAAAATAAATTTATAATTTTAAACATTTCTATTCATCAATATTTCATCATATGAACTTCTATACTGTGGTGGTGTACCTGTTGGATGATATTTCAAACCTTCATCCGGTGTCCATGTCCAATATGTAGTCCTAGTAAACCAAACCTGAGGAGGATTTGTCACCTTTGAACAGTAAGTGTCATTTTCACCCTGAATGATTGGATAAGCTTTCACTTGTACTGTAACTTGTGAGTTGAAAGTTTCTAATCCATCAAAGAATATACCCGCTCCATCACGTTGAACTGGAATAGTGCATAAGAATGAAGTTTGGTCTTTCCATGTTCTAGCTAATGGCGTGCCATTATCATCATTCAGTGGTCTAGTTAATGAGTCCTCGTATTCTTCCGTGCATTCATTCACTCCATCTAAATCAGAAGCTTGAAGCATACGTGTAAAGAATATGTCACCCACTGTGGTCATCGCTTGATCGGGGAAGTTTCTGGAATCTATAGTGACCTGAAGACCTCGAAGCATTGGATTTTCTAAAACTGTTCTTTGCATTGCATTCTTCGGAAATGTTAACACAACATCTGTAACATTATGAAGAGCGTATGAGAAATCTGAGCTAATACCTTCAGGAGTGATGCAACCTCCATTTAGTGAACGAACGTCAATATGTTGAGCTGGAATCATGAATGGATCTTCCTTACTGAATAAACGTGGTATTGCTTTAACTGATTCTTCAATTAAACCGTATCCTGGTGTAATGCATTTATCCTCTAAAACTTCCATCTTTGTGCATGAAATAATAACGTCATCAACTGTTGCGTCAGCAGATGTAGCGGCTAAGCTTGTAATTAATTTGGCAGGAAGTCCGATTTGTTGGAATTTGCGATCATATTTATAAACATGATTCATAATCTTTTCATAATTTTCATCAGTTATCTTTTCATAAACGTAATTTTGTAAATCAGCAACTCTTAACGGGTCAACCTGACAAAATACTAAAGTATCCCTGAAAACATAATATTTAAGAATGATATCACCAAATGATTTAGGATAATCATCGAACGCCTGAAATGCTAACAAATCATTTACCGGAATAATCATATCAAAAGTGACATCAACTTCTTCATTTGCTTCTTGAAAACTTCTGAAGGGTCAATATATTTACCACATACTGAGTTATCATATTTTTGAACATTATTATATAACGAATGAACAAACTTTTTAACTTTCCTTTCTGATTTTGGTTTATATGTTGCAAATGCGAAAGATTCACGGGCGCAATCCATCTGAAGATAACCGGCATCACCTCTTTCGGTTTCTACTTCTAATTGTTTAAAGCTTTGATTTGATGATTTGTAACCAACGAATAAACGCATGCATTTAAAAGCGGCATCACATGTGAAAGCTTTATTTGAAACTAGAGTTGCTTTAACTTTGCGTTTAATATATGTGTCACCTAATTGGTTCACATCATGAGCCGGATTTGTAATTCTTAAATGAGTTTGTTTATCATCAAAATATGGAGCATCAGAGTCATAGCATGAACTTTCAAGTTCTCTATAATATCTTCTACCGTCATTCTTTGCGAATATTTCATTTATCTTTTCGAATGAATGAAACACATTTCCATTAATCGGTTTAGTGTTTGGCACCAAATAGTTAGTCGTCATTTATTAATAAATAAAAAATCAAAATTAAAAGATGAAAATGAATTTTTAATTTTAATGAAATAATCAACTATGGCTGCAGGTATATTTAAGAAACTGTGGGATAAAGTAAAAAGAGGAGCGAGTAAAGTTTGGGAAACATTGAAGAAGGGCAAATTGGATATTTAAGAATAAAGAAGCAATTAGTGACGTTGCTGAATCAATAACACCAAAAGCTGCCCCAATAAGAGAAGTTTTAAATAAAGGAGAAAAAGTTTATCAAAGACTACAACCGATACTAAGATAAAAATAATTTTATTTTATTTTTCCACTATCTACCTCCTATTTTATTAAGTATTCCTTCAGCAATTCCACCAACTGCGTTACCTGCTTGTGCTCCCATCGCCGGATTACCTGCTTTAGTACCTAATACTCCACCTATGATAGTTCCTGCCGTTTTCGCTACTGGTGCCAAAAAGTTTGCAACGGGTTTAATAATCTTTTTATAACCCAACCCGCAGCTTTCTTAATTCCATCCCATAATTTTTTAAAGAATCCTGCCGCCATTTCTGATTTAATATTAATTAAAAATATATTTTCATCACTTATATTCTAATTTTTATTTAATGATAAATGAAACCTATTTTAAAAATAAATGAAACAGAGGAAGAAATAAATGAAAGTGAAAATGTTCAACAAAAAATAAATGTTGTTAAACCAATTACTGAAATAAAAATTTTTTCATCTGTTGAAGAATTTAATGACTATTATGCTAATAATAAAAAATTATTTGAAGAATTGACAACGTGTAAATTGAATAAAATGTTTAAAGTTGATGGATTCAAAATTTCAAAAATAAAAGGAGTGGTTAGTTTGAAATCTATTCCTCAATCAAGAATCACCTCATTAATGAAAATAGATGATTTAACAAAAAGAATAGAAGAGATTGAAGAAAGAATGAATCAAATAATTGATTTCATAAATTCAAATAATCATTAGTTTCTTAAAGTTCTATGTTGATTCTGAGACATGAATTTTTAAAGTTTATTTTTTTTATTTCATTATGGTAGTGAATCTTTCATTCATGAAAATAATTATTTCTAATTTCTTTTACTCGTTTATGAGGTCTTTGATTATGACTCCATTGATTCCATGAAATTAAATATTCTTTATCATTATATTTATACCTCATTAGCTTATTTTGGCTTTCATATTCATTTAATAATTCACAATCTTCATTTTTAAATTGATGTTTAAGATATTCAGGATTTAAACAATGTTTAATTAATCGCGGAATATCTGACATCATCTATATATAGCTTCTTTTATAAAAGATAAAAAAATAAATATATTTTAAAATTAATGTTAATTTTTTAATGATTTATAAATAAATATATTTTTGATTTCATTATGTATGGGCTGAGTGTAAATGTCTTACAATTTTGAAAATTTTTTAAATCTTGATTTATTCAAAAACGTAAGAATCAAAACCGTCAGAATCATACATTTTTTACTTCATATGTTAAAAAAAAATGATACAAAATCGCTCGATATTGTATGAATTCTTACGTTTACAAAAAAAGTCACACAACCCTTCCACATATACTACTACTACAAAAAAAAAAAAAAAAAAAAAGGAAGTGGGGCTTCCAGGCACTTCGTGCCCTCTAGCCCTGAGGATGAATGAGTATAATGAAGTTTTTTTTTTCTTGGGGGATGGCTTCCAGGCACTTCGTGCCTTCTAGCCCCCGAAGATGTTTAGTATAAATGAAGTTTTTATTCGGAAAATTGTTAGTCTTCTTGTCGAAAACATTATATAATGTTTCACTTTTCACAAATTATATATGTTTTCATGTTTTGTCACTTTTCTGTCACTTTTCAGGAAAAAACATTTTTATTATATATATAAAATGAATTTTACAAAACCACCGTTACCGTTCTTTGGAAATAAGAGTAAATGTAAAGATATTATATTGAGAGAACTTAAGAAACTACCGAATGGTCTAACATTTGTAGATTTGTTCGGTGGAAGTTTCTATATCCATTTGTGCCATACAATATTCCCAGACTCAAAGATTATATGCAATGACTTCGACAACTATATGGACCGTCTCAAACATATACCAGACACAAACAATATATTGAAGAGTTAAAAGAAAAGATACCTATAGGTAAGATGGAACGTATACCATTAGATAAACAAAAAATTTGTGAGAGAGGTTTTGAAAAAAGCAGAATATATAGACTGGGATAGTATATCTGCTAGACTATTATATAGTGGTTCTATAAGAGTTCATGACATTGAAACACTTATGTCAAAAGTTTTATATCTTAACTATACAAATGTTTTCAAAGAGGACATAGAAAAATATATTGAGGGTATAGAGTTTGTGAGATGTCATTGGACAGATTTGTATGAAAATATAAAGACAAGGAAAATGTTTTCTTTATAGTGGACCCGCCGTTCTATAACACATGGGATTTTTCAATACCAAGTAGACTGGACTTTGAGAGACTCTTTAGAAACTTTAGACGTTATACATAACCATCCATGCTTTTACTTTACATCCGATAAAAGTGGTTTGGAACCGTTATGAGATGGTTAGAGGACATACATGACTATGAGTTTAGATATGACAAGATAGAATATGAGAGAGGTCCTATAAACCGGAGAAAGTGTCATAACAAAGAAATTTTACTAGTAAGTAAATGTGGTTTGAAATAGGACTACTTGTTTTAGGTTTTTTCCATTGTGTCATTTATTTATTTGACGTGGCAGAAAGATATAGAGAATATGAAGATGAACCAATGCCTGCAAATGTTCAGCATATGTACTCGTAAGAGATATTTTTATCTAATATTAAATGGACGCACAGAACTTAGCGAATGCACAGCAACCTGGACAACCAAACCCAGAGAATATTCCAAATGAAGTTAGAATACAAACTGCAATGGCAAACTATGGTCAAGTGCCAACAGATGTACAAATGCAAACTGCCATGTCAAATGACGCTGCGTTAGGTTTGCCACCATGGTATGCAAATATGAGATGGAAAGAGTTTTTAACAAACCCTGAGGTGGGATATAAACAACTTTATGCAGATGACGCGAACACAGAGTTGACCCAGAATATGTTTTCTACAGAGGAGAAACAGAATGTATGAGCTCCAGTTAAAGATGCTATGGAACTCAACAGGAAACGTAAGAGACTAGGCGGACATTAGATTTTTACATATAGTAAAATGGGTTTCTTTGGAAGAATAGGAAACTTCTTTCGAAATGTTGGAAGAGGTATATGGAATGGAATAAAATCTGTCGGAAGAGGAATTTGGAACGGAGTCAAAAATATTGGTAAAAGAGTAGGTCAGTTCGTTGGTATTATACCTAAAGACCCTGAAACCAGAAGAACAAGCTCCTGTTATACAACAGCCTGAACCTGCAACCACAGTCTAGTTGGCAACAAATCCAACACCTCAACCGTATTAAAAAATTATATTTTTCCGTTCGATAGTAGTTGTATATGAAACTAAGTTCTAAGTAAAACGCATGGTATAATGGAATTATTCTTTTTCTTCCATCTGTAAGTAAACCATACTTGAAAGTCTGAAATACTTCCACTTGGTGGTTCGTATAACTTTGTAGGTTTTTCGTAAAAGTCATTTGCCAAGCATAAGAAAGAGTTTTGGCGCCAGAAAATGAAGCATGAACAATAATAGCAGCTGGGTCGAAAACATCTTTAAATAAATATGGTTCATCTCTTGCATATCGACTGTAAATATTTGCTAAAGGAAGTTCGACTTTCTGATTTAACATTCTTTGCAAATAATACCATGACATTGCAGTGAATTCTGTATATATTTGTTGTCTTTTCTTTGGATTGTCTTCGTAGATTTGAAATGACACTTGTGAATTTTGTTTGTCATATACAATTCTCACATAAAGTGTGCTCTCGGTATTTGCATATTCATCAGCATATTTTGCATAACATGAAATTTATTTTATCTTCTATATTTTTTAACGCAGTCTGTAGAGAAGATGAAAGGTCAACTTGTATTAGCTCAATTTCTTCCCACATATTTTCGTTTCCCTTCAGATATATAATCTATATGAAACCTTACAATAAATGGAAAACTTTTATCTTCTACAGACACAAACTTCATTCTACGAAAGCCAATAGCTTTTGTGACAGATGGGTCTCTTAGCCATCTTAATGGGTAGTCAAAACGATAGCCTTCATGCTTTACGGTCTCTGTCTCAAACTTTTGACCGACATTAGTAAAAAGTTCATCTAATGGTTTAGTTGTAGCAACTCTTGAATTTTCTTTTTCTATTGAAAGCATATTTTATCTAGAATAAAAAAATGTCGAAAGAAACAGCGTCTATGAGAGAAACAATACAAACAACCGACAACTCATTGTACAAGCTCTAAATAAGAACACACAAACTTTTCAAACTATTCTAAGATATCTGAGTCATTGAAAGAAGAAAACTTAAAACTGACGATAAACCCAATGACAGATGAGTTTCTGTTTCAAGACAGTAAGAACCATACTGTCTGTGTAAATCCAACAAAAGGAACTTTAAACGAGAAACCTATAGATGAACTTCTTTTTGAAAGCAGATATTGACAACAAAGCTGACAAAGAGTATGTAGATGCAACAAGAGACTATATTCTCGCATGGACAGATAGAACATACCCACAAAAACATCATACACATAACATCTATGACGTAGATGAACTACCAGCAATGTTAGATGACAAAGCTGACAAAACATATGTTACAATAAAATGTCAAGTGAAGTGACAAGAGCTGACAAAGAATATTCTAAAAAGACTCATACACATACCATATCTGATATTACAACTTACAAGAAACCTTAAACAAAAAAGTGACGTTGGACATACACACGATTTCTTCGCAAACTGTTGGTATAGAAAATATTGAAGGAACGGTTGAAGGAGCTGGTGGGGATGTATTAGATTGGAAACCTCCTAACTTTCCACAAGGTTTAACATCGGAAGAAGACATAACAACGATGAGATACATTAGATGTAGAAATGTCTATGTCATGGAGGATGAAAACAAAGTTAAATTCACTGCTCAAGATTTATATGATAAAAAAGCTGACAAAACAGAGCTTCAAACGTTAAAGACAGAAATACTTCAAACACTATATCCTATAGGTTCTATTTACACGTCAATGAACTCTACCAAACCAGAAGTAGTACTTGGTTTTGGAACTTGGACTCAAATAGTCGACAGGTTTTTGTATTGTGCAAACTCTTCAAAGGAAACAGGTGGGAGTAAAACGATTTCAGGTGAAAACTTACCTGCGCACAGTCACTACGTAGATTTAAGTACATCTCAAGCAGGTTGGCATAAGCATAGATTTTGGGATTGGTCAGCAATGAAAAAAGGTAAAGGATATGATGTTAAAGACAACGTTCAGTTTGCTATAAATTGTTTCTGGGGTAACACTCAGGGAGATGGAAACCATACACATCGCGTTTCAGGATATACGCAAACAACGGGACAAAGTAAAGACTACATGCCACCTTACATGACAGTTTACGCATGGTATAGAAATGCTTAGTCGTCATTTTCAACTTCTTTAGCATATTCGTCAGGAGTTGTCTTATATTTGTTAGGAACTGTCTTTGAAAGTATACCACCTTGAACTTTGACAAGTTTGAAACGAGGTCTGACAATAGTAGTTTTATCTTCTGCTTGCAGTCTGTACATTTTGCCATGTTTGCCTAAAACTTCATAATATTCTCTTGTATACTTTCTTCTATTTTTACGAACACGAATGCGAGTACCTGTCGAGTTCCCATTGTTGTCATAGTCAATAGTATTTTCATATGGGTCGCGTTTAGGTATTTCTATTTTTACTTTGTCACCTTTCTGAAGTTTGAAGCCCGGCATTCTTTCTTGTTTGTCTCTTTTGACTAAATTATTAAATATATAGTCTTTCTCTAAGTCAGGGTTGTTTTCATTTCTTCGGGGAGTGGTTTCCCAAACCTTTTTGTTTACGGCTATTGTAAATATTTAAAACTTGTCTCATCTTTGCCATGGAGAAGTGTCTATATTTGTCGTCATATGACATTTCATTCGCTTCACCACCTTGTGGTTGGTTTAAGTCTCTTAACATTTTTATACATCCGTCAATGACACCAAGAGCAGAATGGTTTTGGTCGACAATGAAATATTGGTTTACATTTTTGAACGCAGATAGTTTTTAATATCATCTGATTTGAAAGAACTTTCACAGTCAGATGTCAGTTTTGTTGGATGGTATTTGTCAACGAATATTGTCAAAGCAGTTTTTACATCTAAAATATTTTTGGACCATAATGGTATGGCTTCACAGTATCTTGTGTTTTGACCGACAAATATTAGCCAGTATGGTGGTCCATCTTCTCTATACCTCGGAATGTTTTCCAAGATATCCATAAACCAAGCATTTGGTGTTGAACTAAAGATTTTTATCATGAGTGCTTTCTTTGTCGCTTTAGAAACATAGGGGTCCTTGTTTGGATTCGTCATTTTTATCCTATAAGAAATGGGTTTATTTGGCGCATTAGCAGGAGTTGCATCCAGATTTTTGCCCGCAGTTGGAACAATAGCCAGAGGTGTATTTGGAGTTGGAAGGAAGATTTTGAGTACATTAGGTATACTTAAAGAGAAAGCACAACCTATTATACAAACCGTACAGAAAGGTTGGGATGTAGCACGAGATGCAGCAAATCTTATTCCAAATCCTGAAACAAGAGGAAAAGTTCAAGGATGGATGGACAATGTTTCCAGACAAGCAGGAAACTATTATAACAAAGCAAATGACTACTATAACCAAGCAGGGCACTACATGGACCAAGGTGAAAGATTCTTTAACAGAGGATATAACCATGCACAACAGTGGGTAAACAATAACCAACCTCAACCGCCTCAAACGTGGGGAATGTAAAGTTTTTTACTGAGATGAAATGAACAATACAGCATTGAGACAAATGGGTTCAAGATGGATTTGTCGACTTCCAGCAGTTACACAACGTGTTTGTCAAGTTCTTCCTATACCTCAGGAAGTTTTAGACCGACTTAAAACAAACAACAACCAGTTGAAAACAAACCAAACTAAAATTTTTTACTGAGATGAAATGACCGAAGAAGTTGAAACGGTAGATTTGACACCACAAACAAAAAGTTCAGAACCATTGTCAAAACCTGTCAAAGAACTTACAGATGAAGAGAAAAATTCAATAATAGAAAGTGCCAGGTCTGGAAATACAAACCCTAACTATAAAGTCACTTTTCATAGAAATGGAACGGCAAGTATCTCAAAAAAGAAACAGACTCTCACAAATAAAATATTGAAGTCTGAAGGAGCTTTCGAGACAACAGATGGAAAAGTTTACTTCACTGACCAACAGTTCATTATAGAACATCTCATTGACTTAGAGTCGAAATATTCTAAACTTTACAACAAACACAAAAAGTTGAAAGGAAAACAAAAACAGATGGCATATGATATTTATGAAGATGTTGACGACACAACTGTTCAAGCAAGTGAGGTAAAGTCAAATGAACCGAAAAGTGACGAAAAACCAATAGAAGAAGGGGAGCCAAAAACTGAAGATAAACCAAAACCAAAGTTTAGTTTCCAAACTAAACCAAGTCAACCTTCATTAGCTGGTATGGGTTGGCGTCAAAGACTTATGGCAGCCGGTGGTTATGTAAAGTAAAGAAAAAAAATATTTTTTTATTTTTATAAAAATGCCCCCATATAGAATGGATAGAAAATCTGCTAGAATAAAAGCAGAGTTACAAAGATATGGTTGGAGAGTTTCGAAGAATTTTAAATATAGGAAGGGAAGACCCATAAAAGTCTATGACAAACTGGCTGGTCTTCGCTACGAAATGGATTTGGAAACAGCACGTGCAAATTATCCAAACAGACTAGAGAGGTTAGAAGAAGAACGTCTTATGGACATGCCTTTCGATGTTAGTGAACCTCAAGTTGACGGACACGACGGCTTTGCCAGATTCTACTGGAAACATGACGAACAATTGCATCCTTTGAGAAGGAAAAAAGGTAGTGCAGAGGATGGTCATGCTCCCATGGAAAGAACAAGATATGCATATGAAAAGTATCGTGAAGTTAGAAGTCAAATTACATCTGGTCGAACCTTTACAGTAAACTTTGACGAAGGAAAGAACAAAGAAGGCTTCATGGGTGTACTTGCTGCCATACAAGACGGAAATAAGAAAGGATACAATCTCAGACTAACCGTAACAGATTTAGATGGTCATATATACTATGCACATGGCAATGTCACAACAGCTGCACAACTTCTTGACGCTTTCAAGACTACAAAGAGAGAACAAATGTTTGACTCCGACTCAGACATTTTGAATGCAATTGAAGGAATTGCAAGTGTCAAGTTCGAATGGTACCAACCTAACCCTCAAGCAGTCAGACAACATGCTGGATACTTCCCGTTCATAAATAAGTCTGACATTGACTTGACAAGGTATGGAATTTACAATTCAATTGAAACAATTGTCAATGAACCTTGTATTCTTTACATGTCTCAGGAACTCTGGTCTTGTTACAGATGAGAAGATGAAGTATCTTGAGTCATGTGTGAAAACAAGGTACATTCTTAGAAGTCAATTGACAAAAATTGCACCGTTGGCAAATGTGAATATCCGAGTCAACATTCCGACTGAGAAAGGTTCTTCACATGACGACTATGTTGTTGACTTCAAATTGCCATGGTTGAAGATTGCAATTGTCCACAACCACTTCATGTTGAACGAAAGTCTTACAAACCCATTGTTCGGAAAAGGCAAGTGCAACATTGTCAGAGCTGTAAACATTCTTTTCGAGAAAGGTTTGTTGGAACCAATTCCAGATGACAAGCTGACAGAAACTTTTGTACCAAAAGACGAAACAAACTTTTCATTGTTAGCAAGACCAAAAGTTGTTCCAGACAAAGTTATAGCACAAAAGAAGTACACAGTTCCAAAAGGAGTTGGATTGTTCGGATACCAACCTGAACCAGAAGAACTTCCAATGAGGTTGCAAGAACTTCAAGATGCTATAAACAAACTTCCATTGAGGCATCCAATTGACATCAAATTGTATTGGAGAGCTTCTGAGTTAGGTCAGAAGGTTTTATATGAAACAGGTTGCTTCGACGATGTTTATGAGATAACAGGCGAGGTTTCTCAGAAGATAAGAGACTCACTTGAATTTCCACAAACTGGACCGATTGGATGCGATAAGTTCGACTCATATGAAAAAATATACTATGTCGACCTTAACGCTGCGTACATGAGGTTTGTCCAATATATTCCGACTGGAATTCCAAACGAAGATGGTGAGTTCCCGGGAAGGAAACTATACAGTTGGAAAAGTCATACAACAACTGTATGATATTAGGAAAGCTTCAAACCCCAAACTTGCAATGACACTCAAATTGCTTATGAATTCGACATGGGGATATTCCATTAAGAAACCTCAAGAGATGAAGAGTAAACATTATGAAGGTCGACAACTTTGTTGAAAGGTTTTCTCCTTTTGTTTTGAAGTACGAATTCACTCAAGGTCAAAATGGCTTAGTAACCACATTAAAACCTATTGTCGAACATTGGTCTTACCCTCAGTTCGCAAAGGCAGTACTTGACAACTACAACAAATTCTTCTCCGAAGTCAAATCCAAAGTGAAGGTTTACTATGAGAACATTGACGCACTCATGACGAACGAAGAAGGATACAACAAACTCATTGAAATGGGAATGGTCGGTGAAAAGATGGGTCAATTCAAATTGGACAAAATTTTCACCGAAGTTCATGTAATATCGAAAAGGAAATATTGGGGTGTTAAAGAAGATGGTGAAATAGTTAAACATTGCATGAAGTAAAACATTGCATGAAACAAAATATTTTTAAAAAACATTTTTTTATTTTATTTGAAATGTACGCTGAGTTTGTTGGAGAAGACCGTTGGGAAACTTGTTTGTTAGATGAGAAATATGAAATTCACTGTTGTGAGTCATTTGAAGTCAGAAACAAAAAGACAAAAAGAGTTTTAAGCGAATGGGAGCAAAATAACGGATATGCTAGGATGAGGGTTGGTGGGAAACACTATCTTAAACATGTTGTCATTGCAACTCATTTTATACCGAACCCTAACAATCTACCTTTTGTAGACCATATAAACCATATAAGAAATGACAATAGACTTGAAAACTTACGCTGGGTCACTTGTTCTGAAAACAATAAGAACAAAAGCAATTTTCGAGATATAGTATTCGAATTTGTCGACGAACTAGAAGATGAAGCAATTGAAATTACAGACTATGGTAAGCATACGTTTGAGTTTTACTACTATAGCGAAGAACAGGACTCTTTCTACTTTTATACCGGCGTAAACTATAGGAAATTACAAGTATGTTTTACTAAGGAAGGCTGTGCTTATGTAAACGCTAGAGATACAGATGGAAAATACATTAGACTATATCTTAACAAATTCAAGAAGCTATATGGCATACCATTTTAAAACAGTATATTTTTACATATATAAAATGCTTCAGGTTGAAAAACAAAGAACAAAAGTAGCAGATACAAAACCGTTAGACTATATCTTTACAAATGCCGGTAGAAATATTTCAGATGAAGAAATTTTATCTCGAATTGTCTTTCATATACAACTACGGAAAAGTGCTGAAAAAGTATTGAAAAATATATTTTAGGTGAAGTGGTGAGATCTCACCTGTTTTCTCACCTGTTTTTTCACCCTCTTGAATTTTCATGAATTTCCTTAAGATAGAAAAAAAGTGAGTTAAAATGAGATGTTTACTGAACTGGTTGGATGTCGCCTTCTAAGGTTATGTAGAACGGCTGACCCGAGAAGTGGAACAGTGCTCTGAGAATTTGGTTCATTCTTGGGAAAGGGTTCTCTCTGTTTGGAAGTTGTATCCTCATCTAATGGCTCGATGTTGTCCATTGTACTTTTTCAGAAAATACTTGCACTGCTTCAGAACAATACTTGCACTGCTTCAGAACAAGACTTGTACTTTTTCAGAACAAGACTTGTACTTTTTCAGAACAAGACTTGTACTTTTTCAGAACAAGACTTGTACTTTTTCAGAACAAGACTTGTACTTTTTCAGAACAAATTTCCCGTAAAAGCTCTCAATTTGTGAGAAAAATTTTCTGTTTCAGAACAATATTTGTACTTTTTCAGAACAATACTTGTACTTTTTCAGAACAATACTTGCACTGCTTCAGAACAATACTTGTACTTTTTCAGAACAATACTTGCACTGCTTCAGAACAATATTTGTACTGTTTCAAGACAATATTTGTACTGTTTCAAGACAATGTCCGACGGTTAAGCCACAAACGAATGTCCGACGGTTAAGCCACAAACGAATGTCCGACGTCCCACCAAAAAATATTTTTTATTTTTATTGTAAGAACTGAAATGACAGTCGAAGCAAAAACGTTCACGAACAAATCTAATGGCGAAACATTCACAAAAGGCACTTACAACGGTATTGAAGTCTTACGTAGACAAGGATGGTTATATAAATGCAACAAAGATATGTCAGCAGTTTGGGAAAGACTTTAGAAGGTTGTTGGAAAATAAGTCCTGGGAAGAGTATTATACGGCATTTTGTGAAGAATATACCAACCCGCGGAAAACGGCGGGTTGCTTTTTATACAAAATTCATGCAGGAATTCCGGATGAAATCAAACAGGTTAGAGGAATGTATGTAGACCCAAGACTCGTAAACTATATAGCAATGTGGGCTTCTCCAAAATATTGTATAGCAGTTGGAAAAATTCTGGACTCCATAGACAAGAAAGTTCATGAGAAATTAGATGAAGAAGAACTTGAAGATACAGTAGAGAATGCAAAACCTTTGTTCGAACAAGAAGTTAGAAAAATGCATGAAAAACAAATAGAACATGAACGTGAGATATGTTCTGGTTATAGAGATTCTCCATACGAACTAGACCAATGGGAACAAGAAGATTTAAAGAGAGAATTTAGAGAATATGAACTCGCTAAAATTTCATTAGAAGCTGCAGAAAAGAAGTTAAAAGTTTGGGGTCGTTTTGTACAAAAATATTGTGAGTAAATGAACCATTTATTTTTATTGAATTCAGCAAAAATATAATTTAGGGTAGAAGGTTAGATCTAACCTCTTTTCTAACCTCTTTTCTACCCTCTTGAATTTTCATGAATTTTATACAGAAAATGCTTGTTTTGAGGTCGAGCCACTTTTGGCTCCACCGTATTCTTTCAACCAAAACTCATGAATTTTACACCAAAAATAATGTTTAGGGTAGAAGGTTAGATCTAACCTGTTTTCTAACCTCTTTTCTACCCTCTTGAATTTGTCATGAGTTTTCCCGAAATAAAAAATAAAGTTGGTTTTTTTAAAAAAATATTTTTTTATTTTTATTGTAAGAACATGTTAGCAACAACAGCACCAAACTCTTTAGTCATGAATCCTACGTCAATGTTAGTAGAGATGAAAAGCTTCATTCCTTCTTCATATACTTTCGAAACAGAAATCCAGAAGATAAAGCAAGAACTTTTAACAAATAATTTAGACTGTAGTGCGAAAGATGAAACAAATGAACAGTATCTTTATGAAATGCAGGACATTATTGACCATTACCAAATTGCCTGAAATTCAGCAACAAAAACTCACTATTCTGAATTCGACGAATTGAAGTGAAACCAACTGACTCAGTAGAAATAAAGAAGTTCATTCGAAAGGTAAACTATGAGTTTCTAGGATTTCATTGCAACCATAAGGTTATGGACAAAGATTGCGACATGGTATATAAGAATGTTTCTGACATATATAAATCTGAAGAATTTAAGACCTACGACAACTTTGTTTCGTTAGTTGCTGAATGTGTATGGCAGATAAGAGATAAAGATAGAAGAGGCAAAGTATGGAACGAACAAATAAGACCCGCTATGTTTGAGATGAAGAGAGCAATTGACGCCTTAGTTGTTTTAGCAGGTAAGATTTCAGAATATAACGCAAAAATGAACCCGCAATGTTCAAAATGTAAAGCGGCAATTAGGAAATATAACTACTCCGTCAAAGAGATAGAACGTATGAGAAACGACTATGCAGACTTAAAGAAAGAAGCAGAGAAACCAGCAGAAGATAAAATGGACATGTTAGAATTTGAACAAAAACTATCCAACAGCAGAAGATTTCCTTCTATCTGACGTCAAGAAGAAATATAAAGAAACCTTCGGTATCGTTAAAACATTCGATGTACTAAAAGAAGAAATTGAAGCTACGAAACTGTTTAGAGTCTCACGAATTCATAACGTTTACCATGTAAAACGCTTATAAAATAACTGGGGTAGAAAAGAGGGTAGAAAACAGGTTAGATCTAACCTTCTACCCTAAACATTATTTTTGCTGAATTCCGTATGAAAATTCATGAGTAAAATAATTTTTAGGGCTTGTGTCAAACCATTGAGTTTTCACAAAATTTAAAAAATAACGTTTACCATGTAAAACGCTTATAAAATAACTGGGGTAGAAAAGAGGGTAGAAAGGAGGTTAGATCTAACCTTCTACCCTAAAATATATTTTTGTCTGATTTACGCTCATTACGATGAAGAAGTCTTGACAAAACATTTACGAAGAAGTCTTGACAAAACATTTACGAAGAAGTCTTGACAAATTCAAGAGGGTAGAAAAGAGGTTAGAAAAGAGTTAGATTAACCTTCTACCCTAAAATTATTTTGCTGAATTCAGCACAAAAATCTGAGTAAAATGGCATATGTTTGCTTACCTCGGAAAAACCGAGAGAAGAGATTCCGTACGAAAACAGTGAAATTTCTCTAGACCGACTTCCTTCGGTCTTGCATAAAACTCTATGAAAATCATGAAGAACAGCGAGTAGGTAAGAAATCCTGGTCGCCTAAAACTCATGAAATTTCATGAATTTCCTTAAGACAGAAAAAATAAAGTTAGTTTTTTATAAAATATTTTTTTTATTTTGTATGTAAGAACAGAAATGTTAAACATTGAGTTTGAAACAGTTAGAAAGATAGACAATAACACCAAAGTGGTTCGAATTGGTGATTTAAACGTAAGATACTCAAAGAAATACAAAAAATATTCTTTGTCAGACATTCTAAACACCATCTGGAAAGAGAGCAAAGGACTGGGTTAGAAATGCTTCAACTCAGAAAATTTTGACAAGAAATCCTGAGCTTTTGATATCGGTAAGATTCTATGGAACTACAGCATATCTCATTGACAAAAGTCTTATACCAATAGTTTTGTTATGGTTAGACCCAGTTGTTGGATATAACTTCATAACTTATGGTTCATTCGATACGGAACGTTGCAGTGAAGGCTTACTTTACATCGTTCAGAACCGAAGGACTTCAATACAAAAAGATATAAGATAGGAAGAACATATAATATAACTAAAAGATATGACTCTACAGTCAATAGAGTTAAGGTTGTGTTTGTTAACGATATGAGAGCTGCTGAAACAGAACTACTTGAAAAGTTTGAGAAAATGTATGGTGCTCCCATAAAAGGTAAAGAAACGTTTGAAGTAGATGAGATAGATAAAGCTATAAAATTGTTTGACGAAGTTGCTGAAAAATACATGTAAAGCGTTTATTTTTGGTCTTTTGTGAAAGATAGAAAAAATAAAGTTAGTTTTATTTTTATTTATTTTTTTATCCGGAATATAAAGACAGATATGTCAACAACAGAGAACACAACAACTGCTATCGTTCATGAAGCTATAAATGAAGAATACGAGTGGGTTCAGTATAACAAACAGTTACGTCTCATTCGTTCGGTCAAAGACGATATGTACCAAATGCAAAGTATTTTGAATGCTCTTCGTTCTACAAAGCAAGCATACCATTGGTTTGAAAACCAACAGACAAAAGAACTTTTAGAAGAATTTCCTCATATGTTTGCGTCCCTCGGAAAACCGAGGAACGAGATTCCGTACGAAAATCGTAAAAATTTGCCAAATGGTTTGAAAGGATATTATGTACATAGACTTCTTGTAAATGCTGTTGCAATGTGGGCTTCACCTCGCTATGCTTGTTATATTTTCATGATGTTAGACGAAATTCATAGACAAGAACGTGAAGAGCTAGAGAACAAGCTTGAAGCAAAAGACAAAAGCATTCAGAAAAGAATACCACGTTCGGTACCAAAAGGTAAGGAAAAGAACTATAAGTATATGATTTATACTGAAGAGATGGAAAATGAAGAAGATAAAGATATGGTTATGTTGCATTTAGTCAGAAGAAACAACAAAAGCTTTTACGACCTTGCTAAGATTTACAAATCTGACAGAAATTGGTTCTATCGCGAAAACTTACCGATTTCAATGACTCCAAATGAAGATGTTAAACAGATAGTTCAAGATACGTTACCTCAAACACACTATGATATGAAAGGTTGTACAATTCTTACCTTCAAAGAAGATTTGCCATTGTTAAAGGAAAAAATAACAGAGTATTTTGACAACTTCAAACAAGTAGAGTAAATGCACTCTTTATTTTTCAAGCTTGACACCAAAGATGGCTCAGGTAGCTCTATAAGGTAGATTGCCTCATCTGTTGGGTCTATGTCGGTCATTGTTTCAAGACAAGTCTTTTACTTTTTCAAGACAAGTCTTTTACTTTTTCAAGACAAGTCTTTTACTTTTTCAAGACAAGTCTTTTACTTTTTCAAGACAAGTCTTTTACTTTTTCAAGACAAGACCCGTTATTTTTCAAGAAATTTTTTGGTGTAAAGTTCTCAAATTTGAGAACAGTGGTCTTGATTTCAGACGATACCCGTACTTTTTCAAGACAAGTCTTTTACTTTTTCAAGACAAGTCTTTTACTTTTTCAAGACAAGTCTTTTACTTTTTCAAGACAAGTCTTTTACTTTTTCAAGACAAGTCTTTTATTGTTTCAAGACAAGTCTTTTACTTTTTCAAGACAAGTCTTTTACTTTTTCAAGACAAGTCTTTTACTTTTTCAAGACAAGTCTTTTATTGTTTCAAGACAATGTCCGACGTACCACCAACCGAGTCCATTCCAAAGCCAGAAGAACCGACAGCCCCAGCACCACAACAGACTAAGACTCAAACACTTACATTTTTACGCTTGACTTTTTACAATTTGAACTTTGTTTGCGTAGATATGAATTCTGAAAGAAGTATGAGGGTCTTGTATGACTTTGTACTTCTCCCATAGTTCATGTCTGTCAAACTTACCTGCCATGGACTCTTTCATAAGTTCCATGAAATCGTCTTCGGACAATCCGGGGAAAAGTATGATATCAGTAAGTATTCTCTTTACATCCTTACTTAAACTCTTGGCTGTCTGTACACAAATGACAACTGAGATGTTAAAGTGCCTGAGCTTCTTAAGAATTCGACACATGTCTTGTTCTCTGTTCTTTAACAAAGGATGAGAAGCAAAGTCATCTAAGATAAGAAGACATCTGTGAGGGTAAGTCTTCCAATCGTAAGATTGCAATTTCTTCGAAATGTATTCTATCTCTTTCTGTTTGTTTCTGAAGTGTTTCTTCTCTAATATTCTCTGCATTTCCTCATTTGGGTCTTTAAACTTCGAATTGACATACTCATTTATAGCATTATACTTCAAAACTCTTCTTTGGTACTTCTTTATCCAATCTAACAACTCAGTATCCTTTATGCATACTAACTTAGACTTCTTTATAATATCTTTGAACGAATTGACGGTTTGGTCAAATTGACCAGAAGTCGAACAAATAACAACTAACTCATAGAATGGGTTCTTCTCATCTAGTTCTTGTTGTTGTGCAGCCATTTTAAGATAAGTGAAAGTCTTACCCGACCCAGGTGGTGCAATTAGACCTGTTATACCATTCTGAGCAAATAAGAACTTGTCATGTATAGGCTTTATCTGAGCATTTTCTAACTTCCTCTTGTTCTTCTTCAAAACATTCTCAAATTTCTTGTCAATGTCAGCAAACTTTTTTTCTAACATATTTTTAGAAAAATTAAAATTTTTATCTTTTAGAAAATGTCTAGTGATTTCGCTATCTATATTCGAGACAAGCTTTTTGACTCTAAAACTTCTGTCGACCATAAAATCTTACATAGTGTAAACAAGAAAGGTGAATTTGTTCTAAAGTTCTGTTTCTGGGAATATGACAAGAACCATAAAACATTAAGCAGAGAAGTCTTTAAGTTTGTCAATGACAGACTTGTTGACAGAGATGACGCCGATTGGAAAGATGAAGTCCAACAAAAGTTCTTAGAATGCAAAGAAGACACATGCGCTGTTCTTGAAGATGAAATAGAAAACAGAATAGATGAGCTATTAAAGGACAAAGAACTTTTACATAAATATGGTTGCGCCAAATTTGACATAACTCCACCAGAGAAGAAGAAGAAGAGAGAAAAGAAAGAAAAGAAAGTAGAAGAAAAGAAAGTAGAAGAAAAGAAAGTAGAAGAAGAGAAGAAAGAACCTGAACCAGTTCCAGAGAAGGGGAGATATGACATGTAAAAATAAAATTTTATTTTTAGAACATTTCTGGGTCAATGTCAATGTTCTCTTCCTCTTTAGGAGCAAACACTGGCTTAGACTCTAAAATCTTTTTACCCAATTTACCTTGAACTTCAACTATCTTAGACTCATAATATTCATAGTCGTCTGCTTTCTTTGGTTCATAAGGTATAACAAGTTTGTATGCTTTACCTTCTTCGAGTTTTGAGAACTTTCTGTCAAAATTTTCTTTGACTGTCAACATACCGTCAATGTATAAGTCTTCAAAAGTTGCACCACTTTTTCTAACAACAGCAAACTTAACTGGTGCAATGTTCCAAATTTTGTCAAATGTAGACTTTTCAAAATTGTAGAAGTAAACATTCAAATAAGCGAATGGAGCTAACTTATCTTTGACTTCTGTCATGTACTTATTTACTGAGATGAATTTCGTCATCTTTTCTATCGGATAAAAAAAGATTTTTTTTTAAATTTACTCAGAAAAATTTTTCTTTGTATATACACCATTCTGAACATCTAAAAGACTTTTGACATTTGCCAAGAATGTTCGTTTAGACGCTGTCATATAACCATATTCTTGACAATATTGTTTATATTCATCGTACAATGACCTTTCATCTAATGACACAAAGTCAGTTTCATCTATGAACAGTTCATATACACTCTTGTTTGCTTCTAACAATGTTTGTCTTTCTTCGGTATGTGGAATTTGTCTTGGATTGAACTTAGAAATATCTAATGTCATGAAATATGAGAACAAGTGGTTGTAAAAGTCAGATGTCAAAGTTTCTGCTAAGTCGTCAAAATATTCTGTATCTTGCATATGAGCTTCTGACGTTCTGACAACTACATATCTTCTGTCAGAACTTTCTAACTTCATCGGAACAGCATTGTTTGAAACCATAATGAAGTTTGCAACATTTTCACAAACTCTTTGGTCTTTATATTTTCTTTCAACAACTCCAACTTTGTCTGTTATAAGACTCTTCAAAGCATCTGAGTTCAAAACTTTTGTTGTATCTATACTTTGAAGTTCGTTACAAACTATAAGTTTCATATTCTCTATTGAGGAGTTAAACTTGCCACAGATGTTTTCTAAGTTTGTCATATTCGGATTCGAATAGCCCTCTAACAGTTTGCACAAAATATCTGTAAAGAATGTGTTCTTACCAGTTCCTTGTTTTCCAATTATAATGAGAGCAGTTTCATTCTTAGCACTTGGATGTTGTAAGATGTTTGCAAACCAACATAAGATATACTCATAAACCTTTTCGTTTCCATTGCATATAATTTCTTTGACATGGTCTAACCAAGCTTCTATAATATTTTCTTTCCATTCTACTTGTTCGTATTTATATCCAGTGAAGATAGAATAGAAGTTTGGAGAAGGTGTATAAAACTTTATACCTCGAACTGAAAAATCTTCTAACTTTGACAATAAGATATCCCAAGCATCTAACATCTTCATGCCAACTTGTACGACTTTTATTTTCTTAAGTTTCTGTCTACATTCTTGTTCTGAAACTATTGTTGCTCTTGGTTTGTTAAAGACAACATCCCATTCTTTCATAACATAACATTCTGGGGCAGAGTCGACATAAATGACTAAACGTTTCAAATTCTCGACTGCTTTGTTATAGTCTCTAAATGGACACATATTTCTGAATGCTTGGAAGTCATAAAAATCTGAAACATCTATTCTGTACATTTTTATAAAAATAAAAAAAATATTTTTTTTTATTCTTGACTTTGTTGTTGCATTTGTTGCATTTGTTGTTCTTGAGCTATTTGTTGTTGAAGTTGTTCTTGTAATACAATACTTTCACCAGTTGCATCTTCCAATTCGAAACTTTCTGCCGTCATTGACAAATACATAGGACATAAAAGTTTTACAGGAACAAAGTTTGCGTCAACTAATGTCAACGTTATACTTGCCAAAGTGTTTGAGTTCACTAAGGTTGAAAATTCTGCATTCGAATGAACAATAGGCAAACCAGCAGAGAAAGTATTGTTTATACGCATAAGTATCTTTTGGTCATAATAGTTTCTGTCGACATTCGAATAACACTTTGAACCTAAGTTTGAAACAATATATAAAATAGGTGTGCTTAAAGTCAATGGAACAGACATTCCTTGTATGACACCTTTTCCTGTTATAGGAAACTGTTGGTAGTAAAAACCAGATATAAGTTTTGTATTATAGCTCATATTGTTTATAGTAAACTCAGTCGGACATCCAAACATAATGAAACCTGCTCTAGTTGCAGCACATGTTACATCCGTCCTTAAAGTATTAAATAAGTCAACAAAACCTGTTGGTGGTATATCTGAGTAAGTATCTTCAAAGGAGTATTTTTTACCATTCACAACAATAAAGTCTTCTGGTGTCAAAAGAGCAAAACAGGCTTTAGTCGTCATTGTGTTTAAGGTTAGTTTACAATATCGTCCTTGAGGACTTTGTAAGTTTGTTGTTATAGAATTATATGACTCAGGGTTTTTAGTCGTAATAGTATAAACCATTGTGTCTTCTGCCATTTACTTAGCAAATAAATTTTAATGAAATGTTGTGGTCGTCAAATATTTTTATGACGTCTGGGAAACTATACTTTAAGTTCAACGTTTCACCTCCTTTCATAACGTATATCTTGTCAATGACATTATATGAAACACCACAGCAAGCAATGTCGGGTTCTATTTCTTTGATGTTTATATCGTCTGCCTCTGTCAAAAGTTTCAATAGTTCTTTCAAAACTTCATGAGGTGCAATGACATATGAGTTCACTTTTACAGGGTTGTGTTCGACCAAGTTTAACATTATACCTAAAGCTTGACAAATCTTCTCCTGAGTTTTAAGTTTGTCTTTAAGTTGTTGGTAGTCATTTCGAATATCTGCAACAGAACTTAACTCTCTGCTAACTTCAGGGTATGTTGGTTGTTCTTTTACAGGAACAATTGTTATACCATCTTCGTCTTCGTATGGTTTCCCCACTTCAACATCTCTGTCTTTGACATTGACAACAACACTTTGACTGTTTGTTTGAGTTGGTGAATTTAACTTCACATCTGCCACCGCCATTAAACCTTTTGAAACACTTACGCTTCTATTTTTCGGAAATGACATTTTACTTAGAATAAAAAGATGGACGTATTTGAGTATCTCTTCGAATTGAAGCAAAACAAAGTTTACACACACAAACAATACAAGTTCATTGACAGAGTAGTTCTTTACACAAACAATGGAAAATGTTATAGAATAGCAATATTTGCTGAACCAAAATATTTTCATAAAGCAAAGAAAGTTGGTATAACCGAGATGGTGAAAGTTCTTGACGTTGACAAAAATATAGCAACAAAACTGACCGATATTTCTAAAGGTAAGTTTATCTTACAATATTATGTCAAAACTGGCGTACTGTCAATATTTGACGGAGAGAAGTCAGTTCAAGAACAACTTACTGACCTGCTGCCAAAATCTGCTCGATGGAAGCTGTCGTTATGCCAATCTGAGGAGCCCCAGCAGGTTTCATCGAACGAATCTTCAAAAGAGCATCTTCCGTGAAAAGTGCTATTGGTTTTGTAAACTTCTTTGCTCTCAGTTCATCTGGACCGTCTCTGTCACCAGTATATTGTATTTGTACAGTACCAACAGTTGAAATACCACCCATAAAGTCTTCTGAGTCAGCAAATGGAATGCCAAGCCAAAAGTTTGAACGGTCTCCATTTGTATATTGAGTTTTTTGACCTCCTGTATGAGTCCATACTTTCACATATGGCATAATAGAACTTTGCATTTCAGGGTTTATGGTTGTTGTGAAGTTGTTGTTAAAGTTCATAGCATCTAATGTCAAGTTGTATGACCTCATATCCTCAACTGTAGAATATTCTTCTCTTGGATAATATTTGCCATCTATGTTTATATGATATTTAATACCGGGGTTGTAGAAACAAGAATAGTCATTTATAGTTCGTCTGAACAGTACAAACATAGTATCTGCATGTTTCATTGCAGTTGTTAAAGCAATATCTGTTCTTGCACCTGGGTCAGCACTTTGGTTTCCAACTTCACCTGCAAAGTCTTTGACAGATATTTGGTGTATAGGGAACATAAGTGGAACTGCAATATATTTGGCAGCTAAAGCATTTGAAATATCTGGGTCCAACATATAGACTGCAAGTCTGCTTTCTATTCTCTTGCATTCAAATTTTTCGCATGTGAACTTAACTGGGTCCCAAGCATCTCCAGCAGCATTGAAATAATAGTTTACTTCAGTGTTGAGGTTTGAGAAACCAAAGTCTAAGTCAACTTTGTTTTTGCAAAAGTCGGCGAATGACATTTTATTTGTTCCCACTACTTCTGTAAGAGTGAATGGGTTTGTGTTGGTGCAATGACTAAGTTATTTTTGCTTGGAGTAAGTTCGATAGAAATTTTTCCTGCCCAGTTTGGCAAGTATCTTAAAAACCTGAAGATGAGGAAAGATGACAAAGGAACTCTAAGTTTCAGTTTTACTTTGGTTACTGCTGCTGCAGTTTGTCCAGAAAGGTTAACATAAACTCCTGGAACGTTAGGGTCAAGTCTTCTTATTTTCTCAATAGTTGCATACTGGTCTGTTTGTTCTCTAGCTTGTGGTTGTACTGAGTTTCTCAAAGCGAACCATTCATAGTTTGCCCATGTTACTGTTTGAACTAAGTCAGAGTTAGAATATATCTTATATCCCATGAAAACTTCTGGAGCATATTGGTATCCGACATAGAAAATTCCATTGCAACCTTTCTTGTCAGACAACTTGGCAGAAGGTTTTATTTCAATGTCTTGTTCCACGTATAAGAAAGAGTTGTCAATAGAAATTATATGAAACCTGTCGCAAGCAATATCTACTGTTGTTGAAGAACCTTCTCCAAACTCACCTACGTTTCCATAAGAAACAGCAGTTGTATATTCGTAAGTTCCAGGAACTATTTCTGACCTTCTAATGGCATTGTCGCATTCGTTATACCATTCGGAAACATTTCCATTCATAGCATCCAAAACTGTTGGCGTTATATTCTGAGCGGCGTACATTTCATATGAGTAAAAATATAGAATAGTTGGATTTATATGTCATAATAGAACCCACGTGGACCAAGCTTTACTTTCTTCCTGACTGAGTTTTTTAACTCTTCTTTTTCCTTCATTGCCCTCTGCTTGAAGTTGTTGCATCTTTGCATTATGTTCATCTAGTATGTTGCAAATTTCCCATGTCCTTTTTGCCTTTTGGCTCTGGTCGCCCATCTCAGGTAACCTATATCCTAGAAAGAGTTTGTCATAGTCTGTATTTGAGTCTTCGCGTATTGTTTGCATGACTCTTTCCTGAGTTTCCGGTTCAAGCTCTTCAAACAGTGCCTGTCCATATGGAATATGCTCGTTTCCAAATATATGTTTTTGTAGCCATTCTGGTTTTCTTTCCATGTTACCAATTATATCTTTTGTGAATGGAAAGCTTTTACCCAATCTTTCAGTCTTGCGTCGTTTATTTCTGTAGTTGGTTTTATTTTGTCAAGGAACATGTTTTTCAATACTAACATTTCATTTGGTACTGTCCATTTGAGTTTTCTTAAATATTCATCCCTTCTCGTTCATTGTCTGCAAAGTAAGTTTTTATGACATTTTGTAAACTTTCGTTTGCAAGGTCATGTACAATAGGTTCTCTTCCTTCTCCTCCCTAACTTTCTTTCTAAACTCTTCACCAAATATACCATCTCTATGGTTCTGTGTAGTTCTTTGAGATAAATGTTCTAGAACGTCAGGTGTTATATTTCCATCAGCCATGTTCATTTCATACTGGTCCAAAATATCTGCATGTTTCATATCTTTCAATGGCATTAAAGCCGCGCTTAAAATACCAGCTATATCTTGTTCACCATTGACTTCCATTGCGTCTACAACTTCTTGGAATTGTGGTTGTAAGTTTATGAACCACCTATCCGGGTTAGCTTTATGACCCCATCTCATTGTAGTTCCATCGTCTGCAGAAACAAAAGTAGGTTTGTTTCCATCTTGGTTAGGTTCTGAATGAACTTTAAACAATGTTTCATTTCTATATGTTTTCTTGAAATTTAACCTTTTATTTTCACCGAGTTCATCCGAAGATTGAACGTTAAATGCTCGTAAGTAAAAAGGGTTGTTGTATTTGTGTACATTTTTCTTTCAGTACTTTCCATTCTATGCTGAATATTTTCATCTGTGTTGGAGTCTTTTGTATGTCGGCAAACATTTTTCGATATTCTTCTACTATGTCAGCCGAATTTTAGACTCTTGGAAGATTCCATATTCACCTCATGCTCTTGTTGAGGGTCAAGATTTTTCGGCTGTTTCCAAATCTTCATCTAGTTCTGTGAAGTTAGTTTCCAAAGGAAGGACTTGTTCGTTTCCTTCAGGCTCTTCTAGCTGTTGTTGCTGAACTATTTCTTCCATGTCTGGTTGTATCTGAACTTCTTCCTGTGGAGTTTCTTGTACCTCATCTGCTGGCATTTCATATATTCCGAGACCGTTTTCAACAATTTCCCTATCTACGTCATCCGCATTCATAAGCTTTTGTTCTTTCGTTCCGTCTCTATTTTTTTACGCGTTTCATGACGAAAGTTGAATTGTCATTTAGCTCTGACATCAAATATCTCGGAGTAAATTCATCCATGTCATTTGGATGATATGCTATTAAATCATATCCCTTAGCGAGCTTGTATTTTCCAGTTTGAGATTATATCCGTTTTGGTGCTGAGCCATAAAGCTAAATAGGTTCGGGTCAGTATTTCCATCCCTTGAACTTTCCAATAGCTTCTTTATATCTGTCACTAAAGTCAACAGTATCTGGGAAACCACACTCTTCTTTAAGCATTTTTAAGAATTCTTGGTTTCCTTGTTCTCTACTTCTTTTATGTCCTTGCTCTGGTTGTGTTGCTGTGCTGGTTGTGAGGTGGTTGTTGTGCAGGGTTTTGAACTGTTGGTTGTTGTGCTGGTTGTGGAGGTGGTTGTTGTGCTGGTTGTTGTGCATGCCTGTGTCTGTGTCCATGTGACGATGTAAATGTTTAGGTAGTCCTGGTGCAGGTGCTTCTCTTGGAGGGTTTGGTGGTATATAAGTTCCACCAGCTGGCACATATGTTCCATCTGCAGCGTAATGTCCTACCTGACTTTTCGTTTTTAAGAAAGATTTACTAGGTCTGTTTTGGTCTGTTGTAACTCTTTTTCTTGACTTTTCACAACAGTTGCTCTAACGGCGTCATAGCACTTTGAACTGCCTGTCTCGTTGCTGCATCTGTTATTTTCGTCATATTTTGTGCTACTTCTTTAACTCTTTGTCGAAACCTTCAGACTTCAGTTTCTTTCCAGATGAGAAGTCGTTCACTTGTTTCACCTTACTATGAAGAGCTTCGAAGGCGTTCTTAAAGTCAGCATTTGTTAAAGCTTTCATTTGAACTGTCTTCATCCGCTTGTATTTTTGTCCTTATTGACCCTATAAGCTGGGCTGCTTTAGCGTTGGCTTGGGCATCTAACCAGTCATTGTTAGCTTTTATATATTCTGCGCTTTTCATTGCCTTTTGCATGGCGCGTCGTTATTTTTACTTTCTTGTGCTAAGTTTTCATACTGTACGGTTTGGTTTTGCAACTGTAAAAGTTTTTCTGCCTTTACATTTGCTTCAACTTCTTTTTTATACTCATCGCTATCCATATATGTCTTCAGGGCTTTTTGTTTTATCTCTTCATCTTTCAGTATTTTATATTGAGTAGTATGGTTTTTCAAATTTATAACATCTTGTTCCATTTTTGCTACTTCTGCTGCTTTTTCTGACACTTTTTTCGCATATTCCTCTGTACTTAGTTCTTTCAGTTGTTCTTCTTTCTTCTTTTTCTCTACGTTTAACTCATTGAGTTTCTTTGTGTGTCTGTCATATTCTAGTTTCTTTTCGTTTTCACTTATTTGTTTCTGTATGTCTATGTTTGACTTTTTGACATCTGTTATTTGATTTTTGAGTGAACTCAAATTCATTTGACTTTGAGGGTTATAAGCTGTTCCGTCTGCAGCTCCACCATAGCCTGCCATTTTCGCTAAAAGTGCCGCTCTTAAACCTCCACTCTGTGCACCAACAACTCGGTTTAAAAGCATAGGATTGCTTGACATTTGTTGCAACATAGTGGGGTCATTCAGCATTTGTTGTTGCAACTGTTGTTGTGGTGTCAGTTTTACTTTTGGATGTTTCAATGCTCCCTTCCTCTTACGTATATTCTTACGTAGCTTACGTGGCATTTTAAGTGAAGTTAAAAAGCGGTTTTTGACAGCTGTTTATTGTGACTTCTTCGTAAAGACTTTCTTGTCTATGTTTTGTAAAGACTTCTTCGTAAAGACTTTGTAAAGACTTTGTAAAGACTTCTTTGTAAATGTTTTGTCAAGACTTCTTCGTAAAGACTTTGTTGAGACTTCTTCGTAAAGACTTTGTTGAGACTTCATTTATACTAAACATCTTCGGGGGCTAGAAGGCACGAAGTGCCTGGAAGCCATCCCCCAAGAAAAAAAAAACTTCATTATACTCATTCATCCTCAGGGCTAGAGGGCACGAAGTGCCTGGAAGCCCCACTTCCCTTTTTTTTTTTTTTTTTTTTTTTTTTTTTTTTTTTACTACATAATTAGATATTAAGATGGAGCCGAAAATTATAATTTAGAATGCTCATTGATTGTAGATTGGAAATTCAAAAGATGTGAATATTGTCAAATTTTATTGACTAAAAATTCCTTTTGTGTACGTTTAACAATTTTTATTAATGTATTCTAGCCCATTTTCCTATTCCACAAAAGGAGGTTTCTCACGTGCTCTTGCTTCACCTAACAAGGCCCAATCACCTCTTAGATCAAATAGAATTTCTCCTTATTCAAAAGATCGATTTGTTTCCCCAGCAAAATCCCCAAGCCGTTCACCACTTCGTGAGGGAACAAACTCGATTGTAGATACAAGTGCAAATAAAAGGCAGTCAACACCAACAACACCGAAAAATCGTAGAGCTCCAATTGCTGAAGATAACATTTTGGATGCACCAGACGTTCAGAAGAGCTTACCAGTAAAACTTATTGATTTCAATAAGAATGGTGATCTTGCAATTGCTCTCGGTACCTCAATCTACATTTGGTCACAAGGCCAGGTTACTGAATTAATGAATGGCGGCACCCAATTTGATGCAGTCAGCTGGTGTGATGAAGGACTTATTATTTCTGGAAACGGAAATATTGAACTCTGGGATGTTCGTCAACAAGTTGCATTTTTCGCTTTTCAGAATCATGAACGCCGCTGTAGTGCTATCAGCGCATCAGGATCTATGGCTGCTACAGGTGGTGCAGATGGCATCACAAGAATTACAGATACTCGTAGCGGAGATTTCCAGGAATTGAAGCTGCATTCTAAATGTGGTGAAATCAGCAGTCTTGCATGGTCTTATGATGGCCGTTATCTTGCTGCTGGTGCAAATCATGTTGTCGGCGTTTTCAAATCGAAGCAACCTCAATTATATGAAGCCTCAGGTAAAGTCCAATCACTCTCATGGACTCAAGGCGATATATTGTATGCAGCTGATTATGACCAAGGAAATGTCCAAATGATCAGAGCTACAATGAACTCAGTATTAAATCAAGTTGATACGGGATCACCAATTAGTGGTCTCTGCTACACTGATAGCTGGGGACTTGTTACAGCAAGTGCCGTAACTGGTGATTGGTCAATTTATACACCACGTGAACTGAAATTAATTTCAGATTATCACGGACATTCAGATGGAATTATTAATATCACAGCATGCGAAGAAAGAAATCTTGTTGCCACAATTGGCTTGGATGAAACTCTTAGAATTTGGACTTTGAAGGAGCCAAGAGGTCCACTTAATTCTCCATCTGTTGTTCGCAGACCTCCAAGCCCATTTGGAAACTTCGGTATTCGCTGATGACTATATTTGTGATAAGTATTTCCTTCAGTTGAAATTACCAAAAATAATATATTATTTTCTTCTTTTTATCAATAATAAATGTATATTCTTCTTATATGATAACTTATTCAAAAATTATTTTTGATAAATCAATAAAAAAAAGTTTACATTATTTTATTGTTTTGCTGCAGCAAAGATTGCCATCTTGCAAACAGGACACTGGAAGTACTGCTCTAAGAATTTAGGAGTACAGTTGTTACATAACACGCAGTGTCGGCAAGGAAGAAGAATTCTTTCTGCATCCATGTTTTTGCACATGCAACACTTCTTATCCTTAAGCCATTGCATCTCATCCTCTGCTGGCTTCTCTTTCTTATTGCTGTTATCTTCAGGCTGTGGAATTTCTACTGGAATAACTGTATTCTTAAATTCTGCTGGGCAACTATCCCAAACAGTCTTGAGATTGTTATCACGTATCAAAGCAAGATCATCACCGCACTCGAGGAATAATTTTGACATTTCTGTATCGCGATTTTGAACTGCAACATGGAAAGGAGTTTTTCCTTGAGAATCCTGATATCTTGGATTAGCTCCATGTAGCATTAATGTACGCGCTTCAGCCTCTGCTTTGTATTCTACGCATACGTGTAACGGAGATAACGATTTTTTGTTGTACATATTTGGATCTGCTTTATTTTGAATAAGAAGTTCTATTAAATCTGGATGACTCCATCTAATTGCTGTGAATATAACATTTTCGCCATCAAAATTTCGAATATTTGGATCTGCTTTATTTTCTAAAAGAAGATTAATAATATCAAGCTTATTTTCCTGAACAGCTAAATGTAAAGGTGTTTCTTTGTGATAATATAAAGAATATAATAATAAATATTTGAAGAATTGCTGTTTGAGCATTAACATTTGCTCCTTTTTCTAAAAGTAACTTTGCAGCATCAACACTTCCTGCAATTGCAGCCCAATGTAAAGGTGTTTCGTCGTAAATTTAAAAAAGAATATTTTAAATAAAAGAAGAACGAAATAAAATTAAAAAGAATTTGTTTCGTGTTAACATCTGCACCATTTGCAAGTAATTCTTCTATTTTATCAACTTGATTTGCCTTTGCTGCCTGAAATAGTTCCATTTTCTGAAAATTAACGGATAAAAAGTGTCAATTTTTTTCATCAATCTAGCAACCTTTTGTTTTCATGAATAAAGTCGGCACTAAGTCTATTGATTAAAGTGAGATGCTTTTTTATCAAATATTTCTAAATCATCTGATTTCTTTGATTCAAATGTTTGCGAATCTATATGATACGGAAGTCAAGAACAATCCTTAACACTTCAATAGTCTAACTCAAGTTATCCAGTCATTAGTTCTTCTATTATTCGATTGTGTTTCAATAGTAGTATATATGGATGGGTTGTGTGACTTTTTTTGTAAACGTAAGAATTCATACGATATTGAACGATTTTGTATCATTTTTTTAACATATGAAGTAAAAAATGTATGATTCTTACGGTTTTTATTCTTACGTTTTTGAATAAATCAAGATTTAAAAATGTATGATTCTTACGGTTTTTATTCTTACGTTTTTGAATTCATACATAAAAGAAGCTATATATATATAGATGATGTCAGGTTATTCAATAATTAAACATTGTTTAAATCCTGATTGGAATCAATGGAGTCATGAATGAGTAAAATAAACTTTAAAAATAAATTGAAACTAATGATTATTTGAATTTATGAAATCAATTATTTGATTCATTCTTTCTTCAATCTCTTCTATTCTTTTTGTTAAATCATCTATTTTTATTAATGAAGTGATTCTTGATTGAGGAATAGATTTCAAACTAACCACTCCTTTTATTTTTGAAATTTTGAATCCATCAACTTTAAACATTTTATTCAATTTACACGTTGTCAATTCTTCAAATAATTTTTTATTATTAGCATAATAGTCATTAAATTCTTCAACAGATGAAAAAATTTTTATTTCAGTAATTGGTTTAACAACATTTATTTTTTGTTGAACATTTTCACTTTCATTTATTTCTTCCTCTGTTTCATTTATTTTTAAAATAGGTTTCATTTATCATTAAATAAAAATTAGAATATAAGTGATGAAAATGAATTTTTAATTAATATTAAATCAGAAATGGCGGCAGGATTCTTTAAAAAATTATGGGATGGAATTAAGAAAGCTGCGGGTTGGGTTTATAAAAAGATTATTAAACCCGTTGCAAACTTTTTGGCACCAGTAGCGAAAACGGCAGGAACTATCATAGGTGGAGTATTAGGTACTAAAGCAGGTAATCCGGCGATGGGAGCACAAGCAGGTAACGCAGTTGGTGGAATTGCTGAAGGAATACTTAATAAAATAGGAGGTAGATAGTGGAAAAATAAATTATTTTAAAATTATTTTTATCTTAGTATCGGTTGTAGTCTTTGATAAACTTTTTCTCCTTTATTTAAAACTTCTCTTATTGGGGCAGCTTTTGGTGTTATTGATTCAGCAACGTCACTAATTGCTTCTTTATTCTTAAATATCCAACTTGCCCCCTTCTTCAATGTTTCCCAAACTTTACTCGCTCCTCTTTTTACTCTATCCCACAGTTTCTTAAATATACCTGCAGCCATAGTTGATTATTTCATTAAAATTAAAAATTCATTTTCATCTTTTAATTTTGATTTTTTATTTATTAATAAATGACGACTAACTATTTGGTGCCAAACACTAAACCGATTAATGGAAATGTGTTTCATTCATTCGAAAAGATAAATGAAATATTCGCAAAGAATGACGGTAGAAGATATTATAGAGAACTTGAAAGTTCATGCTATGACTCTGATGCTCCATATTTTGATGATAAACAAACTCATTTAAGAATTACAAATCCGGCTCATGATGTGAATCAATTAGGTGACACATATATTAAACGCAAAGTTAAAGCAACTCTAGTTTCAAATAAAGCTTTCACATGTGATGCCGCTTTTAAATGCATGCGTTTATTCGTTGGTTACAAATCATCAAATCAAAGCTTTAAACAATTAGAAGTAGAAACCTAAAGAGGTGATGTTGGTTATCTTCAGATGGATTGCGCCCGTGAATCTTTCGCATTTGCAACATATAAACCAAAATCAGAAAGGAAAGTTAAAAAGTTTGTTCATTCGTTATATAATAATGTTCAAAAATATGATAACTCAGTATGTGGTAAATATATTGACCCTTCAGAAGTTTTCAAGAACGCAAATGAAGAAGTTGATGTCACTTTTGATATGATTATTCCGGTAAATGATTTGTTAGCATTTCAGGCGTTCGATGATTATCCTAAATCATTTGGTGATATCATTCTTAAATATTATGTTTTCAGGGATACTTTAGTATTTTGTCAGGTTGACCCGTTAAGAGTTGCTGATTTACAAAATTACGTTTATGAAAAGATAACTGATGAAAATTATGAAAAGATTATGAATCATGTTTATAAATATGATCGCAAATTCCAACAAATCGGACTTCCTGCCAAATTAATTACAAGCTTAGCCGCTACATCTGCTGACGCAACAGTTGATGACGTTATTATTTCATGCACAAAGATGGAAGTTTTAGAGGATAAATGCATTACACCAGGATACGGTTTAATTGAAGAATCAGTTAAAGCAATACCACGTTTATTCAGTAAGGAAGATCCATTCATGATTCCAGCTCAACATATTGACGTTCGTTCACTAAATGGAGGTTGCATCACTCCTGAAGGTATTAGCTCAGATTTCTCATATGCTCTTCATAATGTTACAGATGTTGTGTTAACATTTCCGAAGAATGCAATGCAAAGAACGGTTTTAGAAAATCCAATGCTTCGAGGTCTTCAGGTCACTATAGATTCCAGAAACTTCCCCGATCAAGCGATGACCACAGTGGGTGACATATTCTTTACACGTATGCTTCAAGCTTCTGATTTAGATGGAGTGAATGAATGCACGGAAGAATACGAGGACTCATTAACTAGACCACTGAATGATGATAATGGCACGCCATTAGCTAGAACATGGAAAGACCAAACTTCATTCTTATGCACTATTCCAGTTCAACGTGATGGAGCGGGTATATTCTTTGATGGATTAGAAACTTTCAACTCACAAGTTACAGTACAAGTGAAAGCTTATCCAATCATTCAGGGTGTAAATGACACTTACTGTTCAAAGGTGACAAATCCTCCTCAGGTTTGGTTTACTAGGACTACGTATTGGACATGGACACCGGATGAAGGTTTGAAATATCATTCAACAGGTACACCACCACAGTATAGAAGTTCATATGATGAAATATTGATGAATAGAAATGTTTAAAATTATAAATTTATTTTTGATTAAATGGATTTAAATTCATCCACCCCTTATGAAGAATTAGCGGGAGTATATAATACATACGTAGATGATATGATTAATGAAGCATTGAGTGATAATAGAAATGCTCTATCTAAGGAAAAATTAATGAAAATTCCATATTCTGAATGTTACTTAAATTCAATCACTGCAGCAATTGGTAAACAAAATAAAGGTAAAACATTAACGATATTAAAACAAATTATCATTATTGCTAACACTTCCCCCTATTCACATGTGTTAATTTATATCAACCGTTCAGGTTCACCTTCAGATGATACATTTGAATCTTTAAAGCATTTAATCAAAATTCCAATTATTTATTTATCACAAGAAGAAGCAGAAGATTATTTAAAAAACTTTTTAATGTATAAAGAATTATATAATACAATCAAGAAGCAAGGATTAGAGGATAAAATTATTGATAAACAACGGGATGAATTATTTGAAACACTTTCTATTTCAAATTTTGATAGAGAATTTTTGCATTCACTCATTTTTCTAGATGATGCGGTGAAATCAAAACTAATAACAAATGAGAAATCATATTTTAATCAGTTATTAACTCAATGTCGACACATTCAGTGTTCATTCTTTATGGCTGTTCAATATTTCAAAGCATTAAGCACAAACATTAAATCAAATCTATCAACCCTTTTCATTTTCAGTGGGTTTAGTCGTCAACAGTTGAACGTTATGCTTTATCAAGTGAATTTACCAATGAGCATTAATGAACTTTACACACAATATCAGCAATTAGGTGAACATGGAAAAATAATAGTTGATTTAAATAAAGGAAGTGTTGATAGATTTGATTAACTTTTTATAATTAATTTTTATTTTTTATTTATAATTAAACATAACAGAAATAGCAAATCTTCTACAGGTTCCATTAAAACAAGGAACAAACAAAAAGGGTGCATATAATAGAACTATGAAAGTTCCTGATGGAATGAAAGAATTAGTTCATATTGTTGCTGGTCTTCAAAAAGATGTTAAACAAATGAGAAACGTTTTAACATTACCAGAAGCTCAAGCATATGCCAAACGTCATGGTACAAATTGGGAAGCACATGAAGCAGACATTACGGGTCCAAATGGAAAACCTGATGGTATAAATGAAGTTTTCGTTACTGATGGTCAAGGTAATATTAAAGTCATAAATGGTTATAAATTAAGTATATCTGATTATTCTAAACGTAAAGCATATAATGAACGTTATCCTATGCAATTTGATGAAAATGGAAAAGCTGTTAAACAATACATTGGAGAAGGTGAAAATGGTCCAATTAATTCATACCGTCATAATCCATATTCTTATTTCAATGAAGAATTAAATACTATTGAAGAGGGACCGGATGGATTACCACGATATTCTAACCAGTTTGATGGTCAATATGCAAATATTAGACCTGAAATTTCAGCTAAGAAATTCTTTAAAGTTGCTTTATTCGATCCAGTTTTCGCAAATGTTAAAGATGAACTTAAACATCAATTCCAACCAATTATAGTAGCAAGAATTGCATCAGGTGCTTTATCTCAAGCATTCAAAGATTTAATTAAGAAACCATTGTATCAGCAACGAGGTTTAACTTATGATTTAGTTAAGGAATCAGATAAAAGAAAATTTGAGAAATCAGATGATTATAAGAATGCAATTAATGAATATATTCGGTCTATTAATTTCGATGAAACAGCTAAAAATCAACTTCATGAACAAATACAGGGAATAATAGATTCAAAAGTTCCAGCAAAATAAAAGTTTAAATATATTTTTTTATTCGATTATAAATGAGAAGACGTTTCACTAGTCAAAAGAACACTAACGCAAAAGCAGAGATTACGGTTGGTTATAACGTAAATGATGATAAATCACGAATTTTTCAAAATGTTAAAGTTAATGTTAGCCCCGAATTAACGAGGTCAGCAACTCAACCAAATTTATTAACTCGTGACTTACCGAAGAATGAGGAGGAGAATGAAGAAAACCATGAGAATGGAGACCCAATCATTTTATCTGAACCCGGTAAAGAACCTGTTGAAATTCCCACTTATCCAACATACCCCCCACCTCTTTCATCAAACATCGAGAACCCAGGAATCTACGATTCCAGTCGCAATGCGCCATATAAAATAGACATTAATTCAGAATTAATGAAAATTTACCGTGATATAATAATTAATAATTATGATTCAATAATAAATTTAATTGACCAATCCGGTTTAATTATTTTACCTTATGAATCATTAATTCACATTATCGCCATTCTTTGTGATGTTCAAGATTCAGACGTTAAGATTCAATTTTTCATAGATGATGAGGTTTCATGCTGCGGAACAGTTGCAAAAATAAATCCTATAAAGGATATTAGCACAATTAAGATATCAAAGAATGGAACAACAACTGAACTTCATTTAACATATAATAATATTTATAATAAAATAGTTGATGAATATAAAATATCACTTGAAAAATTCTTTGTTAAGGCTATTTAATATTCAAGCATTAACATTATCGAATAATAATCCTTTGAATCATAATCAATAATAATTGACCTTTCACCAGTTTCTATCGTTTGTTTTATTTCTTTTTGTTCCCCACTATCCGGATCGGTCATTGTAATTGTTTTTGTTATAGTATCTGCTTTATCTTTAACTTCAATCTTTTTTCCATCGGGATATTTAAACCAAAATTCCAAAAATTCGATATTGTCAATCTGTTCATATTTTAATCTATCAATTACATTTTTAATACCATCTGAAAATCTTATGAAATGGTCATTATATGGGTTTGATTGAACTAAATTTGAATGAAGTGAAATATAACCTGTTGATGAATATGACATTGACTCATATTTTCTGAAAACACTAAAATTTATAACATGAATGAATTTCTTATTCGTTGAATTTATGAATTCTTGAGGTAATCTTATTCTAGTTTTATTTATCACTGGAAAATAACGCTTTACCATATTTTTAATCGTAATAAAAAATGTCAATTATCAATATTATTTCGAATAATAACTGTGAATTAAATTTAACAGTTAGCGGAATTTATAATGTTACTCTCGTTTCTGTGAGTGGTAAATTTAATCCCATTCTTTTAGACCCTTCAGATTATATATCATTTATTAAAGATGACCTTGAAAAAACGTATGATATGTATATAAATAATGTGATAACGAAATGGGATATTAACATGATTTTAAGTTATTTAAATGAATCATTTATCGTATGGTATGAAGAAAATTTTAAATCAAAACCTGATAAACTTTTTGAACTTGATGAAATAAATAACCTTATTAAATTTCCGCTGAAAATTAAATTTTGTACTCCTCATCTTCGTTCATTGTTGGGGATATTAAATTTTGAAAAAGATGTTGGGGATGTTTTGTATTCTGACACTGGTTCCAATTTCATTTTAATCAAATGTGATAAAGTTAATACCCCAATGAGATTTTCACATCAAACATTAGACCCTAATTCTTACCCATCAATACAAAACATTTTATCCATCAACTTAAACACATTTTCTTTATCATATCCGTTTCAATTATCTGGGAATTCATTTATTCTTCATTCAAAAGATTTATCAAATATTAAATTTAGAATAACTGACCTATTTGATTGTGATTTAGAATTTATGAATGAAATATTATGGCAATTTCAAATAGAAAAAATAGCTGATGAGATAACAGATTAAATATTTATTTTTAAATCATAATAAATGATTAAACAACAGCAACCACAACAACTTAAGGCACAAAACACCCAGGTCCTTCAGACCATTACATACGCCATATATGCATATAATTCAAAGACGGCAGAACAAACGCAAAGGTTGAAATATGGAGATTTGGAGATAGTATTGAAAAATGACCATTTCGAATTCGTTTGCAAGGTGGTGCAGTGATATCAAATATAAAAGAAATTTTATTTATGAATTCTAAAATTAAAGGTATAACGGATGATATAACATCAATTCCACCAGAAGAACAAAGATATTACGCATTAAATGCATTTCCTAAAGTTTTGAAGATTGGAAGATTTAATTTAAATGAGGAATTCATAAAAGGTTTCCTAAATGACATAATGAAGAAAGCAGATAAAGAATATGTTGCTGCTGTGTTAGAGAAGAAAGCAGATAAAACTTATGTTAATGAAAAAGATAATGAAATTAAAGAAAGGGTTGAATGGTATCATGAATGGACATCAAAGATTTTAAAAACTAAAGCTGATACAGGATGGGTTTCAGGATGTTTAGACCTTAAAGCGGATAAAACTTATGTTAACGATGAGTTAGAGAAGAAAGCAAATTTGGTTTATGTTGATGAAATATACCAAAGTTTGATAGGAACAAAAAATATTGAAACTATTGTTGGTGACTTTTATGTCAATGAAGAAAATAAATATTTTAGATGGGAGTTTGTACACTCCTTAAAAAATGGTATACGGTATAAACTCATTCCGAAAAATAACAATGAAATGTATGTAAGCTATAAAAAGAATGATGACACACAAGTTAAAGTTCCATTAGACAACAACTGCTACTTAAACTTATATGGAGACGAACAAAAGAAATATTTAAGAGTTTATGAAATGACAGATATGACATTGCCTAACCCAGCTCCAGCACCATATTATTATGACTATGGAGATGACGACAGAACACCACATGTAGATGAACAAAAGCTAACATTATATTTAGATTATTATAGATATAAAAGATATAATGCAATAGAAAAAACGAGAATAGTATATTATTATACAGATGACAGAAATAAATATTATAGTCAAGATTTTACCTACCCTGAAAACATAAGATTATATTATAAAAAATATTCCGACACAAACCAGAAGAAACCTGAAATAGTTGCATTATATTTTAAGTTCAAAAGAGACAATCCTATAATATCTCATATGTTTGATTTAATGAACCCAGTAGGTTCTATTTATACATCTATGGATGCAAGAGGTCCTCAAGTAATGTTTGGTGTTGGTGCATGGGAACAAATAGTCGACAGGTTTTTGTATTGTGCAAACTCTTCAAAGGAAACAGGAGGTTCAAAGAAAATAAATATTGAAAACATTCCACCGCACACTCATACAGGAACTACAAACTTTTCTGGTGACCATAGTCACTCATTAAGAGACCACCCATTATACAACTCAGAATATTATGCTGGCAATGACGTTTTATCTCCAGATTATAACCATTCGGCAAAAAAGACTTTTCGACCAACTGAACCAGGAGGAAATCATTCACACACTTTCACAACAAATCCAACAGGCTTGGGTAAAGATTACATGCCACCATTTATGACTGTATTCGCATGGTACCGCATTTATTGAATGAACTAAATATATTTTATGTTTGTAATTAATTAGGTAATGAAGTAATGAATGAACTGCAGAAATAAATGTTTACGTTAATGTTTACAGGTTATTCAATAATGACTTATTTTTGAAGAACTGAAGGTGCTACCATGTTACCATGTGTTACCAGGTCATTTAACTTCTCTGAAAAAGTGTGACAACATGACATTTTGACAACAACACAGGAGGAAGGCAGTTATGAATTATTTTTGAAGAACTGAAGGTGCTACCATGTTACCAGGTCATTTAACTCATGACATTTTGACAACAACACAGGTTATTCAATAATGACTTATTTTTGAAGAACTGAAGGTGCTACCATGTTACCATGTGCTACCAGGTCATTTAACTTCTCTGAAAAAGTGTGACAACATGACATTTTGACAACAACACAGGTTATTCAATAATGACTTATTTTTGAAGAACTGAAGGTGCTACCATGTTACCAGGTCATTTAACTCATGACATTTTGACAACAACACAGGTTATTCAATAATGACTTATTTTTGAAGAACTGAAGGTGCTACCATGTTACCATGTGCTACCAGGTCATTTAACTTCTCTGAAAAAGTGTGACAACATGACATTTTGACAACAACACAGGTTATTCAATAATGACTTATTTTTGAAGAACTGAAGGTGCTACCATGTTACCATGTGCTACCAGGTCATTTAACTTCTCTGAAAAAGTGTGACAACATGACATTTTGACAACAACACAGGTTATTCAATAATGACTTATTTTTGAAGAACTGAAGGTGCTACCATGTTACCAGGTCATTTAACTCATGACATTTTGACAACAACACAGGAGGATTAATGCAAAAATAAATTCAAATCATACTTTATAAAGCTTCATTTACAGGTATTTCATCGTCAGTAAATGAATCCTCATTATCGTTTGGTTCAACCTGTTTATATAATCCTTTCATTTCTTCTTTCAAAACATAACACCATGTTTGTTTACCGTCTATTCTTCTATGTTTCCTATCACATTTATCCTTAATACTCATTTGAAAGTTTTTGTCTTTCATGTCTGATGGTTTGCAGAATAGAGCATTTTCACACGTCATACCTGCACACAATTCATCATAATGTGTATTTATCCATACATCTAAAGGATTTGTTGATAACTCGATTAAATCTTGTTTGGCTTCAGTCATCGGTATGATTCGTACATTAAATGATGAAAGGTCATATTGCATAAAATACGTCAGTAAATTATCATAAAATTCCTTAGTGCATGAATCCATTAAATTCTTGAAGTAATCAAATTGACCTTTGAATTTACCATTAACCCTTAAAACTACGTATCTTCTGTCTCCAACTTCAATTTTGACAGGGTAGACGTTGTTAGTTACGAAAATGAAGTTTGCAACATTCTGAGCAGTTCTTCTGGGTTGATTCTTTTCATTAATTCTAATCTCATTATCCGTTATAATTGATTTCAAAGCGTTGAAGTTTGCGAGTCTATCTTCACCAACATTCTTGAGTTCATTAAGTACAAGAAACATTTTATTTTCAACAACCGAATTGAAATTACCCGTTAGCTCACTTATTTCAGTAATGTTTTTACATGAATAACCAGCGAGAAGTTCAGAAATAATATCTGTAAATCTGTTTTTACCTGTTCCCTGAAGTCCTTTCAAAATAATTGCTGTTTCATTCTTGATTCCGGGATGTTGAATCATTGATGCAATCCAGCCGAGAAGGTATTTATACACTTCATCGTTATTATCACAAATGGCTTCTTTAATGAAATTCATAAACATCTCAATTTTTGAGTAATCTGGTTTTTCGAGAATGTTGTATTTATAACCCTGAAACGTTGAGAAAACATCTGGGGAATCAGATTTAAAGCAAACACCCTTAACGGTTAATGAGGATAATTGATTTAGTAGTACATCCCATGCTGTTATGGTTTTACCTTCTTCTTTAAATAATTTAATCATTTTGAGTGACTCTTTCATGTTTGATTGAAGAACGAATGATATTTGATTCATTTTGTCGTGTATGTTGTAATCTTTCTGAATGAAATATTTGTTTCCACAATCTACAAAATGGATTACACGTGATAAATCCTCAATTACTTCAGAACTGTTTTTATACTGATGATTTTCAGCCTTGCGTCTAATATCTGTTATCAAAAACGAGTCATCAAGTTTGATGTCAAATGTTATTTTCGGCTTACGTAATAAAGGCAAAACATATTCATCATAATATTCCTTTTGATATAGTTTTAGAATCTTCACCAAAACAAATGGAGAAGTCATTAAATGTGCATATCTACTACGTGCTTTTTCAAAATTACTTTTTGCATTTTCAGTTAAATTGCAGAAGTTATAAACGTTATCGTATGCTTCATTAATCAAATGATTAGGTAACGAATTAATAGCTTGAAACAGTGTGAATAATGTTATTTCTTTTTCTAAATTCATGTTTCCACCGTCATTATGTACTTCAAAATCACAGATGCCATCAACTATGCTCTGAGCTAGTTTATCGTCAATGTTTACATCTTTGTTTTCATTGACGATAGTCTTTATTTCTTCATTCTTCTGTTCAACTCTTACCTTAATATTCAAATCATTTAATATATCATTCACTGTTCTAGTTAATGTTGAATCGTAACTTCCGCGAATGAATGAGTATGTATTGATTGGTTCTGTTGCATTCTTGCGAACTCTTGAATCAGCCATAACCACTAATGAACGCTTTGAATCATCAATAGAAGTCATTATGTCAATATCATAATCATTGCAGGAATAACATTTAATCATTCTGTTCGAAACTGCATAGAAGAAATTAGTGTTGCAATAAATGTGAAGACCTCCTGAAGCGGTTTTAACAATAACATCTTTATCCGAAAGTTTTGATAAAATGTCTTTTCTAACTGTTTCTTTAAGTTCATCATTGTATGATTTATTGATATCAACATCTATAATCGTTAAATTTGATATTTTATTTACTAATAAAGCCATACCAGTTTTCCTTCCTCTTCCTCCATCGTGTTTGAGGTAGTTATGTAAATCAATCCTGTTTTCACCAATTCTTTCGTTGAGGGTTTTAGTTTCTGCCATAACTAATTCCTCAGCTAATGAATCAATAACTTTTTCATCAGAAACGATATAGTTGCTGTTGTTGTTTGTTGCCGTCATTTATATAGGAATAAAAAAATAAAAATAATTTTAAAACTAACTTTATTTTTGGACTGCATCATATTTTCGTAAATGTTGTCAAAATGTCATGTTGTCACACTTTTTCAGAGAAGTTAAATGACCTGGTAGCACATGGTAACATGGTAACAGTGAAAACATTAACGTAAACATTTATTTCCTGTGTTGTTGTCAAAATGTCATGTTGTCACACTTTTTCAGAGAAGTTAAATGACCTGGTAGCACATGGTAACATGGTAGCACCTTCAGTTCTTCAAAAATAAGTCATTATTGAATAACCTGTGTTGTTGTCAAAATGTCATGTTGTCACACTTTTTCAGAGAAGTTAAATGACCTGGTAGCACATGGTAACATGGTAGCACCTTCAGTTCTTCAAAAATAATTCATAACTGCCTTCCTCCTGTGTTGTTGTCAAAATGTCATGAGGTTAGAAATGAGGTTAGATCTAACCATCTACCCTAAAAATTATTTTTGGTGAATTCAATAAAAATAAATGGTTCATTTACTCACAATATTTTTGTACAAAACAACCCCAAGCTTTTAACTTCTTTTCTGCAGCTTCTAATGCTATCTTAGCGAGTTCATATTCTCTAAATTCTCTCTTTAAATTTTCTTGTTCCCATTGGTCTAGTTCGTATGGAGAATCTCTATAACCATAACATAACTCACGTTCATGTTCTAATTGTTTTTCGCACATTTTTCCAACTTCTTCTTCAAACAAAGGTTTAGCATTCTCTACTGTATCTTCAAGTTCTTCTTCATCTAATTTCTCATGAACTTTCTTGTCTATGGAGTCCATAATATCTTTGACATAAAATGCATACTTTACAGAGCACCATTCAGCAACAAAATGAACGAGGTCAGGATGTATGTAAATACCTTTGAATTCATTTATAACACCCTTAGTAAGCTCATAAAATGCTTGTTTTGAGGTCGAGCCACTTTTGGCTCCACCGTATTCGTTCATCCAAAACTCAAGAATTTCCTGTATTTTAGCACTATTGAGAAATCTGTTTAAATGGTTTAACTTTCCTGCTTCTCTTGCCATCTTTGTTGCATTAATGTAACCATCCTTGTCTCTACGTAAGACTTCAATACCGTTATAAGTGCCTTTTGTGAATGTTTCGCCATTAGATTTGTTAGTGAATGTTTTTGCTTCGACTGACATTTCTGTTCTTACATACAAAATAAAAAAATAAAAATAATTTTAAAACTAACTTTATTTTTGGGTCATTTACACTCATTCCGATGAAGTCATGACAAATCATTTCCTGTGTTGTTGTCAAAATGTCATGTTGTCACAAACTTTAGAACGGCATAATTTAAATTTTTATTTTTATCATAAATGGATACCCCACAAGCTCAAAATTTACCACGAATCATAACAAGGGAGGAAATGATAAAAATGATGCAAGAACATGTTAAAAATAACAAACCACTAAAATTGAGAAAATGTGGTTATGCAGTAATGATGGAAAGAGAGATGTTGTCAAAGAGGAATAAAAATTAAATTTGGATTGAGTTTAAAAATTCATCTTTATTAAATTCATCTCTTCCAATCAATTTATTTATTCTATTAAACTCTTTTATTTTTGCTTCACTCAGTTTAAGGATTGAACGGTAAGTTTCTCATTTTTCGATTATTTCTTTATCGTTTTCAGTTCCATTAGTTTTATGGGCATCAACCCCACCACATTGCGGCTTCTTTTTGTAATAGCATATTTTTGATTTAATTCTGTTTAGTTTCTTTTTATATTCATCGTCTGGACTCTTGGCTGCTTCGTTGTCACTCATTTCTTACGAAATAAAAAAAATTAAATATTATTTAAATATAATGGAGTAATAAAATAAATCGGAATTTCTATTAATTTATTGTTAACCTCAACTAATGCATTGCCGTTAATATATCTAACAAATTCAGCTATTGTGTCAAATCTTCGTCTTCTTTTTGTCATTGATTTATCAGTTTTTCCATAATCGAGATGAATCAAAACTTTATCCCCTTGTTTAAAATTCATGAGCCCCGAATTAATTTGTTCATGTTTAACATCATTCAACCTTTCCATTTGCTTTCTAATATATTCCCATTCTTTTGAAATATCATTTTTCATTTCCACCGGTTTCATGTTTATAGTTCTATGCCATGTATTATTGTAATAATATACTAACTGCTGTATGATGGAGTCATGGTTTCCATCCCAATATATCTGACCGTTAACCCCTAACGCATCTCTAAGAGTTCTCATTACCGCATCAACTATTTTATTATGAAACGTATATGGAGAAGATGAAAAGTAAAAATTAATTTGTGGGAAATAATGAGTCATAGCTGCCTGAAATCCTTTATCACCATCACCCCTTATATTATCTACTCTTTCATGATCTAGTAAGTATTGTATAGCTCTTCTTGTTTCCTGTTCTGTTTTCCCTTTCACCGGAATGCAATATAAATATCTAGTGTTAATGTTAATGGCAAATAAATAAGTAACTTTTCCTTTTGAATATTCTAAATGATCGATTTCGTATGAATATGGATATGGTGCAAATGAAGGGCGACTAAATTTTTCCTTTAACGGTTGAATTTTTGGGTCAATTGGTTTATTTAATATCTTGAAATCCTTTTTAAAATCTTTTTGCTTCTTTAATGTTTGAAATGGATATAATAAAGTGAATGATGAAGGATTAACTGAAGGAGGAGGTACTGTCGTTGGAGGTTTTGGTGTTGCAAGTGGTTTAATTTTATCTGCTTTGATTTTGGATTTCATTCCTCCTTTCATTAATTCTGGATGTATTTTATTCATTTGTTTTAAATATACTGTATATAAAGGTTTGATATACTTTCCCGCTTCGAGTTTATGTTGAAGGATGAATTCCAAAAGTTGATCTTCATTTAAAAGTCGGGCTGAATATGGTTTAACTAATGAATCATAAATTAAAGCTTGTGCATCATTTATGGTCTGAAGGACATGGGTGTTTTGCATCTTTGTTTTTTGCGGCTCAGGATTATATAAATTATATAATTCATCAATATCTTCTTCTGTTAATACTTTATTTTTGAAATCTTTCAACTGTTTAAGTTGTGATTTAGTTTTTCCCTTTGAATATTCATTATTTTTAATTTTGTCTTTAATTTTAGAAATTATTTTATCATGATATTTCAAAATTTCATTTTTATAATATGGATAATAATATTCCATATCATCACCCATTATATTTTCATCATATTTTTGGAGATATGCTTTTAAATCATAATAACTAAGAAAATTTTGATTAAGTACTAAATCATCAATTAAAATTTTTAAATCTGTGTTATCCATTTATATAAAAATAAAATCAATGTTTTAAGGGTGCCCACCTCTTTGATCAAGAATCAAAACCATCATTAACGGTTCCTTTATTTCCTCATTTGTGAATCCCATTTTTTTAAAAAATAAATTATTCAAAATTGTATTAAATAAATGGCATACAACATCCATTTTCACAACATACAGCCTTAGTGTGTGCTCCTGTTAATGCAGTCTTACCAATTGTTAAGCGAGTCATCGTCCTGTTTTTAAGTTGTAAATTAATATTCTGACCATCAAATATCACTTTATCATTTATTATATCCAAATAATTTTTAGGTGTTAATTGTTTATTTTGTCGTAAACTAACACCTTTCATTTTTTGTGCAATTTTTTTAAAATCACCTCCATCAATTGAACCGTTGAATGATGTATAACACTTAGGACATAAAGCAACCATGTTATCACCTTGTTTCTCAATTGCTAAACCCAATAATTTTTTCTCATGTGCTTTTTCTTCAGCTTTTATTCTTTAATTTAGGTTTAAATTTCTCATCAAAACAGAAGAAATCAAATGGTGCGAATTTGAAAATGTTTTTATCATAAAATTGTTTATCAGTAACAATTGCTTGAAATGCTTGAGTGTTAGGAAGATTTGGGTCGCCAGCGATTGCCCAATAAGATGAATCAGTATCACCTTCAATGAAATGAAAACGATTAACATTCATGCATTTATACATAAAATCATAAATGAAAACCAAATACCAGTATTTAGCATTATCTAAAGTGAAGAATGCCTCTTGTAAACATGTTTCACATCTATAAAATCTATCTTTGAGCATCATTTGATATGTATCTTCACCTATTTCTCTTATGTTTTTAAACTTATTTGACATACATGCAACGCGTGCCTTCTGTGCATTCATTATTTTAGTCTTTGTGTAATTTTGTGTATTCATTGCATCGTAACCATATGATCCATTAAGTGAAATCTTGCAAAATAAACTTTTTCCTTTATTTCCTTCTAATTCAGCCTTTTGTCTTTCATTCATAAATTCGTTCGCAAATTCATTAAAGCAAGTGTTTTTAGTAAATGTTAAAATTGATTGAATATCATCAATGATAAAATGAAATCTGTCTATTAGATACCATAGATAATAAGAAGAAAATGGTTGATATTGGTTGTGTGTTGATGCTAACTGAGTTAATTTTCTCTGTTTCTGGTCAACTGGTAGATTGTTTGATTTCATGTAATTATACATAAAACTGCCAATTGTTTTTTCATCTGTGATAATATCTAAGTTTCTTATTATCGGTAAAAAGTTTATGTAATCATTAATGTATTTTTCATCAATGTGACCCTTTACTTCAGCCACGAATAAATTATTTTTCTTCTTAATTATTCCCAGTGCTTTTGCTTTCTTTGTTGCTGTATCACAAATGATAACACCATTCAATCTTCCCGGCATATACATTTTATGGTCAGTATATTGAATGAAATCATGAGGATTAGATGAAAATGATGAAGGATATAATGAATTAAAGTCAACACCAACGAAATGAGTCATGATGTTGGTGGTGTCCTCATTTGATACAGTTTTAGTTTCTGGATTATATGAAAGTTTATTAATGTGCGTGATTCCTTTAAGATTTACTCTATGTTGAACATTTGATAAACCACCAGTAATTCCATTACGGAGAATGTGATAAGCTTCAACTGAATCTAAAGTCATTGGTAAATTATTTTTTAATGCATAATTTCTTAAATTGATTCTTAAACGTTGAACATCTTCATCTTTATTTGATTTTACGACATTGCAATAACAACACATTAACTGACAATTTTCTTTGGTATGTGGTTTTTCATTATCGATTCTATCTAATGTTGGTTTATTTGCATATGTAAACGCTTTACCACACATTTTGCATTTAGATGAAAGGATTAAATCGTGATAGTATTGAAAATCATCCATTGAAACATTATTTTTAGTATCTCTTTCTGCTTTTTTATCTTGTTTCTTATATGATTCAATTTTATATTTCCAATACTTTTTCGTTAATTCAAAACTTGATTCTTTCTTTTCCTCAGGATATTTTTCATTAGGATTAAAGTCTTTATATGCTAAAGCGTAACGAATCATTGAAGCATTCGATGATAAAGAAAGATTATGAAGCATATCAATTTTATAAACAAATGTTTCATCAATAATTTTATCAATTGGGTCAATCATAATTTCAACATCTTTATTACAATAATGAATAAAATATTCTAATCTATTCTTAAAGTTTTTAGCATCATTGAGATATATTTGATAATCACTATCTGATATAGTTTCTTGAGTTAATGCTGAATAAAATGAATCTTTCGTGAATGGTTCCTCTTTATATAATTCTTCTTCGTAATTTTCCCATGTGATGAATTGATAAGGGAAAAAGGATTTAACACGTGATTTATTGTTTCCGAAATCTTGAGTGAATTGGTCTAATGTCCCACCCGCTATATAATTTCTGATGTCAATAAATCTTAATTCATATGGAACGTTTGTTTTCTTTACAATGATTTGCTTAAATTGTGAAGATGAACCCAGCATTGATTTTATTTTCCATTTTGCAGTGTTTAAATCACGAAGAATTAAATTTAAATCAAACTTTCCCGAATTAAAACCTATGATATTCACTTTATTGAATTCCTCATCTAGAAGTTCTTTAAATGCTTCCTTCTGTTTTTCATTTAATGTATGAGACAAAGTCCCCACCGTTTGCGGCTTCAATAATTCATTGTATTGTTCAATATTTGATTCAACAACTAATGAACAGGTTGAAAATAAAAACTCAATCCAATCAGAAATAAAAGAATCACTCGAAGTTAAGCAAAAATTCCTCGTGTATGTTTTATCATTTAATTTAACTGTTGGTGATACCATGAATGGTTTTAAGTAAGCATTCAAAGTTGCACACTCAGAAAGTTGTAATTCTTCTTTAGTCTCTAATGTTTCGAAGTCAAAAGTAATATAATATCTTGTCGGTTGATAATATTCCTGCAAATTGTGAGCTAATAACCACTGATATATCTTCTGTTTCGTAATATGTGGTGCATATGGTTGCTGTGTCTTTTGCAATTGAACGTCTTGAATTAATCTCCATTATTTTCTTTACATTTCTCACAATGCTTTAAAAATCTTCTTTGGTTTTTCCTTTCTGGATCATCACGGATAGAATAAACTTCTTCTTTACAATATGGACAAACTTTATAGCCGGTGAGTGCTTCAACGTCTGTTATTCTGTCAGCGTGAAGTTTTCCACATGGACTCTGTGTTAATAAAATATTTACTGTTTCAAATTCTGGATCTATCATTATTGATTCCACTAATGGAAAGTCTACCTTATTTATGTCCACGTCTTCTGGTTGAGGATCACAATAATAGAAATCAATATTAACATTTAACATTCTCGCTAATCTCTCACTTTCTGATGAAATGTCAAACCCTTCATATGCATCTATTGCTTCATTTAAATAGCTTCTACGAGTTTTAGGATTAACACCATCAGGAATGTTATAGAAGCGTTTAAATAACCTTCTACCTTCTGCTCTAATTTGATTATCATTCATTTTAGCTGTTCCGTTTTTGTTCATTTATGTAAGAATAAAAAAAATTAAAAAATAAAGTTTATTCTTTAAAGCCCATAAAATGAATTAAGAACACATAAATTTTTATCATCCGCGACGTGACGAATACATTTTAATTTACTCAAGAATGTGTACCCTGATACATTAAATCTAATTCCTGTCTTATTTAATTTCACAACTTTGAAAAGGAATGTATGAATAGCTATAAAATGATGAGAAGATGTTTTATGGGTTGCTTCCATTTTTTCTGAAATAAATGAATAAATATAAGAGTAGGTGACAAAAGTGCATACTCTTAAACAACCGTCGGATTTCCGGGTGAAATCGTGACACACTTTCGTCTTTCGTAGGCAGTGGTGGTTGTTACAAAAGGTAACTTCGAATGTAGCGTGAAATCTGCAAAAAAAATTCTGAAATTTGAATGGAGAACACAAAAATTGAATAGTTTACGTCAATAAAAAAGAGAAAAATGAAGCTAAGGTCTCTCGAACCTAGGACTTAGAGCAGCAATCCCACTGTTTATCCCATTACACTACATGCATCTCTCACCTCAGTGAATGAGATCAACTATATGATAACTTTTCCCCCATTATATTCTTGTGGAAAAGTGACAAATAGCAACTTTGACCCTCTCTCATAAATATAATGTTTATAAGTTTTCATATCTTTTATGTTCTTAATAACGAATGGTATAGACCTTTCCACTTCATCTTCCTTCGGTGCTGTTCTTTCATATGAAACATTATTAGTATCTTCAACAATGAAACCGCAATCACACAAAATTTTATAGGTTCCAATGGTTTCTTTTGATATTTTATCTAATAAATCAAAAACTTTATCAACACCTGTGCATTTATTTAAATAATAATTTGTGTAAATATCATGATCTTCTTTCTTAATCGTATTAGTTGCATATGTCACGTTTTTAAGAGCTTTTTTGAATTTCTCAGAATCGAGAGGGGGTGAAAGTAAGATACAAGGGTATTCTTCTTTATCAATAAATTGTAACTTATGTTTACGAATAAATTTAATACCTTCTTCCGAAAGTGTTTCATCTATTTCACCATCTAATAAATTTTGTGTTGATTCTAAGACATAATTTTTATATCTTTCTTCATGAGATTTCTGAACTTCTGATTCTGAAGCTGGGATATTCATTAAACCCTCTACTTCATTTTCATTATATTTTTCAACTTCTCTTAATTCCTTAATTTTTTCATCTATTTCATCTCTTATTTTTTCCAGTCTTTCAATTTCATCATATTCATCATCTTTAATTCGTTCTTCATAATATTCAGGGAAAACATCAGGTTCTTTAGGTTTTTCTTTTTTAGATGCGGGATATAAGAAATTTATAACATCATCTTTATTCATTTTTCCATCATAATCAAACTCATTTAAAAACTCCGCGAATTTTTGACAATTTCTTAAATAATATTTATCAACCTCATAACCTGCCTCCTCTAATATATCCTTTATTTCCCTGTTTGTGAATCCCAATTTTTTAACGTCGTTAGTTTTGACGCTCATTTTCATACAAAATAAAAATAGATGATTTAACAAAAAGAATAGAAGAGATTGAAGAAAGAATGAATCAAATAATTGATTTCATAAATTCAAATAATCATTAGTTTCAATTTATTTTTAAAGTTTATTTTACTCATTCATGACTCCATTGATTCCAATCAGGATTTAAACAATGTTTAATTATTGAATAACCTGACATCATCTATATATATATAGCTTCTTTTATGTATGAATTCAAAAACGTAAGAATAAAAACCGTAAGAATCATACATTTTTAAATCTTGATTTATTCAAAAACGTAAGAATAAAAACCGTAAGAATCATACATTTTTTACTTCATATGTTAAAAAAAATGATACAAAATCGTTCAATATCGTATGAATTCTTACGTTTACAAAAAAAGTCACACAACCCATCCATATATACTACTTTCAATACCTTGCAATTTCCATATTAAATTCATTATTTCACCTATATATGTGATTATATGCATTATTTAACTTGGTTCTCCTTAATTAACAGACTGTTAAAACTAAATAAAAAAAAAGAATTCTCCTAATAATATATATTTCATGAATAATTATTAAATAATGATAAAGTTACCATAGAATCGTGTGAATTACCTATTCTTATGGTTGGTACTATAAGCGATTTTTGAAATTGGAATAAAAAGTGAACGTTTAAAAATTATACCAATGTTTTCTTCGAACAATTTCATCGAGCTACGAATTGAAGAAACAGATGGTATATCGTGCATTCGATTTTGCAAAACCAATAGTGATTATCTTGCTTTCTCAACTTGGGATGGAAGTCTTCATACTTATGATATCAAGACAAAAAGACTACTTAAGACATTTAAATTTGATTGTCCTCAATTAGCATGCGAATGGGCCGAACATACATGTGTAAGTGGTGGTGCTGATGGAGCTATCTCAGCAAATGGAAAGCAAATCGGTTCTCATAATGATGCAGTTTCATGTCTAGCTTATTCATTAGGTTCATCACAGATAATTTCTTCTTCTTTTGATAAAACAGTTAAAACATGGGATCTCAGATCTCCGAATCCAATTTCAGAGCTAAGTCTACAAGATAAAGTGTATTCAGTGTCTACTTTGGATGAATACTCAGTTATATGCGGTTGTGGTGATCAAAACATATTTACATTCGATACTAGAAGACCAGAAAAAGGTAAAGTTACAAAATCTCCTTTGCACTATAATATCAGCTGTGTAGCAGCAACCAAGGACCTATTTGCTATAGGATCTTTCGAAGGACGCGTCGGAGTAAGTGATACAAATAACAATACTTTCACTTTTAAAGCTCATTACCAGGTTGAAGACGATTCTAAACTTCTTTATTCTATAAATTCTATGTGCTTTAATCCGCAGACTCGAGATCTTGTTACTGCTGGCAGTGATGGAAAAATAATTGTTTGGGATATTGAAATGAAGAAGCAAAGGTATGAATTAGGTCCCTATGAAACTTCTATTTCATCTATTGATTTTTCAGCTAATGGAAATATCTTAGCAACAGCTATAAGTTACGGATATGAAAATGGAAACATATCTCATCCAAAAGATCGTGTTCTATTATTTATCTGTATATAGAGAATAAAATATTTGTATGTATTTCTTCTAAATAACGTGATTTTTAAATTTTGATAAATTTATGATCGTCAAAACAAGGTTTTATTAGGAATAGAGTGTTTTTCTATGTGTTGATATGCAAATTTATACAGCGAAAAAGAGAAAAATGTTGTACTATAATATATTTTTAAAATCTTTATGAAAAGCTCATTATACTAGTTTTTTGGTGCTGGAAGATACTTTCTGAGGGAAGGATACTTCTTCACTACAATTTGACGAATTTCCTCGTAATTAGAAATGGTAAAGACTATAGAAGACATTAACATGCGCTTTCCGTATTTTGAAGCAAGTTCTTTGTTGGTGAATTTCTCTCCGAATGCATAAGAAACACCTGTAGCAACTCCAAAGCCAATTGTATTTGAAATAAGAGTTGAGAGGTATTTTTCAGATAATGTGTTACCACCAATAAGATTTAAGACACCGAAATTAGATAAATCGGTTGCTATGTGATCAGCTAATGATCCAGCTGTTGCGATTCCAATAGTTGTGGCAAATTCCTTTGGATCTTTGACTCCCTTGTCTGTATATAATTTAGAAGCACTTTCAAGAACAACAGCAAGTAATAATTCTTTTGTGAAGTCTTCTTTGATACGTTCAAGAAGTTGGTTTTTATCCATCTTTAAAAATTGATGAGCCGGGGTTTTAAAACTATTCCGTGTAAACTATAGAATTATCTCAACTTTTCTGAAATGAACGGATAATAAATTAAAATTGCTAACCAATGTCATTTTGATATAATTTTTTAATTTTGTAAAAAAGTTTTCATTCAAATTTTTCAACTTTTTTTTTCTTCGATACGAAGGTGATGAGTCAGGGATTCCGGCGACAAATCAGGCATGACTCATCGCCTTTGTCATCTGAATCGGATTCTCCATGGTCACCGCATCAATTGGCGATTCAAAACAGGCACCAACAACAAATTCGTCACATTGATGGGACAAACTTTTCTCAATTTCCATTACAATGTAATGAGCACAAACTAGAATTTGATAAAGAATGGCCAAAAATACTTCAAATTGTAGATTCTATCGTAAATGAAAAAGAAGTCGTTGGATATGCGACAGCTTCTTCAATTATCAGCGAATTAACAGAAGATAGCCATAACATTCCAAAGATTACGAGTTATGTCCGTGAATTACTCATAAAACCGACGAAAAAACTAATTGAATCAATTGAGAGCGCCAATGACATTACAGAAGTGGCAAATATCATCAAAGTCTGCGCGAAGAAGCATGTATTGATTTCCTCCATTTTCCAACAGTGGGAGAAGATCGAAAACATCACAATCAGTTCAATTATTTACACACTTCTCAAATCCGAAATCTCCACCAATCCATCCATTCTTGATCATGTTCTACTTATAGTTTCCCAAGCATTTACCAAATCTCGCCAAGACGAAAAGCTATATCGACAAGAAATCAAAAGAAGCGTCCATTACTTCAGTCAGATCGACAGATTATCATCTCTGACCGACTCCATTGCCAAAGAAGTCACTTCCTACTACCGATGCCACCCGATTGATCCTCAATTAGGTCCATTTCTTTTTATCACCAACGCCAGGCGAATAATTTCGAGCGAAACAGCCCATCTCTCTGTTTTCCCGCCGAACATCGCCATCCCCGCTCTCTCCGCCGCCCGGAAGTACATCTACGTCGACTATTTCAAGTACTCCATGCAGCAGATCATCGAAGCCGTTCTGATTGAGAAGCCGTCGTTCATTTCCGACCTCAGATCTCTTTGCGAGGACAGCGGCGACGCCTCCCTTGTTGCGAGCCTCCACGACCACCTCGGCGCCGGCATCAAGGACAGGGTTTCCGCGTTCATCAAGCAGAACCAGTCGAGCGGCGTTGCGCAGATCTTGGAACTTCTTTCTATGCTGAGGAAATACAGGGACGACGCCGGTGCCGAACTGACTCAGATTGCGATCCAGGCTGTCAGGGAGACACTGAACAAGTCGCTGTTCCAGGTTTCGTTCATGATTGCGAAGTACACTCACACGAGGATCATGGACTCTCTGACTGAGTTCACGAGCAACAAAAACAAAATCATCGAGCTGTTGCAGCTCCTTGAGAACACAGACGTTTTTTTGGACTACCACAGGAAATTCCTCGGCCAGAGGCTGCTGTCGAACTCTGAAGTGCCTGAAGTGGAGACACAGCTTCTGAAGGACTTGTCGCAGTTCGCAAAGTACGGAAGCATGAACCCTCTCTACACAATGATCTCTGATTTGGAGGAGTCCAAAAAAGACACAAGCGATTTCGATGCCAAAAAATCGTTTCTATTCACTGTCACAACAATCACCGCGTACTCATGGCCACATTACCCTTTCATAAACGCAAATGTGCCGGACGACGTGAGAGATGCAAGAGAGAAGTTCGTGGTCTTCTACAAACAATTGAGAAAGTGTATGATAAGATGGATTGATCCTTTAGAAAACGTGACATTTACTTACAAAAAAGTGACATTTTGGAGTTCAACTCTTCAATTTTTAGTTTTAAAGACTATTGTTGAGCATGGAGATTTGAAGAGCACAGGCATACAGCAGTGCTATATTAATGAAATTGCGAATCAGCTCGTGAAAGTTGGTTTGATTGCGAAAAAAGGAGGAAAATTTGTTCCTCAAAACTTTAAAGTGACGAAAAGCTCCATGAAACTGCCTCCCCTGGGCTTGCTGATAGCCAGCAAGAAGAAGGATAGGCTGGAGGCTGATGTTTTCCAGGGAAGAAAGGAAAGTATCAGAACTTCTATCGTTTGCACTCTCAAAAAATTCGGGGAACTTCCCTTTGACGCACTTTTTGAGGAGACGAAACAGGCATTCAGATATCCGCTCGAGGAAGGTGATTTCATTAACTTCGTCGACGAACTTATATCAACTGATGTTATTGTTAAAGGAACAAATGGTAATTACCGTTTTAGTACTTGATTATAATTAAATAAATATTGTTTGTAGTTAAAAAAAAATTCACGGATGAAATGTTTGAGAGAAAAAACGTAAAAATAACCATGCGGCAAATCCCCGAAATCCATATGGTGGAGCAATCCCCAAGGGAGCCCCCTCTGGGGAGAAATTTTGGATTTTTTTTATAAATTTTTAGAAGTAGTCCAGCTCTTAGTAGCATTAGAAAACGACCAATATTTATGCGAATATGCATGCAATGTCACAAATAGCTTATACTATCCGCGAGGTTGCCAAAGAGCTAATTTTAATAATTGAATATTTAATTTGAAAATTTTTTGTCATTAATAAAGGGTAATCAAGCGTATTAAGAATATGTGATATAAATATTATATAATTCTCATTTGAATTCATTTGGAAAATTACAAATTGGAAATAATCACTATTAGCTCCGAACTTAAATAAATCAGAATAGGACTAAAACTTGTAACTATTGAATTTTGCTTATTGTGGCTTATTAATATCTAATAATCCTTCCTATCTTATTTCATACAAGATAATTATGAATTTAAATGCTATAATATATATCCAATATATTTAATAATTGATGTAATAAGCTTGGTAATATACCATACCATTTTTTATCGAAATCTTCAAAATAATAAAAAGTATTTTAAAGAACTCTATTTAAATTTCATATACTTCTTTCAAAATTTCTTGCTGAAAGCCATCACTGTTGATGTTGTGATCTTTTGTTTTAGTTCTTTGAATAGATTTGCAGGAAATGCCTCTCATAATAGACAACGATAATTTTGAATTGAATTTTCTATGTCATTTTTACTAAAAATACATTTAATTTTATTTGAAAAATATAATCAAATTATAATTATAAGCAATATGCTAAACATACCCTTTGACACATGATCGGAGGATTTGATCGTACATGATTAGTGAATCCCTTATTAATATTATATACTATATACTGTTTACTATTTTCCTAATTTTGGTCTCTGAAATTCAAAAAATTCGAGCTGGACTAGATTTGCTCATATATTTGCAGGGTACATCACTAGGATCCTGCACCTACATGGACAAATCAGGAATTGTTTGCACTTTTTGGCTTCAATGTTAAACATTAGATTTTAATTCAAGAAATGCGTTTACAAATGCAGGATATTGTTCCTTTACCCTGCATTTGTAAACTTATTTCTTGAATATCTAGCACTTTTTAGCTTCAATGCAGGGTAATATGTCCATAATATAAAGAAAAATTCAAAGAACATTTATGTCAAAAAAGTTAACATGCAAGCCAGTTCTTAACACGAGAGAAGCCGTCAGACCGTCTAATAAAAAATATTGTTAAAATAAAAATGTTTTAGTTAAATCATAATTATGGGAAGTGAGCCTAGCAGAAGGTATCACTGTGCGTCTGATTTCTTGTCATCTGGTAGAATGATAAGGCCGTCTTTGAGCAGATTATCATTATATTCGTGCTGGCTCTTAAAACTATCCTGAATGCGTTTGAAATTTTCAATAAATAATTTATTAGTTTTGGTTACATCTAGTTTAAAATCATCAAAACTTTTTTGAAGACTCGAAACATCGCTTTTAATGGTATCAATATTGGAATTGATATTCTTTAATGGTGGTATAACTTCTTCTTGAATCATTTTTTTTCAGTTCTTGAATTTGAGAACGGGAGTCAGCACTATAAAATAGAATAGACGGAATAAGAGAATTTTCCTGAAGATCATCAAAGTTCTTTTGTTTTTGTTGAAGATCATCTCTAGCTTTTGCGAGTTCGTCTTTGCTAGTGGTATATTTATTTAAAAGGGATTTGGGGCTAAGAGAGCCGTTTTGAAGTTCAGAAATGAAAAACATAAGAATAAATATGACAGGGCCTTCAATTCAGATGTTTAAGGTTGATTTTCAATGACGCTTCACGCCCATTGTCAAATATTTGAATTGAAATCAGATGGGCGTAAGTGCACCCTTAACTTGGAAAAATTTGATAGCTCAACGAAAGAAAATGCAGGGGGTAACACCTCAGAGTGAAGGTACACTTCATATTGTGTAGGTGTAGATATTTGCAACTTATATAACTGATTCATTATCTGATTATGCATAAAGAGCTAAACTGATGAAAGTGTGATCTTAATTTGTTGATATTATATAAATGGTTGAAAAAATTAAAAAATTAACTAACATTTTATTTGAAAGCTAAATATTGAATAAATACAAGAACAAGGAAAGTAATGCCTGCAATTGCGAGATTGGCAATCATCGTTTTCGTCTTAGAAGTATCATCACTGTAAAACGCAACCAATTTCACAAAAATTGAGTATGCCATGGCAGCACCACCTGCAATAGATATTAATATATTGATTTTTCTTCCAACAAGAAAGCGACCAAACGAAATTGGAATAAAATACAATGTAGAGTAACCTAATAGTGAAACAAGCGCAATATAAGATGGGAATTCGTCATGCTTAGCCAAGAATTTGTACAATATTGGCGAAATTATGATGTAAAAGAAGCAGAAAAACGAAGCAGTGATCATAGAGCTGATATTTCCTTCCCAATATTTGCCACTCATCATGGATGAAAGATTACCAAAGATCATTGATACAAACAATGAAGTTATTGTTGACCAAATTGATCCATATAATTCTGGTTGATTTTGATTTGTTAAAAACTTCTTATCTGTTGGATTCACAGCCATTTTTACCTTTTTAGTTATCTCTTCTGTGGATACATCGAAGTATTTTTTATAAAAATCAATTGAAAAATATGAAGCGCGTGAGAAATCTTGTTGAATAGTGCTGCTTAGTGGAAGGTGTTGGTCGAAGGCTGCTTGAGGAGGATCTGGTGTGGGTGCTGTTGAAAAATTGAGCTCCGCCATTTTTCAAATAAAAAAAATTACAAAAATTATTAGTACACGTGATTGTTGCAAACAAAGACAATCATTGTCTACAAATGCCTATCTTTATATCAACTTTGTTTAAAATCTTTTTTAATTTTGAAGAAAGTTATTTTAATAAACAGCAATCTTCAGTATAAACGAATTAGAAACATGTTTCCTCGCTCTTTGTTGGCTAAGCACCACAACTACATTACACTGGGGCATAAAATGATAGACTTCGGAAAAACTCTCTCCTATTTGATTAATTACAGAATCCTGGGCCTTTTTGGAACCAAGAAAGAGTAGTAAGAGTACTTTAAAGCAATGTTCATTACGAAATCTCTCATCGAATGAGAGACTTTGTAATGAACATTACCCATTCCGAGTAAATTTACATCCTTGACCCTCAAATGTTCAGGGAATACTCTATTCCATGAGTGCAATAATTTATAACTAATATCTCCAGAAAGACATCAGCTATGGTCCATCATGAGATTCATGTTAAACTGACTGTAAAAGCTATTATTTTCATGTCAACTCATCTACACAAATTTATTTCAATAGAAAATTTTTCTACACAAATTTAAGGTTAAGGGTTTTACAACATTTTTTCACACTGAATTCTATTTATATCTTAATTACATGATAATTTCCAAATATATTTAATCTTTGTTTCATTCTTTTTTTAAAAAAAATCTGAACTATTCAATTTTATTTTAATGGAAACCCAACCTCAAAGCACGCCTCCAACTCCCCTTTCTATTTTAAACGAACATTTATCTATTAAAAATGAAATCCCAAAATCTATAGGTGAAATTCAACAAAAACAAAAGCAATTTGAGGACATTCAGCAAAATTCTATTATTCCGGCTATTATATCTTTAAATACTGACGCCCAGAATCAACTTCAAAAAGAGCTAAAAGAGACAAAACAACAAGTTTTAAGATGCTTTGATGATTTTAGATCAGAAATGAATGGTCATTTTGCCAGTCTTCATTCTGGCTATAAATCTCTTCAAACATCTTTTGAAGAATTTAAAGATCAAATGCTCGACTTTAAAGAACAAATGCTCGACTTTAAAGAAGAAGTTCTCCAGGATCACAAATTATTCTTTGAAGAATTTGGACAACTTCAGAATTTTTGTGACACCCAGCGAGAATATAATGAAAAACTTGTCAAATGCAATCCCGTTATTTAAGTCAAATAACAATCAGTGAAACCTTCTGTTAGGCTAACTTCTCTTAAATAAGATTTAATTTAAACATTTTTATTTTGACAATATTTTTATTATACATCTATATTACCCTATAGTGACCGGTTCTGGCGGAAAAGTACTTGGACCCCCTCCCCCGAGGTAAAAAAGATCTGCTTATTTTGAGAAGTGTTTCCACACTGGATATTGGGTGTTAATCAATGGAATAAGTAGGACATAATGCATACTAGTATGACTAACTGAAGCCATGATTGAATCTGGAATTAAGCTAAGTTGTATGGATATCATAATCTAATTTCGATGATAGTATAATATTATTAGTATTTTGAGTATAAATAATTTTATACTATCAGTATCACAATATGTTTGATCTATATTTCACAATAATGCTTAATATTTGGAGATTTCAATTGATAATCTTATTATATATATATGCTTTTCCGTATTAAAGATTATTCACATAAGGATCTCGTATGGAGAAAAATCTTCTCCAACTCTAAAATGCAGTATGGAAAAACTTTACAAATTGTAAATTTCAAATTGGCAAAATATACACCTAAATATCAGTCATATTATCACAAAACCAATTCAAATATAGACTATAAAATAGCACCACAATGCCAAGTTTTTCCCCTATCCCCCATGGGGGAGACCCAAAATCAATTCAATTTTGAATGCGACCCCCATATTCCGTCCCCCATGAGGAATTGGGGAAAATGTGACTTCAATTTTTTTAGTGTCTTGCTTTTACTACATTTGGTTATTATGAACAACATGAATCTAAAATTATTTGTTTCTTACAATCTATTGGATCAAATAAAAATTAAACTATTTATTCTTAGTCAAAACATCTTTAAATATATAGCTTTTAGTATTGATTAGACATAAAAAAAGCTATAACATAGGTGGAAAATAAGCTATATCATTCGGCCAATCTTTCCCACAATTTTGGGAGCTTCTGAAGCGGTTTTACCGTCATTTGCCTTTACCAGGTAGTTTGATAGTAATGGAGTAAAAATTTGTTATAGCATAAAGTATTTATTTTTCTAGTTGAGGGCTTATTATTCCATACGGCGCTCATGAAATTAAAAAAATATCTCGGATAGGGTTATTTTAGAGTGGAAAAAAGTAAAAACGATCAAAATCCCCTCAATTTTCCACCTTTTTTCTAAATTAATTTTTTTTTGAATTAAAATTTATATCAACTAATATCAATATAAAAGTGCTTTCATATTACAACCATTAATGATAAAAGTTAGTTTATTGGCTTTAAAAAGGCAGGCTTTTCATTCTGGGGCTCAAAGCGAAGCGCAGGAGCCCCAGAATGAAAAGCCTGCCATAGAAAAACACATGCCGAATCAATGCAAAAAAGAAAAAAAAAGTGGAAAATTGAGAGAATTTTGATCGTCTTTTTTACTTTTTTCCATTCTAGAATGATCCCTCGGATATAGATTTGTTATTGTACAGATAACATATTTTTCGAGTTAATTTTCATTAATTATGGGTTTTGTAATCTTTCACATTTTTCCCATTTTAATTTTCCAATACATTCAGGATTGTTTTAAGACAGGGCTAGATTATGAGGAGAAACTCGTTGAGAGTAGAAAAATGTAAAATCAATTCCATCATCACTGCTCCCAAACCCAGGAGTTCAAACAGACAGTGATAGTTTCTGCAAAGCTCACATGTCATAATTAAGATTTAACTAAAACATTTTTATTTTAACAATATTTTTATTATATATGTTAGGAATATAATTTATCATTTTGGTCACAAAAAAGATTAATATTTGATGTATCTATACCTAATACATTTGCGAGTCGAACTCATATACGCATGTTATCGATGAGTTCATGAATGATAAGTTATTAAAACCAAATTTGGGTAAAATATTAATCATGCAAAACTTATTTTGTTTATAATTTAAAATGTTTGTTTATACGAGCATGACAATGAATGGTTGAATTAATCCAATATCAACATGATGAATGTTTTCTTTGCATGTGAAAACACTTGCACAATCATGAAGACATTGTGGATCAAGTTTGGATACATCAACAATGTTCTTAAGAAATTCTCTGTTCTTGTTTTCAATCTCAAGTCCACAACGAAGACTTGTGCAGCCGATAAATGCATCTTCGCCAATATCCGAAACACAGATTGGGATGTTGATCCATGACAGAGATGAACACCCTTCAAACGCGTTGTTAGAAATCAGAGAAAGACTGTTGCTTGGAATGAATATTGAAACGAGGTTGAAGCATGACATGAATGCACCTTCACTGATGATCTGTGTCGTCGGAGGGAGAGAAAAGAAAGAAATGGATGATGCAGGAGGGAACAAGATGAGAGATGTCTGTTGTTTGTTAAATAGTGCACCACTGAAAATACTGAATCGTTCACTTTCGCATGAGATGCTGCTGATCCGGAAACAGTTCTTGAAAGAACCAATGCCGATGCCGCTAGTGGTGAGTGAACTGTCGGATGGGATGGTAAGACTTTCCAGTTGGTGACATTCACTGAATGAATATGGACCAAGATTAACAAGATGTGTTGGAATAGTCATGTTAGTGAGTGATGTCCGAGAGAATGAGTATGCACCGAATCGTTCGATGTTATCTGGGAGAACGACAATGTCGAGATTAGTGTTGTTATAGAAAGCATAGTCACTAATGTTGATAAGCGATTTGCACATATGCATGTCAACCTTTGCGAGATTGCATTGTTGGAAGCTGCTCTGGCCAATCGATTTAACTGATGTTCCAAACTCGACTTTAGAGAGAGATGTGCATAAATAGAAGCATAATGAGTTGATCTCTGTAACTGTGTTAGGGATTATAATTGATGACAATGAATTGCAGTTCATGAAGCATGAGTCTGGGAGAGATGTTATTTTAGAATCTTCAATGTGGACTTCTCTCAAAAATTTGCAGCCACTGAAACTAGAAGAGGAAAGCGTCTTTAATGATGATGTGAAAACTAAACTTTGGAGTTGGTTGCAATTGAGGAATGACTTTTCACCAATGGATGAGATTGTATTTGGAAGATTAACAAATGTTGCACTTCTGCAATCACTGAATGCACCACTGTTGATTTGAGTGAGAGCAGAATCATATGTGAAAACAAATGAAGAAATAAGATTCTTGCCTTTGAATGCATCAGATCCGATCGTTGTGATTGTTGGTGGAATGTTGATATTGACATTAGTATTAGATCCTAAATATTGGGTGACTGTCGTGTTTTCTTTATCAAGAATCAAGTATTGACTATCGATATAAAATCGAGAATTCGGACTGAAGTGAATATTTGTTCCATCATCAAATATTTTTCCATCTAGTTTTTCGATGCCATCTGGCAACTCAACATCCCTTAAATTAGGACAATTCAGAAAACATCCAGTATTTAATGTTTTTATATTACTTGGAATATCAATGTGACTAATGTTTGTTCCATAGAAGCAATATGATGAAATTGAATTTATATTGCTTGGTAATCGAATCGAATTTAGCTTCCCACAGTTTTCAAACGCATAATCACCAATATATGAGATAGTATCTGGTATATACACTGATTTAAGTGTGGATCCTGCAAAAGAATAAGGAAAAATAGCCCAAAGTGTTGATGGAAATTCAACCGAATCAATAGTGCAAAATCTAAATGAGGATCCATATGTGCCTTTGACACCGTTTGGAATAACTATATTTCCGGTAGATTTTGCAGGACAGCAGTAGATATACATGTTCCTTTTATCTATCAATAAATTATTGTCAATTTTGTAATTTGGATTTTCGCTGCTAACAATAATTGTTTCAATCGATGAATCTTCAAACACAGCATCGATTAGTGTATGAACCTTTGCTGGAATACGAAATGTTTTCAGTGATGATCGTCTTATAATCCATTTTTTTAATTCTGTGAGATTTGAGTCTTGTGGAATATTTACTGATTTTAAATTTTTACAATATGTAAAACATTGATATGGTAATACAGTAACAGATGCTGGTAAATCAAAGTTTTCGATATTGGTGCTATGAAAGATACTGTCGCCAAGAGTTGTGACTGAATTTGGTAATTTTATTGAGGTCAATGATGAACAACCTGAAAATACGGATATTCCGATTGTAATAAGTTTCGTGCATACAGAGAGATCGACGTTATTGAGAAATTTGCATTGGAAAAATGAATAATCTTGGATCGTTTCGAGTGAAGGATTTGGACCAAAACTGAGTGTTGTGAGAGTGTTTTTGCACTTCTGGAATGCATTAACACTTTGGGTGCTTTGAATGACTTTAGTCTTAGAGTTGACAACAACTGTTTCAGCATTCTCTTTAGTTAATGTTAAATAAATAAAGTCATCGCTATAAACACCACCTCCTGTATCACCCATTCTCTACCGAATGTACATTTTTACACTAAAAAAGAAACATTTTATATTGAGAAGAAATTGAATTTTGAGCACTTTTCATGGGTGTTCTTTCTGACACTCTCTCAATTTTTATATTTAAGGTTATTTCTGAATTCTTGTATTGTTTCTTAATATTCATGCAAATCATATACAAAATGAATTTAAATATTCATATTCTTCTATTTTTGGAAAATGAAGTGGAATATTAATCCAATTTCTTCATAGATTCGTTTTGAAGAGCACAAAAGTTCACAATCCTCATGAAATCTACAAATTATCAAACTATGATATGTATGACATTTGAATGTTTAAGTTTTTTAAAATCGATTTTACATTGAATAAGAAATCGTATGGTGATTGCTGTTTAATTTCAAATTGTTGAATGCATTTTATATTATGTATGCATAAAGCTACAAATCAGTAAAAAATAAAAAAAATTAAAAAAAAAGATAGAATTTTATTTATTCAAGGACCGGAGTAAAGAAGCAGCTTCTTTACCAGTTATAGCAGCTGATCCACCGAAATTAAGCTTGTGAGCTATTGTTGTTTCGAAATCATCGAGAGTATTTTCAAAAATTGCGCCAGAAATCATTTCTCTCTTAAGATTTTCGATTTCAATATCAATGTTATTTCTTATTTTATCATTCTCTGCTTCGAATTCTAATTTTGCGATTTCTAATAAAGATTCGTTTGGTTTTTCTACCTTTTCTTTATCTTTTTCTACTTTTTTGGAAAGAGCAACAATTCCTCTAACTAAAGCATCATCGTAATTTGGCGAATATACTTTATCTGGTAATTTTGAATCGTAAAAGCATGCTTGTGGAGGAAGTTCTGGCTGCTCCTCAACTCCTGCATATGGAAGAACAAGGCCGTATAAAATAAAATCTTCTTTAACATTGGCATAAATATTTCCAATTTTTGGTGAAATTAAAAATGTAAAATCTAGGTTCTGAGCTGATTTCTTATATGCTAATGTGAAATTCTTTTTGCTTTTATCAGACATTAGAAGTAAAAACATTGATTTTTCGACATCATCTACTTCTACTTTAATTTCTTTTTGATTTTGAATGATTGTTAGTACTGCTGTAAACTTGGCCAATTCAACCACATTATTTGCATAAAAGAAAATGTCTGGATTAAATGTCAAAAATGTCAAATTAAAAGAAAACTCATCATCTATGCTTTCGGCTACATAAAGTACACGTTTTTGTTTGGTTACCGTTATTCCCCATTTGTTTTCTTTATATTCGAGATTTAAATTTGTATTTTCGCTGTATAACGTTGTTCCTTGAACGAACGTTCCATGGACTGAAATAATGCTGCTCATATTTCTTCTTGCTTGATTAAAATCAATATCATTGGATTTTGCAAATCGAAAGAAATCATCGAAATCCATTCTTCAAAAAAATGAATAAAGAGTTCAAATGTATGTATATACGCTCATTCATATCAATTAAATAATGAAAATGTTAATTATTCAAATTTCAAATTTCATGATTATCAATATTTTAGTGGGAAATTCTAGGATATGGTATAGACATTGCATCTGTAAGAATCAAAATGCTAAAATGTGAGTATTTTGCTTCAGAAATTATAAAATATAATACTTTACTTAAGAGACGTTAGGATTTTAACGCCTTGAACATAATTAACAAATCCATTATCTACTGGTAGTTTGGATAAAACTTCCTTCTTCTGTTCGTCACTTAATGGATGGTGGCCGCAAGTTAATGATTTTTCAAAAACATCAACGCCTACTTTACCCGTGCAATCCTTATCGAGAAGTTTAAATGCATTAATAAGGTTTTCTTCAACGGTATACAATCTAGATAAACGGTAAACGATATAGCAGAATGTATTAAAGTTCACTGTGTTTGAACGACTAACATCTGATAAAATATCTTGCATTTGTTCTGCAGTTGGGTTGAGACCATATGATCTAAGAGCGCTTTCAACGCACTGAACTTCAATTTCGCCATCTCCATCATCATCGAAGTCTGTGAAATAGTTCCTAACTTCCGTTATTGTTTCAGGGGTCATAATATCAATAGCATCCATTTTTTCAGTTAATTTCCTTACATGGTGAAAATTGTGAAGTTTATACTATAACGCAGTGAGTGCGTGGAAATTTCGAGTAGGGGTAATTTTAGCTAAAAGTGACACGCCTGTCAAAAGTGACACACCCGTGAAGGGTGTGATTACCGATCGGTAATTTCGACAGTTTCGAATTTAAAATTTTTTATGGAACTGTTGCGAGTTTCATAAAGAATTTAAGGAATATAAGCAAAGATTTGAATCAAAATCTTAGACCTAAGCCGCTCGATTCGCTCGCGGCTTCCGCGAATTACAGATCAGCAAAGATTTGAATCAAAATCTTCGAACTAAGCCGATCGCTTCGCTCGCGGCTTTCTTTATTATTTTAAATTTGCATATTTCCATCAAAAGTTCATAAGGTAAAAAATTTCGTTTATTTTTACTAAGAAAAAAAAAGGTTTTTGATAATAAATTTATTTTATTTCGAAAAAGTAGCAATAATCGTAAAAGGGTATTGATAGGCTTGCTAAAGTAACTAATTTTAGCTGTCAAATACTTTTGTATTTTGAAGTAAATTAGTATAAATTTGTTTTTACTTTTATTTCGAAAAAGTAGCAATAATCGTAAAAGGGTATTGATAGGCTTGCTAAAGTAACTAATTTTAGCTGTCAAATACTTTTGTATTTTGAAGTAAATTAGTATAAATTTGATATTATTTTAACTCCCTTTGAAAACCTCAATTTTCCATACAGAGGGAACGGGAATAGCATCCAATATTCCCTGAGAATGGTTGCGCATTCTCAGTTCCCTCTATATTTCGAACGAAGCTCTCATCGGTCTTTTTTTTTAATACTAAACGTTTTTTTCCCTGTCACTTTTAGCTAAAATTTGGGTTTGCCTGGAAATTTCAGATATTATTCTTATTAACAAAACGTCGTATTAAGCTGTGTTATTGCTATTACCTTTTGCAAAATTTTGAAATTCATATCTTGATCATGAATCAAACGAATTTCAACTGTTTTAAACAGATTTATCTTTCGGAATTGATATATTATGTAAGATTTTCTGATTGGCGCCATGAACTTCTGCAAATACACTCATATTTGAGGCACAAATGACCATCACAATAATCAAACAATCTTTTTGCTAAAGTCTCATGCACAAATCTATCATTATCACATAGTAGTTAAATTGTTTTCCTATTGTATGAATATCAAAGAATAAAAATAACGATTTTATTAGTTAATATAATATAATTCTTTAGATGAATTTTATATTTAAAACTCGACATCATCGATGACAAGCCATTCTCCTTTCTTGCATGGCTCATAAACTGAGAGTTTAATTCCAGGGTTATTGTCCTTTGTTTTATCGCTGACAGAAACAGCCAAAGTGTACTTTCCTTTGATTGAAGAGCTGACATCGTGAGAGATTGAGTATGAGTACTCGTGATCCTTGTACCAGTCACCTGGTTCTGCGTTGATGTCGGTGAACTTGTAAACAGCCTTTCCGTCCTTATCCAAAAGGGCGAATGTGACCTGATACTTGTGATCCCAGTTTGGATGGTAGTTGGGAAGTAAGCCGCATCCAGCGTTCTTCCAAGTATGTGTGATTGCGAGCTTGCTGCCATCTTTCGTGTATGAAATCATGGATGGATAAAGGCGGTATCCACCGATTGTGATCCATCTCTGAATCTGATCTGGCAGATTGTCAACGTAGTACTTGCACTGGAGAGGAACGCGCATATCCATTGTATTGCTGTGGCTGTTATACATATCTGTGATGGTTTGTGTGAAGCAGTCTCTGAAATCTTTGTAACCCATGGATTTGTAGGCTGTATATGTAGATCCGTCGCCATCAGCAAACCAGTAGCAAGACTCTCCAATCAATGGTTTCCTGTGATTGAGGAATAAATCGTTGTTGATGTTTCTTTCGTTTGATGAAAAGTATGAGCTGCCAAGACCATCACGGCGTTGAAGGAATCCGCGGCCTTCGTATGAAAGAGGTTTCATGAATTGGACGTTTGTGTCTCCTAATGTTGAAACAGTTAAAACTTTCTTGAAATGTGTTGCATAGACATCTGTTACGGTATCAACAACCATTCTGTGGTTGCTGCCATCTCTCATTGTTGGGCCGTTTCCTTCGCCCCAATGGCCTGTGTTGTAGCTGTCAACAAAGTCAACTAAATCTGGATCATCAAAGTAAGCGGCAAAGGCGGTGACAAACTTTTCAAGCTTCTCAAGGAAGATAGGATCATCGTAGTTTGGCTGTGGATTGTTATCGACTGGGTATTGGTTACTCATAATGCAACCAGCATCTTTGACATACTGTGGGATGGCTTTCTGGCCATGTGTGAATACACGGAAGGCTAATTTAAGATTGTATTTCTTGGCCTTCTCGATATACATTTTGAAGCCATCATCATAAAGCCAAGCATATTTTCCTTCTTCGGGTTCCATATCTCCCCAAAGCAAGCGGATATAAAGAATGTTGTTGTAGGTTTGGGCTCCGCAACCTTCAATTTCTTTCCAAAATCTTTCTGGTGTGTAGCCATATATACCATCGAATGACCATCCTTCTTCATAAATCATGTATCCCATCGCTGGGTTTCTAAGAAGGGTTTTATCTTCTAATAAATAATTTACAGTGGTCGTATCCCCATTCTTTTCCTTGGTGTACCCTTGAATGAGCTGTCCATTCTTGTCATAGCGTGGCTGTGGGCTCCATGATGGGAGATCAGAATATCCCAAGATGGCAAAGATAAATAGCATTCACAAAAAATGAAAATAGCAATATGACATATGTTAAATGTCTATTCCTATGCTATCGCACATTAAAAAGTACAATGAACCTGTTGTCATTTTAGAATCTAAGGGGAAAAAAATTTACACTCATGAAACAAGGTTTTAAGTATCAAATATGCATGAAAATTATATAAATAAAAGATGCAGATAGTGCAAATATCAAGTCCTGAACATTTCTTCTAAAATATATTCAATGATAGCATAAATAATAACTCAAACTACCATTTTTAGCTATTTTTATCCGAATTGTATTGTATTTTATCATTTTGCCTATATCTAATTTTTCAATCTCTTCAATTTTCATAATACATTCCAAGAACACTAAATTTGATGAATATTCATTCAGTTCAACTTAAAGAAGATCTAAAAGAAGACTAGTTCATGAAATTGATAATCTCTTTGAAAATTATTAGGAACACAGCAATTTAAATATAACTTATTAAGGAAATGGATAGTTTAAAATACCAAAAACAAAAACAAATATATAATAATAACAGTTAAAAATTCATATGATACGATTTTTCTGGGAAAACAAAGAAAAGCATGGCAACAATAGCGATAAATAGGATAGTTGGTATAAGCGTATTGAGTGCAGAGAAAACTTTGTAATGTTTGTTCAACATAATCATTGTATTGCAATTTTCTCCAGAAAATCCTGGTTTGCAAACGCAATTTCCTTCAACACAAAATCCACTATCATTAGGGCACGTCTTTGAGCATTTATCTGTTATAATATTCTCAGCAAAAGAAATTAATTCAGCTCTTGTTTTAACTAAGGCCTCTGTATCGAATTCTGGCCGTGGATTCAAATCCCATGCGTGGTATGAGTTGTTAACCTGCACGTATTTGATGTTTGGCGATGAATTATTTTTATTAATTCCGATTAATGAAAAAGGATCGAATTCTCTATACGTGAATATCATCTGCGATAAATGTGTATCCTTTGGATCAAGGAAGTAATTCAAATCATCGCTAAATTGTTTGACACCGTAGTGATCTTGGCAAATACCATGGTAGAAGGTCTCATTTATATACTTTGACCTCAAAATATAGGATGATGTGTTCGAATATACGTGGAACCACCCAATATTCTTGCATTGTATGTAAATTCTTGGTTTTTCGTCTTCAAGCAAGTCATCCAAGTCATACATGGACAGCTTGTAGTTTAGTATGCTCATTGATCTGTTAAAAGCAATGGCATACGTTGTAAGATTTGGAAATTTTGTCAAATTTTGGCAATAATCTTGTAATATACCGGATCTTTCAAGGAGAGAAAAGCCTTCTGATAGTGTGTATGCAACGGATTCGATGGTTTCGATTTCAGGAATGCCAAATATATTGTAGAGCTCGTAATTATGTTGAACAAACAATTCATTGTCGATTTGTGTGATCAGATCATGAGATTGAACGAGACATTTATGGTCTATGCTGTCAATTCTATTGGCAAGCTGTTGATCATATTCAGGAAAACGAAATTGAGATTTGATTCCTGATGAAGAAGACCAAGATCCGTCAGCGATATCTGGATACTTGATCCTAAACCATGCAGCTAATGAGCCGGCATATCCGCATCCAGCTACAAAAATTCTTTTAATATTTGGATTATTGTTTTTAATATCTTGCAATACTAACGATAAATCTTCAAGAATATTTTGTATTGAGAGATATTGGATTGAAAAATATGAGACAGCTGGTTTACTTGTCCCAAAAAAGCGATGTTCAATGGAAATAAGTGTTGAATTTGTTTTAATTGCCAAGTTGTGAAGAGTGTCGTACATGAAATTGTCTGTTCTTGAAAGTGAAATTGCATCTCCAATCTGGACAATTAATGATTCTGATTCATTGAGAAATTTTGTGGAATTATCAATGAAATAGGTCTGATTAAATGTTCCAGGACTTTTGATACCAGAAAAATGATTAATATCCTGTGAAAAAATATAGAAATTATAGAAAAGAAGATAAAAACTTAGCATTGTCACTTTTTGATTTGACATGTAAATTCAATTGCCACTTTTCTAAAAAGTGACTTTGGGAAAATTTGTTATGTGATTTAGAAGCATTCCTTAATTTTGATATGTGATTTCAATCTTTGGAGGGGCTTTTTGTATTGGAATTCCATAACTCTGTGCCATGTTATATGCATGTCACTTGGGGTAAAATCATAGTTACAAATTCCTTTGTTATTTGAAAGCTACCATTCTAACAAAGAATTCTAGTTCTGTTAATGTATATTTGTCTGTATATGATTGTTTCATATAGCATAAAAAAAAATATGAGAAATATTTTACAAATATATATACATGATTAGTTAACAAATCGATGATTGAGCACATTTATGTTACAAACTTTGATACAAAATCTTTTCGTAATTGTGAAACAGAATTTTGGGAAACATTTGAACAAAGGTTGTCGAAATCCATGTTCTTAGCTAGGTATTCAATGTTAGCTATCATAAACATGCCGCAATCATATACATTTTGTTGCTGTGGAGATGGTTTTTCGAGAAATTCAAATTCACGAACGCCATAGTATTTGCAGATCAGTGCGCATTCCTTTTTCGCCAAATTATATGTAGAACTTGCCATAGAATCGAAATAATAGAACTGGCTAACCTCATTTGGAGAGTAATGAGTATCCCATACTAATAAACACCAATGTGATCCTGAATCAGACCCTGATGTACCGTTATGAAAAGGAAGGAATACATATCTTGCTTCAAAAACATTAAAATTCTCTACAATTGGATGAACAAATGGCTCAGGGAAAAATCTAAGGCCTAGCAATGTATTTGGTGGGTAAAACATTATGTTTTTATGTTGGTCATCGGTTTTGGTAAGATTTTCCAATTCGATTTTCCTTCCAGCAAGGTGAACAAGCCGAGCGCTAACCCACTCATTATTCTTTATTATGTTTATATCAGTATCGTAAATGGAAATATTCTCAAAATGATATATAGCTTGAGCTTTACCCATTTTATTGATTTAGATTTTGGGGAAAAAAATTTGCCAAAGAAATTTTCATGAAAATCTCCAGCACAAATAATTGAAGTTCATTATATTCATATCTCAACGAAAGTAAGTGATGCATAATTTGTCCTTGATAGCCATAGTAACTGCTTGCAAGAATCTTGTAACAATCGCACTTATATATTATATCTTGATCTACAAAAAGAAAAACAAGAAGGAAACGTATTTGTTTTACGGATTTTGTATCATTCTGATCATTCCCTTATTTCTCAAGTTTTATTTATTAATAATAAATATTTTACTAAAATCTAATCTATATTGCTATGAATTTTTTCTAAACTAGTAGTGCACAGTTATATTATAAGTTTTATTTTGCGGTGTGTCTCTTAACAAATTCTAATAATTTCTTGTTTGCTGCTTCCTCCTTTGCTTCGGATGTTTCGTTTTCGGCAGCTTCGTCACCTTCTTCACCATCGCCTTCCTCTTCTTCGTTGTATTCTTCTTCCTCAGCATCTTCAAATGGAGCGTAATATCCAGAAACATAAATGTCGTATTGTCCACTATTTTGGAATTTGAAGTTTGAATTTAGTGGTGAGAAGTTCTGAGAAATGAGTTCGTGTTCATTAATTCCGGCACGAAGTGTTGCAAGTTTGATTTCGTGATCAATAAGTGGAGCATCTTGTTTCTCTTCATCAAAATTCTGAAGATCGACTGTAGATAAATGAAGGATAAGTTCGCAAGGATCTGATACTGGATTTTCTGGAAGCTCGCCTAAAGAGACGTTTGTTATCAAGAGATATGCATCTTCTTCGTATTTGAAGTTAATTGTCTTTCCAGCTGGAACTTTTATGCCCCAGAAGAGTGTCTGATCGTTGGAATCTTCTTCCATTATTTTTTTTTTAGAAAGGCATAGATATTGTCTTCCCTTTTATGGTTTTAATAATACAGATTACAATCAAATTTTTTAACTTTAGAAAATGATTGTCCTATAATTGATTTTTCAAAAACAATTTCTTAATTCAGAAGCGTCTTGTTCTACTTTGAGAAAAATGTCATTGATTCTTGCAATATATAATAATTCTGATAGTTTTGGCATAAATTATTAATAATTTGTGACAAGAGATTTAATCTCAAATATTTTGGGCCCAATGCATAGCTGAAACGTCAGATTTATTTGTTTCAATGATATGGAAGCAATGAAACATGATAAGTTTCACAATTTGTATAACAAAATGAAAACGAGTTTTATATAACACTCTGCTAAAGATATTTATCGGAATGTATGAATAATAGTATTTATTCTTCACAATGTTGAATTAAGATTTGAGATTGGAATAAAATATAAATTTAATACCTATCAGCTTAGCTTGAACATTCTGTATATTTTAAAGAGATTATAACAACCATAGTAATCATATATGCCATGTATATTTAAGGATTGATAATTCAAAACTATCTTTTAGAAGAATCAAAAAGGAGGCAATTAGAATTTCATGTGTATTTCAAATAAGGTCCAGTAATTTCAAAAATCTATTTAACTACATTCTCAATCGCCTGAACATTGAAACAAATTCCAATTCAATAATATAGCCATGTTCACACTTATCAAAAATATTTGGATAGCTTAAAATATTGTTAATTTTTATTTCTTAGAAAATTTTCTTATTTTATTGCACCATGTGAAAGTAGAAGTTCGGCGATTCTTTCAGAATAATGTGAATTTGCATAATCAAGAGCTGTATTTCCAAATTGATTTTTTTCATTAATATTTGTGTTATGCGAAAGAAGTAGTTCAATAGTGGTTATACTATTATTAATTGCTGCTATATGAAGGGCAGTGTTGCCATATTTGTTTTTGTCATTAATATTTGCACCATATGAAAGAAGAAGTTCGCATATTTCATTACTATTTTTATATGCTGCTCTATGAAGAACGGTATCTCCATTTTCATTTTTTTCATTTAAAATTGCACCATGTGATAGAAGAAGTTCAACGATTTCTTTATTACAATGTTTTACTGCAATAAAAAGTGCCGTATCACCATTTTTGTCTTTTTCATTGATATTTACACCGTGTGAAATAAGAAGTTCAACAATTTCTTTTTTATGATTTTTTAATGCAATAAGAAGAGCCATGTCACCATTTTTGTCTTTTTCATTGATATTTGCACCATGTGAAATAAGAAGTTCAATGATTTCTTTTTTATGATTTTTTACTGCCATAAGAAGTGCGTTGTTTCCGTATATATTTTTTTCATTGATATTTGCACCATGTGAAATAAGAAGTTCAACTATTTCTTTTTTCTGATTTTTTACTGCCATAAGAAGTGCGTTGTTTCCATATATATTTTTTTCATTGATATTTGCACCGTGTGAAATAAGGAGTTCAACTATATCTTTTTTATGATTTTTTATTGCAATAAGAAGAGCCGTGTTACCATTTATGTCTTTTTCATTGATATTTACACCGTGTGAAATAAGAAGTTCGACTGTTTCTTTTTTATGATTTTTTATTGCAATAAAAAGAGCCGTGTTACCATTTATGTCTTTTTCATTGATATTTACACCGTGTGAAATAAGAAGTTCAACAATTTCTTTTTTATGATTTTTTAATGCAATAAGAAGAGCCGTGTCACCATTTTTGTCTTTTTCATTGATATTTGCACCATGTGAAATAAGAAATTCAACTGTTTCTTTAGTATCATTTTTACTGCCATAAGAAGCGTGATGTTTCCATCTTTACCTTTATCACCAATATTTGCACCATGTGAAATAAGAAGTTCAAATATTTCTTTAGTATTATAATATGTAGCATAATGAAGAGCAGTGTATCCTCTTTCATCTTTTTCATTAATATTTGCTCCATGCGAAATAAGAAGTTCGACTATTTCTTTACTTTGGTATCGTGATGCATAATGAAGAGGGGTTTTCCCGTGAATACCTTTTGCATTGATATTTGCACCATGCGAAATAAGAAGTTTTACTGTATCATAATTTTGGTATTGTGCTGCATAATGAAGAACGGTTTTTCCCTCAATATTATATTCATTGATTTTTGCACCATGCGAAATAAGAAGTTCAATAATTTCTTTTCTATGATTTCTTGCTGCAATAAAAAGCGCAGTGTCCCCATATTTATTTTTATCATTGATATTTACTCCATTTGAAAGAAAAAGTTCAATTATTTCTTTATCACAATTTGCACTTGCTTTATGAAGAACAGTATCTCCAAAATAATTTTTTTCATTGATACTTGCACCATGAGAAATAAGAAATTCGATCGTTTTCTTACTATTATTTTCTGCTGCTCTATGAAGTGCAGTATCCGAAGAGTCATCTTTTTCATTAATATTTACACCATGAGAAAGAAGAAGTTCAACTATTTCTTTATTATTTTTATATGCTGCATTATGAAGGGCTGTACATCCATTGTAACCTTTTTCATTGACATTTGCACCATGTGAAATAAGAAATTCGATCGTTTTCTTACTATTATTTTCTACTGCTCTATGAAGCAGAGCTACCGAAAAGTTATCTTTTTCATTGATATTTGCACCATATGAAAGAAGGATTTCTGCTGCTTCATTTCTATTGTTATTTATTGCAAAATAAAGAACTGTTTCTCCAAGTTGCAATTTTTTATGAATATCTGCACCATGTTTAATAAAAAGTTCAATTAATTCTTTATTATTATTATCCACTGCAATCAGAAGTACTGTTCTGTAATGTGAACTTTTATTGTTTATATATGCACCGTGTGAAATAAGAAATTCGGCAGTTTCCTTATTATTATTTCTTGCTGCCTTAAAAAGAGCTGTTTCCTCCTCTTCATCTGTTGCATTGATACGTGCACCAAGGGAAAGGAAATAATCACAAAGAGATGGAATATTAAACATTGGTGAATAAATGAAGCATCTTTTGAGATTTTTAGTTTGATCGAAATAAACTAAAAAAGAATCAAGATTATGATTGAATCCGCATTGAAACAAATCAATCTGTATATTGTATTCATTCATCAAGAATGTAACAAAATCAATCTTGTGTGAAATTATTGCATATATCATGCATTTTACGTTTGGTTTTTGATATTTCAAACATTCACTCATGATTTCTTGATTTCTTCCTAAAAATGAGAAGCAGGGACAATTTTCAGTTATTTTTGAGTTGAATTTTGTTCTTAAAAACTTGAAACAATCAACCGCCCCATGGTAACAACATAATTCAAGTAATGAATATGGTGTTCGAGAAAGATGCAAATAGTCGTGAACTCTTTGACTTCTATCATTTCCGTCTTCAGGATCTGGATATAAACTACTTACAAGTTTTTGACCCTCATCAAATCCGTCTCTCTCTGTGAATCCAATGAATGTTTCTAAGTCATTATTCATAATTGCTCTGTAAATTGTATTTTCTGAATGAATATCGAGATTTTCGTATTTATTTTTTTCGAAATCATCAGATGTGTCTAATTTAATTCCATATTGTTTGTAAAACATGTATTTAGAAACAAGTGGAATATATTTGACCTCTTTTACATTATAATCATCAAATATGAATTTTGCAAGAGTCAAGTATGACTTTAAATAGCGGTTATTATACGGAATAATATCCAAAATGTCTTTCATAATATTTTTCGGAATATATTTCTTTGAATCAATTAAATCTGTTTTAATCATTTTGTAAATCGAGTGTAATTCTTCTTCGTTTTCCGTTTTTAACTGATACAAAGCATTGTATAAATCGATGTGGTATTTGTAGATACTAATCAATTCACTGTATTTGTTAGTGTAAATGTCTTTTTCAGACATTTTAAAATTATAAAAGTGACACTTCAAAACAAAAAAATTTTTAAAAATTGAAGTGAAGCCTCAATTTTTTAATTTTTTAAAAATGCTGAAATGGCTTTAACTTCAATGTTGTGTGAAATGCTGAAAAATCGTTATATCATAAATTCAATGATGGAAAGAAAAATCATAAACTATACACAAAATACATGTGCATGAAAACTTTATTATCTTTCTCTCAAAATTGAATAAAAGTCGTAATTTGGCCGGATGATAGACCCTTAATAATGTCTAATGGCGTATAATATCATATAAATTATCTACATTTCATAACAAGAATTCGAGAATATTGGCAATGAGAGTGATTCGTTCTTGAGCTTTTAATATTTCATAATTGAAACATTAAATATTACAATGAGATGTCAATTAACTTTAGGTTAAATTCCTCCAAAGTTACTGAATAAAGTATAGCAAAAGATTAAATCAATTAAAAAAGTGAGTTCAATATAAAGAGGAACCATTTTGATCACTTTCTAAACATTAGGAATAGGTTGAATCATAAAAAACAAAGGAAAATTTAGTCAAATAAAATTGATGAAAAAAAATATCATGATAATGCATTTGTTGAAAATGTTGAGTGAAAAGGATGTTACTTACTTAACATCGTTCTGGTGAAGGATGTTATGAACTGAACTTTTTGAAATTCCGACTTTCTTGGAAATTGCTTCAAGTGTTAATGATGGTTCATTGGAAGAAATCATAAGAACCTGTTCAATAATAGGCTCACCGATCATTGGAATTCTTCCTGGTGGATTATGACTTCTACCAGTTCTCCTAAAGGATTCATACCATTTTCTAACAGTACTTTCATTCCTTCCTATAAGCTTAGCAATTTTTGTCCATTGTTTACCCCATTTATGGAAATATTCGACGATTATTAGTTTTTCTTCCTCGGTAAGAGGTCTTTTGTTCGTAACTACTTGTGGGCCTTGTTGAGGAAGTTTATAGCGCTTATTTTTTGGATCATTTTCTGGTGGAGGTTGCTCTGCCATATAAGTAAAAATTTTGGCGGCAAAAACGAAATCACTTGAATTGTTAATAACTAAAATCAAGATCTGTATTATGTTACAATGAGATTATCAAGTTCATTAATTCAAATTTGAATTTAAAATATATTCCGCTTGCTCTCAATTCTTAAGAGCTTTTAGAATGAAACCGCGGATAAAATAATAAAATTGAATACTTTATGAATGGGGCATAAATTGCACCAGAAAATGAATATTTATTTTAGTTGGACTGTTTTGGATCAATCTGATATTAAAAATCTTTATAACTCAAAGAAAAATTCGTAAGGAAATCATATTCAGCAAAGATTATCATTTAGAACTATCACCACCATTCTCAGTCAAGAACTCGTAAATCCTGCAGTTTATATGAGGATTGGGGAATAATTTTATTAAAGGTGACCAAACTATTTTTTGAAAGTTCGTCATAACTTTAATGGTACTATTTCAGCGTGTACAATGAATACAAAAATTCTAAGAGTGCCACATAAAATAGTACTTTAGACTTGAGTTAATGCTACCAAGCAAATGTTAAAAAGATGACTTTAGTGTTTTGATAATCAAAGATTAAAATCATTATTGTCTAAATCAATAATCATAACGACAAAAGTTAATGTTTTTTCATAAGTGCTTTAAATCCACTTTTAAAAGTATACCTCAAAAATCAAAATATCAAAAAAAAAATTGGCCGATAGGTTTGGCTTTAATTTTTGTCTGCTTTTATGATTTGATATGAATGTTATAATTTTAAAAGTTGAGCCAAATTCACCAATAGATTTTTGAGATTTGCAAATACTCAATAATTTTCAGCGTGTTATCTTTTATTAAAGAACTATTTGGTTTCAGTATCATATAAATTGATATTTACTTTCTATTTGAACCTTCATTTAGCTAATGATTTAGTAATTACAGATTTCATCTAATCCTTATAAGAGAATTTTGAATTTGTTATAATAAAAAACAAAGATATAGCTTACACTTCTATAATAAAGATACCTTTTATAGAATCAGTATGAAATGTGTTGTTTGACACGTAAGCTCTCAATTCATTATAAATGTTTGTCGATTTTTATATATTTTTCGCTTTCATTATCTATGATATTAAAAATTTATGTTCAGAATGTGAAATAATTAAACAAATGCCTGCGGGAAGTATTTTAGACTAGAATTTATAAAAAATGTACGTTTAGCCTACTGGTTATGTGTGGGGTTCAAGGCAATATGTTTCAAATCAGTAAGCACCAGTTTTTTTTATTTTTATTTTTTTTAACAAGGTTGAATTAACTTTTGATCGAATAATGAGTTACATATCAATATTAGCGTTTAATAAAATCAAATCATTGACTTATATTTTGAAAGTAATCTAAGCAGAATTTAGATATCAAATTCTAAATATTTTCATGCTTAGATGCTAGATAATATATTCTTATTTGAAAAATTTATAATGTTATTATTTTCTTATTTGATATTTACTACAAGCAGAAAAGCATTTATATTGTAAATTAACAGATTATGATAATTATACTCGTTTTTATATGTTCTTAATGAAGAATATCAAACGTATTTCTATGAGTTTTAAAAAATGAAAAGTTTTAATATGGCTAATATATTTATTATCATTAATAGAATAAAAAAGTTTTTTTCGCATATCACTCGATGATTTACCTTCGAGTTTTGATAAATTTCGAAAAAATTTAAGGAATGCTCTTTGAATTTCTTTACCTATAAGCATATTATCTGCCGTATTATTTTTCGCTAATTGTAGAATTTTATTTAATTTTAATAATTAACCTTCTAAGCTTATTGAGAGATCACATTGTATATTTGATACGTAGTACATATGCTAAATCTGTGAATTAGATTGTAAGATATTGAACAAACGTTCTTAAACATTTTAGATTTTAGGGAATTACTGAATTAAACTATATTTCTTATATGATATCTTCATGTTTGGATGCTTTGGGTATAATTTATTGGGCTTTTTCTATCCAAATGTTTGGCAATGGTAACCCAATTTCTAACAAATTTATGATGGAAAAATTTATGACTTTTATGGAGCCGAAAAAAAAGCATATAATGAATAAGACTATTAAAGATAAGCTGTAATTTGATTGTGAATTTTAAGAAAAGAATTTGGATTAAAATTTGAAATTTTTTTTTGAAAATTAGCCGATGATATGCTTAAGCTAAAAATTACTAGAAGCGGTGTGATATAATTTATATAAAAAAACTCATAATTGCCATTATTATTGGTACATATAAAGTCAAATTATAATTTGCAGTTATGCTTTAATCAAAATCTATATTGAAACGCTTTGTCACATCCATTAAAAAGGCTGTCGCATATAAATCCAAACATTTGCTTGGTATGTACTTTTCCATTTTAACGTCCTGATTGATATAAGCATGTTTTACACTTTAAAATAGTAATTATGACAACCTGTACACCATAGAAGTAGGCTATAACAAGAAAAATTAGATTGACATCGAATAATTTCAAGATTTAGAAACAATTTGTAGCTTTCTCAATTATCTAGAGTTAAAATTCATTTATAATGAGGTCATATATTTTAATTATCTTGTAATCAATGTTCGAACATTACCATTAAAGGAATTTTTACTTTAATTAAATTTAAAAAATATAATTTGTGACTAAAAATAACAAACAAGTTTAATACAAACAAAATAGTATACAAATATACAAAAGAACTATCATTTAACGAATATTTCAATCTGAGATTTGAAATTTATGATAGTTATAATAAAGGAGCTCTATTTTGAGAGCTATGCAGCGAAGTAGAGTGTGGTTACATGACTATAATTCACTTTGTTTTCAATTGTCATTGTGCGAAGTGTACTCCTTAAGATTTGTGAAAAATTGCCTTTATTTATGAGATCAACAATGTGTTTTGGATGACGTTTCGCATTTAGAATAGCAAACTCTAGATTCTCATATGTGATCCCGTTATGAAATCTACTTAATGTATTATGAATGTATGTTTCAAAATCGCTGAATTTGTTTGCCTTCTTGGCAAAATTTGATGGTAAAATGACATTTTCTGGGAATAATTGAGCAATATGGCTTTCTTCATATAATGGATCATTTTCAAGAGGATCAGATTTGTCATTATGAGGATCTAAATCGTTTAATCCTTTCTTGCGTGATTTTTTTTGGTTGGGTTGTCAAAAACATCTTTTTTGACAGATAAACGTGAAAAAATACTATAACCTGAAATTGGATTTGATATATGAGTTAGTATACATATCTTCAGTATGGTGGCACTGCGCGCCATCTTACCCATTATATGTCAATCTGACACTTTACAAAACCACTAACGTATATTTTACATCGCATATGCAATATTTCTAATAACCTTAAACTATTTCTGCCACGTAAAGTATTTATCACATAAACCACCTCATCTCACCTCTCTGTACGTTATATATTGTGCGCAGGTCATTGCCCATGGCAACTCCCCGCGACACAATGCACGTGCATGAAAAAATAAACGTTCTCACTAACGTTCTCATTAACGTTCTCACTAACGTTCTCACTAACGTTCTCACTTACAAAAGTATTGCAACTCCTCCCATTGCTGTGCTTCACATAACAGCTCATAATCTTCTGACTCACTTTCTTCTTCATATAGGTCAAAGTCGCTGTCATAATTAATGTTAGTAAGTTTTGACAAAGCTAATGAAACACGCTTACCGTTTGTATCTACTGCTTGTATATATCTTCCATAATGCTCTTTATCATAAATGCTTAAACTAACTTTACCCTTTCTCCCTCGTATCTGATAGAATGTATTCTCACGCGGAACGAAGAACAAGTTCTTGAACTCATGACCGTTGTAGTTTGTTATCTCAATTATAGATACAAGGTGATGTGAATTTTGCATCCCTGGGATGGACGATACACCCAAAGTGTCACCTTTTTTGGGATAACAAAAATTTATATATATGAGAGTTCTGCAAACCATATGCACAATATCTATTCTGCCTGACTTCTTGTATATAGGAGTCAGGCTGAATAGATATTGTGCATGTGGCAATATAAGTATTTCCGAGATTGCCATCGTGCGCTATAGCACACTACTTCTCCTTGGTCCTAGCTCGGTTCCAAGGATATCGGTGTTCAAGGATTTGGCAAGGTCCTTCTGAAATCTCTCATTCGATGAGAGATTTCGGAAGAACCTTGCCTTAGAGTATTCCAACTCTTGTTCTCTTGTCCCTGAATAGTCAGAAAAGCTATTTGACTACTTAAGGCAGAGATTATCCGAGGTCCCTCATTTGATGAGAGGCCTCGGATAATCTCTGCCTTAAAGTTGTACACTTGTAGTCCATCAGAATGTAAGTATACACGGATAGGACAGCTTTCTTCTGAAGTCTTAGATTTGATGAGAAGCCTCAGAAGAAAACTGTCCTATTTTATAATAGGAGGAGTTTCAGAAGCTCCAGAGCTCCCTTTCGTAAGGAATAGGAGCTTTGGAGCTCCTGGTTCGAAGATGTGCTTCGCATCTTTCATCAGCATAGGATATTTATCAACTGGGACTCTGTTGATGAAGACTCAGGAGCTCCAAAGCTCCCTTTCGTAAGGAATAGGAGCTTTGGAGCTCCTGGTTCGAAGATGTGCTTCGCATCTTTCATCAGCATAGGATATTTATCAACTGGGACTCTGTTGATGAAGACTCAGGAGCTCCAAAGCTCCCTTTCGTAAGGATTAGGAGCTTTGGAGCTCCTGGTTCGTAGATGGGCTTCGTATCTTTCATCAAAAGAGACCCAAATGGTAAATATCCTCTGCTGATGAGCTTCAGGAGCTCCAAGGCTCCCTCTCGTAACGATTAGGAGCTTTGTAGCTCCTGAAGGTAAGGTAGGATTGCTCTGATCTCTAATCAGTAGATGCCATGCCTCATTATGGACTCTACTGACAAGAGATCAAGAGCTCCAAGGACTCCCTTTTTAGCTAGTGGCATTCTCACCATTTA